AGAGCTTGGGGGAGCGGGAGATCCCAGCTGGATCAACAACAGAGAGGGAGAACAAGGAATAGGAGACCATGGTAAATGAAGACCACATGAGAACAGGAAGAAGCAAAGTGCTAGAGAGGCCCACAGAAATCCACAAAGATACCCACACAACAGACTGCTGGCAATGGTCGAGAGACAGCCCGAACTGACCTACTCTGGTGATGGGATGGCCAAACACCCTAATTGTTGTGCTAGAAACCTCATCCAACTACTGAGGGATCTGGATGCAGAGATCCATGACTAGGCCCTGGGTGGATCTCTGGGAGTCCAATTAACGAGAATGAGGAGGGTTTATATGAGCGAGAATTGTTGAGACCAAGGTTGGATAAAGCACAGGGACAAATAGCCAAATGAATGGAAACACATGAACTATGAACCAATGGCTGAGGGGTCCACACTGGATCAGGCCCTCCGAATGGGTGAGACAGTTGATTGGCTTGATCTGTTTGGGAGGCATCCAGGCAGTGGGACCAGATCTTGTGCTCATTGCATGAGTTGGCTGTTTGAAACCTGGGGCCTATGCAGGATTGTTTGGCTCGGCCTGGGAGGAGGGGACTAGACCTACCTGGACTGAGTCTACCAGGTTGACCTCAGTCTGTGGGGAAGGCTTTGCCCTGGAGGAGATGGGAATGGGGGGGGGGGCGTTGGGGGGAAGGTGAGGGGGACGGGAGGGGGGAGAACAAGGGAATCCGTGACCGATATGTAGAACTGAATTGTATTGCAAAATAAATTAAAATAAATTAAAAAAAAAAAAGAAGTCTCTGCCTCAACTTAGCTCCCAACACACTGAGCATCTCCCCTCCCAGTTTCCATCCCAGAGCCCCAGACGGAGTGTAAAAGCTTTGGAGCCCCATTCTCTCATATACCATCAATAAGTTCACTGTGCTCCCCCAAAAGAACTGACACATTGGATTCCAAACAGAAGAATATTCCTAAATATAACAAAATAAAGTAAATGGAAATGCACAAAACAAAACCACACAAAGAAAGAGCAGACAGTGTCAAACCCACTAATAAAAGAAAAATGTAGAAAAATACTAAGGAACGCCACAAACCACAGGCTTTTCACTGGAATTAGTGAAAAACTTTAATGAGTGAAGGAATTACTGGCAAAGATATAAAGAAAAAACAGTCTTTGTTGGAGAGCATGTCTTTGCACACAGTACCCATTATGCTCAATGCAGAATACTCATTGTCTACAAATGCAAACATTTATAGTTGGTCTGATGGTTGAAGCCCACAATCCTAGATATACAGGATGTTAAGGCAGGAGGATTTTCAGTCCAAAGCAATCCTGAACTACAAAGTGGGTTCAAAGCCAGTCCAGGCAACCTAATGAGATTCAATTTTAAAATATAAAGTTAAAGGAGTCCTGGGGATGTAGCTAAGTAGTAAACCTCTTATCTATAATGTTGTGACGGACCTGGGTTCAATTCTCAGGTCAAACAGTACAAAAATATTTATATGCAAAGAATTTATTAATATTTTATAAAAGATTAGAAATACTTTAACGGTCAATGAAGTGGGCTTTGCTTAATAAATTACCCATTATCAAAAGACTTAGTGTTTACAGAAATATTAATATTTAAAATTTGGGATTTAAAGCCTAAAGTAAACTAGACAGTGTCCAGCAATGTCACTTCCTTCTGCTCACAATAGTAGACATGGAACCTATTGTGGTCAGATCTTTGTTATCTGACACACGCCAGTGTCATCCGGAAAGAAGCAACTTCAATTGAGAGAACGCCTCCACGGACTTTGCTCATAGGAAAGCCTGTGGGACACTTTCTGAATTAATGACTGATGTGAGAGGGCTCAGGCTGCTGTGGGCAGTGCCACCCAGGAGCAGATGGTCCTGAGTTGAATAAGAAAGCAAGCTAAGCAGTTGCAGGAGCGAGGCAGTATATGGCATCCCTCCCTGGCCTCTGCTGCAGTTACCAGCTCCAGGTCTCCTCTTTGAGTTCTTGCCCTGACTTCCCCTCATAATGAACTACAATTGAAAGCTCAAATAAACCCTTTCCTCCCCAAGTTGCTTGTGGTCGTGGTGTTTTAACACAGTGACAGAAGGCAAAGTAAGACAGAACCTATGTAATTCTGGCCAGAATTCTCTCAAGCTGTTTTAGGAACTCTAGAGCCTGAATGTGTTCTTTCTTGTTATGTGCATGGCTGTTGAAGAATGATGCTGAGCAGCGTCTTGCAACAATAACGAACAGTGCTCTTGGGCTGAGGCCAATATTCCAACAGCAAGGAGGAAAGAAAGAACGGCAGGGGCCTGAAAGCGGTAATTAGAACCAACTTCACCTAAAGCCATATGCCTCTGATCCCTGTGGTTAAGTAAACGTACGAATTTTCTTTGCTGAAATCCATCTTAATTAAGCTTCCATTGAATATGCATAAATGACTCTAAGCAAAGACATGGTGTCTATTCCTACAATCCTTTACACTTGTTCTTCTCGACAAGAAAAGCATTTCATCCCAGACTTGTGCTTTCTTAATGTGGAACAAAAGCCACATCCTTAAAGAAAAAAATAGTTTCTGGGGACTCGGAAATAATATCTGTAAATGTAGCAATGAATTTAAAACCATGTCTTGGACACACAAACTCTTTCAATGTTTTTCAATAAATAATTTTTTTTATATCAAGAGTAGTAATTTATGAACTCAGAAGTTACCATTGACTAAAGCAGGTTAGAGATTCAGTCTCCACTTGGTTCTTCAAACACACTGAGTTATCTATCATCTGAGGGAGCTGAAGTGACCTTTGTGGGGAGGGCACTGAGGATTAAACTTAAGGTCTGAGGCAAGCTTAAGGAATAGCCTAGCAACCTGGGACTCTAGTAGTCTTGAGCTTTGTACCCATACACCCAACTATGAACAATGCACCTAGACAACTGTTTGCTTTTTAGGAAGCCCACCTGCTTTATGCAATGAAAACAAGTTATACCCCATAGAAATCTGTCCACAATATCCTGTTTCTATTCAAACACATCGTGGAATATAGTCTGTGAAGTAAGGGCAGTGTGTCAGTCTAGCCTAAACTGATCTTGGGTACGTGTACCATAAGTTATGTCCTGAAGTGAACTTTTAGGGAATCCCCTATTTATTATCATATGCCTATGTATAAATTGGCATAAATATGATAGAAACCAGATGCATTATGAGAAGGGATATACACAGTAGAGAATTGATTGTCTGACTTAATCTGTTAGTAAAAGAGAGCTACTCTCACTATGCCCCTTAGGAACCAAACTCTCCCTTCTCCTAAACCCCATAAACAGAAGCTCCAACAGAAACCAGAACTGTGAATACCCTCACTCACGTAACCTGATGTCAATCTTAACACTGTATTCTGATCTGTTCTATAACTTTGTTTTTGAATGAAGCTTCCTTGCTACTTTGCAATATGTGTGACTCTATTTAATTCTTGAATAAGAGGCCAGGACCCTGGAAAAATCCAGTTCAGACCCTGACCATGGGTAATAGGCCTCGCAACTGTCAAGCATGCTCCTCCACAGAGCTTCTGCCCCAGCTACTTACGCTGTTTTTCAAAAACAGTCTCATGAAGCTCAGGCTGGCCTTGCACTCCATATGTAAGCTAAGGATGGCCTTGAACTTATAATCGTCCTGCCGCTACCCCCTGAGAATTGGGATTACAGGCCTGTACCAGCATGCACAGTATATGTGGTATTGGGGAATCACACCCAGGACTTGGACATGCTAGGCAAACACAGCACCAAATGAACTACCTCCCTATGTAGAAGTAACTGTTAAAAGTTCTCCCAAGGCTGTGAGTGCTCAGCCCTAAATGTGATTTCTTTATCAAAGCTCCCTCCCCTCCCCACCTGCCAAGGCTCAGGAAACATCAGTAAGTGAGGAGGCAGAAAGAATGTAAGAGCCAATGGCAGAAGTTCTGTGAAATGTTGTCTTCAGAACATGCCAAGGCTGTTGCACCTATTGACTTACAGAAACTAGTGGTTACCTGCACAAGATTCGCTCAAAATCAAGCCAGACAAAATTCTGTCATAGATGCTAGGGTGTCCACCATTTCCAGAGGAGCTATTGGCAATCACTAGATGTCAGGGGAGAGAATCGGTCTCCTCTGTGGGTTTAGCCACTAGTAGTTTAGTCCCATGTTCGGTGGCTAGCCCCAGACCCATGTACATATTGATGGCATTATTGGACTTGTTAGGTTATCAAAAAGAAGAGAAGGAGGAAGGTGTGGAAGAAGAAAAGGAGGAAGAGGAGAAGGAAAAGGACAATGATGACAGGAAGAAGGAGGAAGAAAAAGAAGGTGATAACAGGAAGTTGGGAGCAAGACATGTTGGAGGAGATGGGATCCAAAGTGAAGTGGAGGGGGAAATGTGGGTGAATACAATCATATTTCATTGTAAATGTGTGTGAAATTCTCAAAGAATAAAAAATTATAGCAAGTATACAAATAGGTTTTCTTACGCAAAATTCAGTATATCCATGAGGTTTTCTCTCTTATTACTGTTCCCTTTGTTGAGTAGTCATCATAGTACCTAATCCACAGTGAGACTGGGTGATCTTAGAAACAATAGCAAACCATTCCAGCCAGAGAACCAAAGCTCTCACAATGGTCTGACACTTCAGGACCTCCTACTCTGTGCATAAATCTCACAGCACGCAGTAACACTGGAAGGACCCTCGTCAGCGTTCTTCTCATAGCTAAACACAAAACCAGAGCAGAGCTCAGATTCTGACAGAAAGACTTTTACATGTTAAATAAAACTGCAGTCATTGAGAAAGTCATTTAATACTACTTTTAATATCAACCTACTCTGCCCTTGCTGTTTTCATATACACAAACGCACAGGGTCCGCTCGTTATCACTTGGAGGGCTTTTCTTATGAGGCTAGGAGAAGGCTCATCCCATCTGCCTCCACACTGCAGAAGCCAGGACGGGAAAAGGAGACTGTGGAAAACGGATAATTAATTACCTATTGTATTTTTCCCCAGCTCTAGTCCAGGAGAAGGATTTGTCAATATCAACTGAAATTTTTCATCTCCTTCTGGAATATCATCGTCCAGAATCACAACATCCACATGTTTATACCTTTCTCCATCAGCAAAATGAAGAATCTAATCAAAAAGATAAAAGAAAAGACCACGTACATGAATTCATTCTGAGTTTTCATGAGATGTTTAAAAAGCAATGCCATATAATTGTTAGTGTGGAGAATGAGCTATTTTAGGGGCTGGCGAGATGGCTCAGCAGTTAAATGTTTTGGCTGTTCTTTCAAGGGACACAAGTGGGGTCTCAGAACCTTCATCATGCAGCTTGTAAATTCCTGAAACTCTAGCTCCAGATATCTGATACCATCTTCTGGCACGCGTGTGCAAGTACATATGCAAACACACACACACACACACACACACACACACGCACGCACGCACGCACGCATGCACGCACACAATTTTATATGCTCTCCTTGTTTAAATTTAAATTGAAAATATTTCAAGTGAAAGTTACAGAATAGAAGAAAGCAAGCATTTGGTTAAGGAACAAAGGCAATAAAAAGACAAAGATTTTTAAAGGATATTTCAAGGGCTTGAAGTGTCTTAGTAAATTAAAACAAAGAAAGAATGGAGCAGAGCATACATTTTCCAGAAGCATCTGATACACTCTGGGAAAGTCTAATAATTAACATTTTTAATATATGATCTGGTATTCTTCAGAATTAAATACTGCAAAATATAGTGAACTTGGAGTAACATTTAGAACAGAATTAAAACTTAATTCAACTACTTACTACAGCAGAGAGAACTATATAGAATAGAGATCTTATGCCTTGTCTCACTGTGGAGTAGCCTACACAGTAGTTACTAAGATTAATTTATTCATGCACCTACATCACTACAATTCTCGAAGAACAGTGATTGTAAATGACCATCATCGATTATGCAGAGCCCTACCTGTGGAGTGCAAATGTAATCCAGCCCCATCTGAGCCTCTAGATTCTGGGCATACATAAACAAGGAAACCTGGCCAAGGGCCTCTCTGCTCCTCTCGGCTACCAATGTTACAATGCCATGGGTTTCATTCACTTCAAATCTGGAATAAAGAGAATAGACTCATTTTTCTCTCATGACTTGTTTGGTAATTGTGAAGAACCCAGATTAAGAAAGGCACTTACACAGCCCAGGGCTTACCTGCTACGCTGCCATTCAATTACACCTTGGGCACCATCATTGGCATCGATGATGATCTGGGCAGTCAAGCCTTCTGAGTCTGATAAGACAGAGACGTATTGAATGAATATAAGTTAATATAAATGTCATTTAAACTATAGTTCAAGCCACTGTCTGGCACAGAATTTAAAGAACGAAGTTATATACATTTTTATGTATAGGTATTGTAGGTAGTGAAAAATATTTAAGGAAATAAAAAACAGTGCTGGTGACATCAGAAAAGAAATATTTTTATTACCAAGAATTACTGATGTATAACTACTCCACTAAGAGCAGCGTGGCATCGCAAGCTACAGGTGTTACAGGTTCGTTTTGAATCAATGAAACAGTATTTACATCTCTGTTGTATCTTAGGAGGGAGGAAATGGTACAGGTGGAAAGAGCAGACCAGACAAGAGAAAAGAAAAACAACCTTGAAAGAGAAAGGTAGATGGTCACAGAAAAATACCTGTGTCAGAGAGTGACACACAAGGGAGATTAATGCAAACGGCGAGGGAAACGGTTTGATAGGGCGGAAGTACAGCAGGAAGATTAATGCAAACGGCGAGGGAAACGGTTTGATAGGGCGGAAGTACAGCAGGAAGATTAATGCAAACGGCGAGGGAAACGGTTTGATAGGGCGGAAGTACAGTTCTCTTCTCTGTATTGTATTCCATCCATTCAGCTACACATAGCTACTCTTCTACCTTAAAACATTGATTCTCCCGTGTGTGTGTGTGTGTGTGTGTGTGTGTGTGTGTGTGTGTGTGTGTGTGTGTGTGTGTGTGTATACTGTATCCTTTAGTTAAGGACAATTATCATGGCGGCTTAGGTGTAAAAAGGAGTAAGAAGACCATTGTCTTTACACTGAAGAGAACAATACTGTTCAGGAGACAGTATAAGATCAGAATTTAGATCCACTGGACTACCAGCTTACAGCCAGACACCTAAAAATCACAGTGTGCTGTTAAAATATATATAGAAGTAACATTATATGGACTCAATAGGTTATATTTGTGAATATATGTATTAAAAATACATATATATTTTTGCAAAAACAATTGAGGAAACAAGCCATGAATTTGAAGGAGAGCAGGGAAGAGGATTTGGGAGGGTCTGGAGGGAGGAAAAGGAAGGGAGAAATCTTAAAATTAAATTACAATCTCAAAAATAAACAATAAGTATTTTTGAAAGGAGAGTGAATTCACAGATTATTAAAGTTAAATTTTTAGCTTAAAAGAAGAAAAAACAGCTCTTTCGTGTTCTGGTTGTAATTCGAGGCATATGCAAAATGGGGGATGTAAGAGACGGCAGTCCTAACACACGGAACAGGAAGAGCTCTACTCGAGCTGCCACCGAACAGGAGCCGCGGGAAGACACAGCGCTGGGGAGGCTCTCCTAGCATGAACAGGAGCCGCGGGAAGACACAGCGCTGGGGAGGCTCTCCTAGCATGAACAAGGAGCCACGGGAAGACACAGCGCTGGGGAGGCTCTCCTAGCATGAACAGGAGCCGCGGGAAGACACAGCGCTGGGGAGGCTCTCCTAGCGTGAACAAGAGCAACCTTGGATCACTGCTTGACATAAAGAGCTTAGTCATTGGAATAGCTAAGAATTAGCCAAGGACATATAGAAGACTGGTTATTATTTTCCAAGTTGTTCCATTAAGCCTTAGAAATGAGTCCTCGGGCCACTACCCCTGTCCAAGCTCCCTGCTGTGCCTCCTCCTCCAGGGCTCACTCCCCTCTGTCCTGTAGACATACTGCCCATGGCAGGATCAGTGGGACTGACTGACCCTGATGCTTCACTACCACCCCGCACACGTCACATATGTTCCAGAAGGACATGGGATACAGCTTATTGAAGGGTCTAAATAAGCTTCTACTAAGGTTCAAGTTTTACCTTTCAGTCTGTAATGAATTAAGTTTTATAAAAGCGTGAAAAGAAAAAAGATCAAAGGTCAGAAAAGCAGAAGCGGAAAACACAAAATACATGTTTAACTTAAAAAAAAATAAAGTGGGAAGCTTATGAAAATAGCTAATTATGTTTTTAAAAGAAAATGAAAGAAAAATACTTTGAAAGAAGTACTACTACTTTGCAGATTGCAGATTTGGCTATACATAGTTGTAAAATTCAAAGAGCATCACAATAATTATTGCCTTTACATTGTTGTACACAATTGTAATAATAGTCTCTAAATTAGAATAAGTCTAAAATGCTCATCATATTTCACACAGCTAAAATTAGAAAACATAACAAAGAACACTTCTGACTTTAAAATGAAGTCACTTCATTCCATTTGAAGTCAGTAAAAAGATTCACAAAAGAGAGTCACCCTACCTAGTCTGGGAGGAAACGAAGTTAGAGGAGCCATAATGAGATCAACATGAGTTAAATTCACCAAGAAATATTCTTTTAGTTCCGGTATATCATCCTGCAGAAGTTACAATCATTGAAAAAAAAAGCCTTAATTATTTTTAAAGGAATTATTCCTTATAAGCTGCTTTTTAAGTTATACTACAAATGCATATGTATAAACAGCAAATATATTATAGAAAACAAATGCACAGTAAAAGTATTTAATTAGAAAATATAACTATAATAGTGTTAAACTTATATAGAAGTTATTAGGTTGAACACTATGAAACCACCTCAAAATTATAACACTTTAAGCACAGTTTATAAGCAAACCAACTATCTAACTATATGAACCTAATTCTTTTAAATACAACATAAGCAAAAGGTGTCAATTTCCCCACTACCTGCTCTTCAGAATGAGGAATGGAATGATGTTGTAGAAGCAATGAAGCTTTGCAACAGGAAGGCTGAGAACGACCTCTGGAATTTGAGGTAAGCTGTTTACATTCCAAGGCCTCAAATTTACAGTGCTTTTTAATGGAGAAATAATAACCACACTGGCATTGTTTGTGGGTAATGATTTAAAATAGTGTATGTGGAATATCCAGCTTCAAGGAATCCTTTGAAAGTGATAGTGATGATTATTAATCAGTAGTCCCACAATTAACAATGAAAACAAAGAAGATGCACTAAACATAGGAGAAGTAAAACCCATGTCAGAAGTGACTAACTGGCTGCTAATGTTTATAAGATTTATACAGAAACTGTGTGTGTGAACTGAGGTATATATAGATAGACAGATATATATATATATATATATATATATATATATATATATATATATATATATATAGAGAGAGAGAGAGAGAGAGAGAGAGAGAGAGAGAGATGATAAATAGGTAGAGAGATGGAGAGATAGAGACATATAGATACAGACAACAGATAGTCTAAAATATCAATACATAAATACCAACATGTTTTTCAATTTATTGGAGACATTTCCATGTGAGAAAACAAGAAGCTAAAAACTGATTTCTAGACAGGCCTGAGGATCTGGGCAAACATGAGCAGCAACCCTCCCTTACCACACCCTACTGTGGGGCGGTTGGTTTTTTTGGTCTTTTAATGGGTTTTGGGTCTGGGATAATTTTCATTGATTAGGGGGGTTGGTTACAAGTTGTTGTCAAGGGTTAGGAAAAAGGCTAAGCAAAGGAGATTAGATTTAAGGTTCTTGTTAAAAAAAAAAGAAAGAAAGAAAGAAAGAAAGAAAGAAAGAAAGAAAGAAAGAAAGAAAGAAAGAAAAGAAAAATGTAAATACTTTACATTGGATTGTTTTATATTGTATACAAATTATATATATTGAAATTGATATTGTTAGAAAATGTTATATATATTTTTCTAATTGTACCGTTCATCTAACAATGTAATGCAATTTTCTGATCCTTGAATGTTATTACCAACTATTAGGATATAAAGAAATGAAAGTTAGTAGTTAGATATTATAATAGAACTTGTAGTTATATTAGGTATGTTTTCAAGATTGAGTAGATATATTTTAGATAGACAGGTTATCTTCAAACCCTTCAGAGATCTACAGAATATGGCATTTAAAATGTTTTAATAACTTAGAAAATTTTTCTTTTTGTTATGATTATGAGACATGTCAGCTCCTGGCAGTACCAATCTACTTCAGAGAAAATATGGGCATTGAAGAAACTGCATATGGAGTTAACTTTCATTGTGGCAAAAGTTAGCCACTGGACAACAAAGTATCCTCGAATCAACAGGACAAAATGGACAGACAGGACATAAAACAAAGGATTACTGATTCTTGCCAAAACAAGTGTGGTTATGGCTTTATCAAAAGGCATCTTCTGAGGCCAGGACAATATGGCACCATCCCTGAAGTGGCCTTCGCAATTCGAAAAAGGTACAGTGCCCTTTTCTTCGAAGGCAGCTGAACAGGCAGTGGGCCGATGGCCTCTGATGTGCAATGGAACAGCAGCTGAAACAGTTATTCTTGAAGAGTAACTAAGCTCACGCCTCTCAATAGTAGACTGGCATTTGATAGAGGGATATGGAGAAGAATGGGATGCTGAGATGAAGCCATATATACACAGCCAAGAAGAATGGACAGCTGAATTAAAAAACCATCAACAATTTCCAGAATTTAAAATCCTGAATCATGACATGACACTAGTGGAATTCAGGTGTTTCTGGTACATGGACTACTCTCACTCAATGTGAGGTTGAACTGTTGACCTTGTGTACATCCTACTTCACAAATGAGTCTGTCAGATATGCTAAGCCTATAGGCTGAAGATGATGCCCCAGCACTTCAGAGAAACCTCAGGTGACTGTCCAGACAGCTGTCTGTTTCTGTCAACTCACAAATTTTTTGGAAGTTGCTTATGTGCACTTCCTGTTTTTATTTTTGTTAGCTAATATTATTTCCTTCTTGGGTCTCTGAGGGAGTTGAAGATTAGTTAGTTATAGTTGAAGGTTAGTTAGTTATAGTTGAAGATTAATTAGGATACATTTTGGACTTACCAAAATAGGATAGATAATGAAATTATTTTCTCTGAATTTGTCAAATACAAATGGACTAGACATTGTTTAGGTATTTATTACTTGTATATATTGTATATAGTTATTATCCTTTTGTATATAGTTTTTCTTATATTAGTTATAAGCTTTTTCTTTTTTTTCCTTTTTATTAAAATAGAAAAGGGGAAATATGGTGATACTTTATTTGTATTAAAATGTTATTTGTATGTTAATAAATAAAGTTGCCCGGGGGTCAGAGCTATTAGCATGTCATAGGAAAGCAGGGCAGTGGTAGCGTACGCTTGTAATTCCAGCACTTGGTAGGCAGAGCTGGGTAAGTCTCTGTGTGTTCAGGGATACAGCCATTATTGGATACACATGCCTTTAATCAATACCAATCATGGAAAACCTGGAGGCCTATACAGACAGGTCGTGAGGAGGTGGTCATGTGGTTGGGTTTACAACCAATGAGAAGGCAGGACAGGAACTCTATATAAAGACTTTAACACAGGGGTAGCTCTGGTTCGGAGAGGTAGGACCACCGCAGGAGGAAGGGTAAGGTTTTAGCTCTTAGCTCTGACCTCTTGTCTTTCTTCTTTGCATTGGTTCTGTGTTTCTTATTTAATAAGAAGGTTGGATACATCTACAGACTACAGTTGTCTGAGTCTGTATGTCGGGCCTGCTCGGTGTTAAACTAGCACGGCTTAGAGAACAAGGGTTGAAAATGAGCAAACAGAGAAGGCCGTGCAAGGGAGCATCCCTGCATCCCTGCTCACAAAACTAGACTTGGAGGTGGGGGCAGGGTGGGGGAGAGTGCATTTTTACTTTAAAAGCGCACATAACCAGGGAGCAAGTCTGTGTGTGTGTGTGTGTGTGTGTGTGTGTGTGTGTGTGTGTGTGTGTGTGTGTGTGTTTATAAGGTGTATTTATAGTGTATAATTAGCTACATTAACAGATCAGGCTTTTATAATGATTGTTTAGAAGTTTTGTCAGATCCTTCACCTGTTACACACTGACATGAGAGTGCCTTTCATTCTTGGATTTAGTTTTTTTGTGTTGCAATGGGCCACAGTGCAGTGGAAATAACAACTAATGTCACAGGGTATATAGCCTATATTACTAATAATATTGTACAAAGCCCCTGACAGAATAAAAGCTTGAAAATCGAACTTGAAAATACAAAATGACAGAAACGTATTTCCAAATACATAGTCATTCTCAGCACTAGACCATATACCATCTTCACTCTTTCTGTTTACAATCTTCCCATGACTGCCTAGAAGTCCATGTACACAGTTGAACCCAAATCCCCAAATGACACAAGATTTCATGCTATGAAACTCATTGACGGTGCAATTCAGTCACCACTGATGAAGTCTGGCCATAACCTTGTTTTCTGCCATCAGCCTCTAGAGAGTTTGCCATTCTCTGATTTAACTATTCTTTCCCACAAAGACTATGATCTACATGAACCTGTGGGTTCAGTGAATCCTTTGACATTATCAAAATACTCCCTCGGAACCTCTTAGGCCAAAGCCACTTTGGAAATATCTATCACACAATGTTTCTATAATAAAACGCACAACAGCACACTGGCCAGTCTAAACACAAATGGAGATCCCGAGGGGGATCTGAAAGAAAAAAATATCAGGGAAAGCAATAACCTGATTTAAAGCCACAAGCAGGGGAGACCAAACAGATGGAGTCTCAGAATCTCTACCCACAGTAGAGCTTTCAAGTTTTGAAGAAAGTTTACAAATATTAAAGACAATGATACTTAATATAGAGACAACTAAAAAGTGTTATATAATCTTAGTCATCATGAAAATTGCTACCTCTAAATACGAAGTTACTAGAAATCGCTAACCACATTACACCGTTTATGTTATACATAGAATGTTCTATCCATTTCTACTTTCTGTGTAATCATTTAGGCTTATTATAAGATGATGGAAACAGCACTGTTTACCTCAAGAATGGTGATGTTGATGGCTGCTGTTGTCTCCCCTTCTTCTAAAACCAGAAAGCCCGTCACAGGGACAAAGTCAACCTCTGGCTCCGCTGGCGTTCCTTCTGTTTCATTTCTCAGACTCCCTAGTCCAGGAACGGTGGCGTACGTGACATTGATAGCTCCTGAGGGAAATTGTCAGAAAAAGACTTTGTGATTATCTACACCTTTATAACTGTCTCACCGTGAACTCTTCCCTTTTATTGTAAGTCCCATACCTCACTCTTGCACATGCGTACGACCTCCACATGTGTTAGAGCACAGGGATGGTCTACTATCGTCAAGATGCAGGCCCTGCCTCTGGACTTGCAGTTTGGCTATGGGACTTGTGTTGGCCAAACAGGGCAGGGTAAAAGTGCTGATGTCGTCATTTTAAGCCCATACCCGGAGGGCCTGGCATACTTTCATTTGCTTTATTATACCTTTACTTGTCCCAGTAGAATAATGAAAAGCATGAAGAACAGCCACATAGGCCAAGCCCATCCTAGTAAGCAGACCCCAGAGCAACCCACTGCCCTCTGCCCTGGGACTGAACGGCTGTTTGGGCCACAGCATCTCTGTGAAAACAGATAATCCCTTTAACTTGTGTAAAAAATAAAGAAGTTACAAAGTTCTGAACATCATTTGCTTTCATGGATTTAAAATAGAATTTTAAAAATAAAACAAAATTTCTAGGCCCTTGCCTAGGAACCCCACTTACCACTTATTCCAAAGGAATACAAACCTAGAGATCCAAACTCTCTGTTGATGAACAGTTGAATTGTTACATTAGCCTCTTGTAGTAAAACAAATCTTGAGGAGAGAGCAAAGTTTAAAACGCCATGAGGCTCATCACTGGCTTCGACCGTCAGTACGGCTGCGTATCCCTGGCCGTCAAGCAGAGCGACTCCCGCGGGCAAGACTCCTAAACATATCAAGGAGCCCATCAGGAAGCCAAATGGTCTTGTCAGAAACTTCAGAATTCTTAAAACACTGTGTGTTTGCTGAGCCTGTGAAGCCTAGCCAGTGCCCACGCCCCTCCCAGAAATCACCAGGCTGGCAAACAGTATGCACCCCATTTTCCTTCCACTCAACCAACTGTGAACTCTTCTATGTGGATGTTATTGTCATTATTGAATATACTGGTTGTCTGAATTACAGAAATTAATAGACAAGAAAAAAATCCTACTCGAGAAATTTGCTAAAAAATGGACAAATTTAAATTACCCATAAACAGTAATTGGTACAAAACTCTAAATTGGTTTTCTAACATAAAAACAAATTCATAAACTTTTATCTTTAGAAATATATTTTCTTCAATAAATAAATATCCTGCATGTCACACAGCCCTCCTTAGGCTGAGGTAGAAGATCGTGAGTTTGAAGATAACTTGGACTCCATGAAGTTGAGGCCAGCCTGGGCTACGTAACAGAACCTTGTCTCAGAAAGCTAACCACTGCACAGCAGAACATTTAAAATCATTTTTATACTTGTTTGTGTTGTGTATGATTATGGGTGGGTTCTTTCGTGCGTGCATGTGTTTGTGTGTGTGTGTGTGTGTGTGTGTGTGTGTGTGCCACAACAGTGGACATGTGGACATCAGTGAAAACCACGGATCTAGGTCCTCTCTTTCTACTTATTTGGGACAAGGTCTTTTTTTTTTTTTTTTTTTTTGCCACTGTATATGCCAGACTAGCCAGCATGTGAGCTCCCAAGGATTTTCTTTTCTCCGTCTCCCACCCTGCTATAGGGATGCTTGGGATTAGAGGTATGTACAGCCACGTCCAGCTGGGTTCTGGGTATCTGAGCTCGGGTCTTCTGTCACACAGCAAGCACATCGGCCACTGAGCCATCTTCCCAGCCCTATGCAGCAAAACTTCTAGAGTAGTTTCCTTCAGCCCATAAGGATAAGTGTTTACATGCCATCCTAGAAGGGTTTTTTTCTTCAGTATAATATTTATGTGGGACAGATAGTATTTAAAGTAACCTCTTCTAAAAGACAGGATCTCACTTTGTAGTTCTGGCTGGCCTGGCACTTACAATGTGAGACAAAATCTCACAATCCTCCTGCCTCAGCCTTCTGAGCACTGAGATCGCAGATGTACAGCACCATGATCTCCAATGTAACATTCTTTAGACCTACCTGTTAAACATACTGATAGAAACTATCTCATTTCTCTCTTTTCTGAAATGAAAATACCAAGGAAAAGTTCAAAAATGAATTCTAAATTACCTTGGGTCTTGACATCATACAGAACGACATGGTAAACTTCTTTCTCCTCAGGAATATTGTCATCCAGCAAATGTACAAATATTGTTTTATTCAATGTCCCCTGTGCCAAACAGAGAGAAACACCATGCTTGTATTGTTACTGTGCATAAATTCTCTCCTGCTTTCATTGGCCTTGTGCTTATGCTGTGCAGTCAAACATAGCTTCATTTGAACCAAACATTGTCTTAGAAATTAATTAAACAGGAACCACTGACTCATGAGGAAGCAGGTTTAACGCATAGAGACACTAACTGGACATTCTGACCACTGAGCAAATCATTTTAAATCTTAATCAATGACTGATGTATATGAGAAAGCAGCATCATGAAGAGATCTTTGTAGGAGTGATGACAGAAAAAAAAACTGAGAAAAAAAATACTGAGGGGTTTCAGTCATTAGATGCTCAACCCAGTGCACAAGGTGACAGGACATGGCTTCGGCTCTGCATCAAAGCAGCAGAAACGAAGACAAAAGCTAACTGCACCAAGGAAGAACAAGGTAGGTAAAAGGTGGACAAAATGATGATAAATACAGTATAGTGGTGTTCGATTTCTACTGTTTTCCTCAAAATGCTGCACGTTCTTCTAAAAATGTATGGCAAACTTTTCTTCATGATATTACCTCAGAGAAAAAGAGTTGGCCTGTCAAGTTAGCAAAATTGACTTCTAGATTTTGTCCAACAATTTTCCAGTCAACAGTGACATTTCCTCGACCAGGGGGTGTTCTGATCACATGGAACTGCAAAATTTCTCCTGCAAGTAAAAAATGCAGATTATAAGCACTTACTGGGAATGAAATTAATGTTTGAACTCAACAAAACCCAAACTCAAGCATGCAACTCTTTTGGGTCCTTTTCTAAAAACATAACAGAACTGTTCTGTTGTGAATCTTCCAGGTGCTTTACACATCTTGTTATTCATCAGCACAGAGATCCTCCTTCCAAATACTTTCTGTGGGTAGAACTTCAGGAAATACAAGATGTATTACAAAAGTTGAGAAAGCAGCTGGTAAAATGGGAAAGAAACTTGTAAGCACTCCAAAACATGCAGCAGAACACGGTCTTCCGTAACACTACAACTCTATAGTCAAAACTAGTAAGGACACAAGGGAATTCCTTCTTCGTTTCCCCAAAGGACACAAATTCCTTACCCCAGTACACAATGTGACTTAATACAATGCATGCATGAAAATGCTTGTAGATATCTCAAAATCACATTTGTTTAGGTTGTAACTTACATATATCACCAAGGATTTTGTTTTGTAAAAGGAAATACAAGGAAAGGAGTCAAATCTGTCCATCTGTCACTTCAGCACAGTTACATTAGCATTCCCTAGTAACAGGTTAAGTATTTCCCTTTCTTGGCTTTTATCAACATGCAACATTTTACAAAACTTAAGAAAATTACTAGTCATTTCTTTCAAATTGCTGAAAGGGCAAAGGAGGCTATTTGGAACTATGCTGATGGCTACATGGCTTGCTAAAATGATGCTCAAATTGCTTATTCTGCATAATGATAAATATAAGTTGCAGTACACTATGAACAACATCATTGAAGTTATAATGAAACAGGAATCAGTATTATTTTAAAAGGTTTGAAGAACACATCTTTATTTGTAGTTTGTAGCACAAAAATAAAATTGAAATACACAAATATTCACTTAAGATGCCATTTAAAAAAACAGCTTTTGTGTATCTTAGCAATCTTCCAACACTTTTCAAATAAGAGTAGAAATAAAATATGAACACCACATTCTAATCTTTTTCAAACTACCACATTTCTAAACTTCTAAACATAATCAATCTAAACACATATTTCTTCATTTTTATTTTTGGTATTTCTGGAGAAACCCCACCAAGGGGTCTCAGATATGCTAGACAAGCACACACTGAGCTACAGCTTAAGGCCCCAAAACATTATATCTAGTATAAATTTCTTAAATTAAAATATTGTGGCTCAATTCATTTAAAGACTACAAATTACGAATAAACTGCAATAAAATTGTACTACTAAGTCTAAACACAAAATTTTATTAAAATGAATTATTTGTGGGCAGTCAGGAATTATAAGGCAAAACACTAGAAAGATTTTTAAATCCATATTAAGTATTTTAATACAAAAGGACTTAGTCATCATTACTTTAGTAGGCTGTTTTTGGTTGTTTTCTTGTTCAACACATAGGAAAATTGATGATCACGAGAATACTTCAAAGAGTTAAGAGTAGCTGAAAGTACACAATCAGTTACCGTTGCCCAAGCATCATTTAACAGGTTTACATGTGTATAATCCATATGGACAAACACAAACATGAACTCCTAGAGATGCTCCTCTATGCAGCACAGAGAGCTTCCTTCCGAGCGTATCTGTACTGCAGGCAGAGGGAGAGCTTTGCAGTTATTGACATGTTTTATGGGTAGTGTCAATGACAAGGTTTCTAGAGTCATGGTGGGCAAACTTTCCAAAATCCCCAAACCTGACACTACTTTAAAAACACTGAGAATTTCAAGAAGTGCAAGAAGACTTGCAAGAAAGACGGGCAGGTCAATGACTGTCCAGCTTGACGGGGATCCTTTACTCTTACTAAAAGGTTGAGTCTGTTTAGTTGTATACAAAGATATGGGAATAAAGACACCATTCTGCGATGAAAAGAAAAATAAAACGCACAGAAGAGGAAACCAGTAAAAACCTCCCTTCAAGCCTGCCCCACGTAACACTCAGTGTCTAACACTACTCCATGAGCATCTGCTCTGGAAATGATCTATTGGCAGAAACACAGTATAAAGCTTGCCATTCAATTTTCTAAGCTGTAATGAAAACGAAGGACATGGTTCTGCCTCTTTCAGGAAGACTCCCAAGATCTAAAGTCACTGAAATTGCCTCCTGGGAAAAGGAACTCATATGTCGGAGGTGATCTTCACAAGGTGACACTCAAAAAACAGCCATGGAAAAAGGAAACAGACCTAGGAGGCCTTTGCCTTCCAAATCTGGCAAATAACTGGAGGGAACCCTGAGAGAGGACATGCTCTGATATCCAAATATGAACATTTCATGGGATCCTGAACCACCTTCTGTGGTGATATATTGTGTACCCTAATAAACTTTACCTGAGGATCAGAGGACAGAACAAGCCACTAGATTAAACATAGAAGCCAGACAGTGGTGGCATACACCTTTAATCTTAGCACTTGGGAGGCAGAGATCCATCCGTATCTCTGTGAGTTCAAAGCCACCCTGGACTACATGAGATTGACTCCACCTAAGAGAGAAACAGAGCCAGGCAGTGGTGGCACACATCTTTAATCCCAGCACTTGGGAGTCACACACCTTTAATCCCAGCACTAGAGAGGTTGAGGCAGGAAGTGATAGAGGAGACAGGAGCTGAAGGCTTTTCTGCAGAAGTGTCCCTTTCAGCTAAAGGGTCTTCCAGGCTGAGGAGCTGGTGAGGTAAGGTGAGGTGGCTGTGGCTTGATCTGTCTCTCTGATCTTTCAGCATTTACCCCAATATCTGACTGACTCAGTGTAGCTAGAGTCCACCACACAGCTTAATGTGCCACTTATAGAGGCCTCATTCCCGCCATACTGCAGGTCAAGCATGCATGCCAGGAACCCGCCATAGTAGCTCAAACACACAGGCTGCCGCTAGCTTAAAAGAGACAACTAGGAGCTGTTTTTAGCTCCGTTTTAGAATCTTTTTTCTCAGGTTTTAGGTGGAAACTCGTGCCCCACGTTGGGCGCCATTTGTAGCTAGAGTTTTCCTGCCTGGCCCACAGTCAGGACAAACTCTCTCACCTGCCAGTCCCACAGCCCCTCAGACCGAACCAAGTAAACACAGAGACTTATATTGGTTACAAACTGTATGGCCGTGGCAGGTTTCTTGCTAACTGTTCTTACAGCTTAAATTAATCCATTTCCATTAATCTATACCTTGCCATGTGGCTTGTGGCTTACCGGTACTTTACATCTTCCTTGTCCTGATGGCAGCTGGCAGTGTCCCTCTCACCCAGCTTCCTGTTCTCTCAATTCTCCTCTCTGTTAGTCCCACCTATACTTCCTGCCTGGCCACTGACCAATCAGTGATTTATTCATTGACCAATCAGCAACACATTTGACATACAGACCATCCCACAGCAACTCAGGGTTTTTTTTTTTTTTTGAAAGACCAATTTAGCAATTTGTGTTACAACCTTCCATATCTTGTTGAGGCATGCATGATCTCACCTGCCAGGGTCTATACAACACTGGAAAAATCATCCAACATGAAGTCCACACAGCCACCCAAAGCCAGAGGAGTGACTGTGTACGTGTGTGTGTGTGTGTACGTGTGTGTACGTGTGTGTGTGTGTGTGTGTGTGTGTGTGTGTGTGTGTGTGTGTGTGTGTTTATTTTGAAGGTCATTTTAAAAATGAAGTTGAAGACAATCTGAAGAGGAACACAGATTTTTCTCATTAAATAAGTATGGTGAATAAATGAAAATGTAGGAACTCTGCTCTGTCCACTGCAACTCCAGCAATAAATTCTAGTTTCTGGAGGTTCTTATGGTTCTAAAATGGAGGGGAACCATGACAATTAATACAGTTCACATAAATCTACAGCCACAGTCTCAGAGTGAGGATTTTCTGACTGGATTTAATTACTAATTTAGTTTAATTACTAATTCCTCTTCATTGTATTTGTTGAAGACTTGTGCCTGTCAGAACAAAAATGACCACAATATGCTTTCAGATGAAACTCATTCAGCCCCAAAAGAATAGAGGTCTGGGCTCTGCAGATTCTCTGAGATGCTACGGTAGCCACCAGCAGATGCTGCTCCTTCAGGGGTCTTCCACCCACCATTCCTATCACTACTTAAACAGTCACAGAATAAGCTTGCAGGACATGATTGTCTTACAGTTTAAAAACACCATCAGTAGATGCTGGGTGCCTATGTACTCTTTAATACATATTGTAATTAAATCTTCTAGAATTTTATACACTGTATTCTGGTTGTATTTGCCCCCTTCCTCCAGTTCCTCCCAGATCCACCCCCATCCCTTGCCCACCCAGCTTTGTGTCTTCTTTAAAAATAAAAAAATCCAGCAGGGCATGGAGGTACATGACTTCAACACCAGAACTCAAGAGGCAGAACCAGGTGGATCCTTAGGAGTTCAAGTCCAGCCTGGTCTACAGAATGAGTTCCAAGATGGCCAATGCTATATTGCAAGACATTGTCTCAATACACACACACACACACACACACACACACACACACACACACACACACACACACACAAGCCATTCTGTGGCCACTAGAACGTGTTCCACCTCGCAGGGGACACAGCCATAAAGAAAACTGATTCATCCTCTCCGAGCAGAGGTGGGACTCTGTGCCCACCTCTCCTCCTCATGCTGGTGTTTTATCTAACTTGAGCTTAGGCAGGACTTGTGCATGCTGTCACAACCACTGTGAACTGATACTTGTGCATGCTGTCACAACCACTGTGAACTGATACATGCAACTGCCCTGCTGAGTCCAGAACACACTTTTGTTTTAGTTATTTACTAGCTTGGGCTCTTACAATCTTTCTGCCCACTCTTCCACAATAATCCCTGAGCCATAGGAGAAAGGAGTACTTCACAGATGTCCCTTTAGGGCTGAGCATTCAGCAATCTCTTCCTCTGTGCACCTTGGCCAGTAGTAAATCTCTATATTAACCACCATCGACAGCAAACAGTGGCTTCTCTGGTGAGGGCTGAGAGATGCACTAATCTATGGGTGTAACAATTCACTAGGAGTTCACTTAGTACTTTAGCAGAGTAATAGTTGTAGCGTCTCCCTTGGAGCAATGACGGTCGTCTAACTACTGGGTGACTATTGAAGTGTTTCTCTCCTGGGTCTCTTCGGCACCGTCTCCTGTCTCACAGTCTTCCTCTCCAGCACCTTAGCCTGCTGTTCCACATTGCTCCACCCCGATAATGTGCTTTTCCCCTCGGTCCATGATGTCAATGAAAATCCAACTTCCAATTCTTTTTTTTGTTCGTTTGGTTTTGTTTTGTTTTGTTTTCTGAGACAGGGTTTCTCTGTGTAGCTTTGTGCCTTTCCTGGATCTCACTCTGTAGACCAGGCTGGCCTGGAACTCACAAAGATCCACCTGCCTCTGCCACCCAAGTGCTGAGATTAAAGGCGTGTGCCACCACCGCCCAGCCCAACTTCCATTTCTAATAGGAGACAGAGCAACGTCTCTTCCTGATTTCCTTCTTTCAAATAGACAGCACTACTCAGAGTTAGTAGTCCTGCAACTAAAGTCACTTCAAATGTTCACAATTTCCTACACTGTCAGGTTCTGTGGCAGACACAAATCCAAGCAAAACAGTCTCCATTGAGGAGTTTCCCTGCTGAGGAACATGAGCTTTGGGTTCCAGTACCGGGGAGGGGAAGTTCCACCACTGATCTCAGGTGCTCTCGCTTGATTTCAGGGTGTGTGAGGGCCTACAGTCAGACTGCCACTAAAATAAGGAAATAATGGGAGTGGATCTGACACACAGGTAACACTCCATGAACTTGTCACCATTACTAACGATTCCTGCACTGCATATAACTTTTGATAGCAAGTTTTCTTTACAGTAGATTTATGACAATTTATTAGTTGCTTTTATTCATTATTTGAGTGACAAGATGCAATTCTAAACCAATAGGAAATATAAAGAGTGTCAGAAAAGGACTCATAGTTTTAGATGAGTTCAGCAAACTTGCATGTTGGAAGCATACAGTACAGAGACAACAGGTGCACCCTAGCACGCATCAGGTTTCCAGCACAGCCACTAACTGGCTCCTTGGCCCTGTAAGTAACTTAATCTGTGTCTCGGCTTTGTGTTGCCTCTCAAGAGATCCAAATATATGAGCCATGTCATTTTCATATCTTAAGTCCTTAAATTAGAATTATTTTCAGATATAAACAATGAATTCAAACTATGTGGTAAAGTACATAAAGTAATGTTTCATTAATTTCAAAACAGGCTTATTCAGAGATACCACCCCTGTAATATCTGAATCAGATGAAAAGTAGAACACACGGAATACCAAAGATGCAGAGAAATTCTAGTGTTTAAAACAGTGAACACTGTATCAAGCTTTCTTGTATGGCGCTCTGTTCATAAAACATAGAAAACTACAAAGTTGAGTCTAAAATATTCAGAAATTACAAATATTTCCACAGAAATTTGGTGTTTCACTGTTTAATAATAATAGGTGCCGAAATACACACACTACACTTGCCAAAAGCTATACTAATCAGTTCACAGTTTACAGTTCACTGACTCCTCCCAAAGAACTCTATACAGTATGGAATGTTTTGTGATTTAGTAGATGAGAGAGCCAGGCATTCCAGCTTTGAGGCTCCCAGCACTGCCAGCGATGGGGAACGGTGGGGAAAGGTGAGCTAGATCACAGCGTGCGTGAGGCTCCCACACCTAGTTAAGCAATGCCCGCCACGTGGTCCTCTGTGCTGCACAGATTAAAAACACAGTTCAACAAGAGAAAGAAAAAAACAGACACTTCAAAACACAGGACAAAGAAAATGACATCTGTGGGGATAAGAAAGAATGTGTCCAACAACACAAGGGACCCACCTTCATGGCCTATGACGGACCTCGAAGCTGTCTGAAAGCTGACAATCCCCGCCACGTTGTCATTGGCCAAGATGTTCACTGTCACAGTGTCAGAGCTGGGCAGGATTCTGCTTCCACCTTCCGTGTGCACCAAACGAACCAGGAGACTCTCGTCATCTTCCGGCTCAGGGTCATCCAAAATTGTTAAAACAGCCGTCTTTTTGGTTTCACCTATAAGAAAGTTAACGGAATTAAAAGTTAAATCAGTCAAATACCAACCTGAAAGGTCAAATATAACCTCTAATTTTAGAAGGTAAGTAAAAACGTGTGAATCACAAGAGTCCAGTGCTGTGAGCAGCACTGTTAGCACCACAGCAAACTGAAGAGTGTGCTCAGTTACCTGTGTTCCTACATGGAAAGCACTGTAAAGTCTACATGGACAGACTGTGGAGGACATGGAGTCGTGGAAAAGTCAATGAGGAGACCTGTTCCAAAGAGCCACAGTTCACTCCCTGGTCTTTGTGGGAAACACTGGTCTACCTGGGAAAGAATGCTGAGGCCATGTTCAGGAGTTCCCTTAAGGAAACAGAACCTCACTCCTCTTGTGCCATTACTGGGAATCGTTTTATCCATCCCAATGTCTCTCTTGAAGGCCTCCAGCGCATATGGAACGGCAGTCAAACTGGGCCCCAGAGGAAGGGCAAGTTCCGAGCAAAAGCACCAGCAAGAGCACGGTGACTTTGGGGTGGATAGTTGAGATGGCACCGTCATGTATTAGTTTCCATGTTGCAAGGACTCATGGAGACAACGGAGAAATGTAACAAAAAGCGAGAGTCCAGTGAGGATGCAGTGTTTGACACAGGGTTCTGTTAACAGAGAAAGTGCTGGGAGATGTCCTGAAGCATGCCTGCTTCTGCTGCTCACGAAGGAGATCAGTTTAGTTCCTGTCCATGTTTAGGAAAGAGGATGAAAAGGATAGATCCCAGGGCATTTCCATCAGTACTTCAGGCCCGAGATTGCCTCAGGAGGGCACATTAGCTTTTGTTTTATTCCTTATGGTTCTGGGCATTGAACCAAGGACCTTGGTTTGAGACAATATATTACTCAGCAATCTAAGTTAGCTACAAAATAAAGTCTATTTTGTGCAAAGCTAAAGTTTTAATTTAATGTAATAGTAAATTTAAGCCAATGTAATAATAATTTATATAATGGTGCTGCTTTATATGACATGGTCATTTATATTTATCTAAGCCATGAGAAAATTTAGTCATAACTTTTTATCTTTACCCATCTTATTACATTTTTGTTATTCACTTTCAAACAGGGGAAAATGTCACCAATTACCAGCCTCCCTCCCTCCAGCATGCATTCAAGATTCAAGCTACCTGTTTAACCCCCAAACAGTTTCATGAGTAATGTTTTCTAGCATTTTATTCTTATTTCATTTTAACTTTTGAGATAGTCTATCTACTGGAGCCCAACATTGCCTCCAACTCAGTACATACTGTAGATGGTGGTAAATCCCGGGCCCTCCGGCTCCTGACTCCATCAGCTGAGTGCTAGGATTATACAGGTATATACTGCCATAGTTGGTTTATGGGGTGCTAGGGATCGTATCCAGGGCTTCATGAATGACAGGACAAACATTCTACTAACTGAGTTGCATTTCCAGCCAGGTTTATGGCATTTTAAAATTGTATTCTCAAACACAATGTTTATTAGATATTTTAAGTCTATTACATATATAGTTACTAGTTTCAAAAATGTGTGTGCATTAAAATATAAATAGAGGCAATGAATTGCTCTGAGACATAGAATTGCTAATAATTTAAAACTTATTCAGTGTATATTCTGAGGTTCTCATGAGTATGTATAACTTTTTCAAACAGGAAAGAAGAAAAAAAACACTTAAGAACTATGGTATCTCTTACTGTTCAACTCAAGATTTTAAAAAAATGTCCTGAATAAAATTACATTTACTATACTGAGTAAATATACTAGAAACTTCGCAAATTTTAAATATTATAAATCAACTATTGCTAAGATCGAGTAAGTGAAGATGACCGACATTTGACACTGTTGGCTGCATTTCGTCCATCACTTATGGAAAATCCCATGGCACTCCTCCTGTACAAGTTTAAGAACACTGTAGCAAGCTAATCTATGACAATGATCAGTTCAAAACAAGTACAACTGTCAAACTTCAGACTACTTTTACTTAAAGATTTTCACTGACGTTCTGTCCTGCTTTACCTAGTGCATCTGAAAATGTTATATTCTCAGGTAGCACTGCTTCTTCAACACATTTGGTTATAGGTACACTGCTTGTTCCTGGAACTTTCCTTGTAAAATTAGAACCTGCCTTGTGATTGCTGATGACATATGAAAGCCATTGTCATCATGCATAGAGGGATTACATTCACATATTCCCTAAACATCTTCTTTAAAAATTAAAAGCATACATATCTAGGGCCTGTTAGTCTATGTCTGCTAGGATAATCATTTGTAAGCTGAATCACTATTGTTTCCAAAACCACATTGCATCTCTATATGAATACGAATACACAGGTAAATAAAATATTTATGAACATTAGCATAATACTGACTCTGATGACTTTACCAAGAAACGCTAAAATCCACTTATCCATGACTCACCTTCTGCAAAAGTAAGAATGTCTCCAGCACCTATAAAATCTAGACCTTCAGTAGCTGTTCCACCAACAACACGCCATTCAACAGTCACCTGCCCCAAGCTGCCTCCTGTCCTGTGGATGGCCAGCTCCACGGAGGTTTGCGCCTGCTCCTGCACTTCCACACATAAGCCGTCTTCCGTGGTATTGGGACTAACACTGTAGATAATGAAGATTCCAAAGGCATCGCCATTCAGCGCTATGACCACTGCTGAAGTATTTGGCTGCCCTATGGTTGGTTGGTTTTTAAAACTGTCTGTGATGTTCATGAGGTGAACTTCAAGGAGAGAAATTAGGAAACTTTCGTCCTTCTCTGGAACATCATCAGGAAGTACAGAAACAGTGAGATTTGCAAATTCATCACCTTCAAGCATCAGGGCCCACTGCCTTGTCAGAGGCTCATAGTCACTACCAGCCACTGCCTGGCCACTAAAAAGAGAGGCCACCCTGGTCATGTTCTTCTTGTAGGTCCAGAAGTCTGAGCTGTTCACAGTTAAGCTGGCCCACGATGTCATCCAAAAGCACTGAGGACCGTCAGTTGCACTGACAACTGAAAACGCAGAACAAGCATGTTCTCTGAGACACAGAGTGGCACAGGTGTCCTGTGCCTCCTCCAGTGAAGAGACATTCAGCCGAGTTCTCCAGAGGGGGTCGGGCATCCCCTGAGTCGGTGATTCATAGTAGGACAACACATCTTCACCTTCCTCAATGGCAAGAGCCACTACATCGATATCAGAAGTGCTGTAGAACAACAAGAGGCGGCCAAAGCATCCTCCGCTGAGATGTGGGGACAACGGAAAAACAGTTAAGCATTCGCACTACTCCATGAGCCACCCATAGAGAAGAACAACAGGGACTGTGGCTTTGAGAAGCTTTCTTGGTAATATTTTAAACACTAGTACTAACACAACCAATTTCTAAATTACGTTTGTCTTTCATCGTTTCATTTTCTAGTGTCAACTATGCTGGCTAGTTTTCAACTAAATAGTGCTTACATTTAATCATGCTATGAAAATATTTTGCAAGGTAGGCAAGTTGTAGACATTTCAGAATTTCCAGACATAATTACAAAACCTTAATTATTAGATTCCACTGAAAGAATACCAATGACAGCAAAATGAAGATATTTAGAGAACTATAACTATTTTGCTACAGGTCCCTAAACCTTCTGTGTTCTATTTCTGAAACAGGTCAGTGAACATTATGCTCCCTACAAAAGAAATGCATGAAAAAGACCCTAAAAGTCCACCCTTCATGCAACATCTGAGCTTAAAAACAACCCGTATTCAAGTTCTAATTAGAACATACTACATAGTAAAGCAATAGATTTGTGTAACTAGAAAGCAAATGGTGTAAAAATATCTTTATCTCATTAACAGTACTTCTAATAAATATGATTAAGTCTATCAGTACACAGAATCCAACTAACATAATAATGTATGGCATGTTACAATGGAAAAAATAAGAATGTAATTTTTTAGTTACAGCAGGATCCTTCCCCGACCAACACTCCCACAGACACAGCAGCCCACTCATGTACCTTCTCCTGACAGTTATGTTAGCATAGGAACTTCTTTCCAGAGGCTCGTGGACACGGTAAACCGACTGAACAAAGGCTACTGAGCCGTAAGGGTCATCATTGGCAGGAATAACAGTACTTGCCACTCGATCTAACCCAATTGTACCTCCACCAGATGCGCCAGTCAGCCGCACTTGGATAACCTAAAAACATAGTGAAAACTTCCTTAACAGCACCCCAGTTCTGAAATCCAAATATAAATGATTCAGAGAAACATCAAACACATCCTTATAGGAATCAAATACAATGAAATATAAATAACAGCACCCCAGTTCTGAAATCCAAATATAAATGATTCAGAGAAACATCAAACACATCCTTATAGGAATAAAATACAATGAAATATAAATAACAGCACCCCAGTTCTGAAATCCAAATATGAATGATTCAGGAAAACATCAAACACACTCATAAAAGAACAAAATACAATAAAATATAAATGACCCCAAAAAACCTGCCCCAACTATACCCAGAAGCCCACATACAACAAAATACTACACGATCAACTTTTAATAGTAGAGCACAACAATACAAAAGAATTACAGGCTGTTCAAATCACTTAGTATTTGCTTAGATAGTCATGGGAATCATTTTTTAAATCCTGCTTATCATTGTTATAATAGACTTTCATAACCCATGCCTTTCTTACTGAGAAGAACTATTGCATATCCATTTCACTAAGTAAATCTGTTCTGGGTTTCCCCCACCATATCTTAAATAATAATTATCAGCAAAACTTTAAAAAATCATGACGCCATCTAAGTTTCAAAAGAAGGAAAGAAAATATATTACATGTATTAATGCACGATTAATATTTTTAAAGTGAATAGTGGCATAATTAGCCAATAAAGTAAATGCTGTAGACTTCATATGCTGTTAAATGGAACTGTTATTAAAAGGAATATGAGATCTAGATTTTAATAATATTTGAACTTCATAAAATTATCTATGATAATGTGTTAGTGATTAATAAAGTTACTCTTATTTGTCATATTGCATGCTCATCATGAGAAATCCCAGGAAAATGGACCTAGCATGCTTGTTATAACAGCAGAAGAACGGCAGGAGTGAATGTGTGGAACATCAAAACTACACTTGGTTGCAACTGGCACACACTCAGATGGGAACAGGATACAAATCAGAATTGTTATATGAAACAAATGCCACACAATTATGATATGCATACATAATTATATGAAACAAATGCCACACAATTATGATATGCATACATACATAATCACTTAGGAAATGTTTTCTAAAACACACCATACTTGCCCACACAAAAAAACAATCTTAAACTGGCAAGCTGGCCTGTGCACCATGCATTCCTAAATTGTTCCTGCTTCTGTGTTTTGTAAGAAACGTCTCTAGACTAGCGTTCTGTGAAATCCCTACAGAAATCACGCGTTTGTCATCCTCACAGCAGCATTTATCTGTTCTAGTCACTACGTAAGACAAGGCACAATGTACAACGTCATTCTATACTAGTTAGTCCTCTCACCTCTTCAATCTCCGGAACGTCGTCAGCCAGGACCTCTAACAACAAGGTTTGAATGGTTTCCCCAGGGGCAAAGGTCACATTACCTGAGACAACTCGCAGGTCGCCAGTAGCAAGTTGTCCATTAATGGTGGCAACCCACTGAACAGTAACATTGCCGAGTGTCCCAGAATTTCGAATTACTGGCAGGCTTACCCTCACTGAGTTAAACTCAGGTTCCTCTACAATAAATTTAGTATTCTGAAAACCTGAAGGGCAGACAGAATGATTGTTTTTAGATACAAAGTGAAACTGTGACAAACAAAAGCCAAGCTGGGACCTCTGAGAACAGGCGCTCTCCCCTTAGGCACCCTGAGCAGGTCTGGCAATGTTCTGTGGTGCAAGGTGAACAGGACTGCTCCTATTTCCCAGTCACCTTGTATTGTGGCAAAAGCAGATCATGGATGTCTGCAGGGGTCAGGTTTTTACCCAGCATGAGTTAAATAAACCCAGGGAGTGCTGTAGCTACTGTAGGGCCAGCCTGGGCTACAAAAGCAGTTGCTATTTTGCTTCCTGGCTGACATTATGCAGGAGAAGGGGCTCGATTTCACCATTTTTTTTCTTACTTATACAGAAAGTTAAGCAACCCAAATATGAGTGGAAATTTAATTAATTAATTATTTAAAAGCATTATATAAAAGCCAAAGTCGGGCATGATAGTCCATGCTTATCATCCCAGCATTAAGGAGGCTAATAAGGAAAGTCTCAAGTTCCAAGACAACCCAGTCATCACAGGTAGCAAGACATTGTCACCCAAAGCTCAGAAAAAAAAATTTACAGAACACATCTAGGAGCCAGACATGACACAAATCAAACAGGTTATGACTATCTCTATGCTTACAGGTGTCTGATTTCATTTCCTAGGTAACCACTAACCTATGTCAGGAATCTTATGTATAAGTAATAGCACCCCACCACACACACACACACATGCACGCACGCACGCACGCACGCATGCGCACCTCACTCAAATCTGTCTTAAATAAAGAAAAGGTCATTTTCGGTGGCTTAGGGAATGAAAGAAATAAACGAATTAGTCTGATTACCAAACAATCCGTAAGGGTCATCAGAAGCCGCTATAGTAATGACTGCCTCCGTTAAAGTCCCCAGTTGGGCGCCTCCTGTTGTCTCATTCAGCAGTTGCACAAGAAACAATTCCTCCAGCTCAGGGTAGATGTCATCAATGATATATATTGGCACCGCTTTACTGGTTTCCCCTTCCAGCAAGACCACATCTGATGAAGCTATACTATAATCTTCACCTGCAAAGACAAAAAGATAAATGTGAAAGCTTACTTCAGAATAAACACTCCACATGCCTTCACCTGTGATGGTAAATGCCAACACTTCCTTTACAAAAAGCATTCCACACACCAGGTAAGCACTTTGTCAAACCTCATGGACATACTTGGAGAGATATTTTTGGAGGATGTTAGCTACATTCATTTGAAAAAGAAAAGTTTTAATTTTCAAACTAGGAAAGTATGCATTTGATAACAAACGTCTCCCTGTGTCTTCATGTTCATTCCTTCACTTTCATGAAGATGTGTGTCCCCACACACCTAAGTATAACAACATTTTTCTGAGAAATTCATAATGTATGTATAAAACCATATGAAAAGCAAGACAAAGAGAAAGTGATGATTCTTTATTTCAAGTTTTTAAAAGATATGTGCAGTGCTGTCAGAACAAAACAGAACTGGAATCGTGGTCTCAGTGGAAAGACATGCTGTAGTCATCCAGATGCTACAGGTGAGCAGCCTCACTGACACAGCTGGGTTAAATCAGCTGCTGAGAACCGCTTGGGGTGGGGAAAGGAGGGAAATCAGCACCTAGAGGCTAATTTCTCCCAGCACTCATCACTGCTCCCTGTCACAAAGGAGTCTGCCTAAGGGCAGCCACACATTTCAAAGGGATGCTCACCACATTTTGTGCACACACAAAATGAGCCTGGTGAGTTATTTTTCAGGCAATAATAATGTCCAGATGATTTATTTTTAAGCACTAGAGAGGGTCTAACAGGTGCTCTCAGACAAATCACCCTGTATAAGCTGGGATGCCATTCCTAAAAAGGTGGTGGCCTAACTTTTCTATTCAGCAATGACATCATTTTCCTTATACATAAAATCATTAATTCTAAGCACTGTCTTGTCCATGCTCTTCATAAATAAATGAACAAGGGAGATAATGGGTTCCAGAGAGAAGACAACTGACGAGCCCTGAGAGCTATGTCTCACTTCTTCCTGCGTGTCTCCGCACTTATCTGCACATGACCACCTTTCAGAAACACTAAGTCATGGGGTCTTAGTGTGTCCTTCCTTAGTTTACACATTTCTTGCTCTTCAGAGCTTCTCAGTTTGCTTATACTTTGACTATCAGTTTTCACAAATTCAAAAATTCAGTGTCACTGGTATGTAAATCATGCATATTTGTGTCTAAAAGGGCTTAAGTATTGGGAGCCAAGGGTGTAGCTCAGTTGGTAGAATGTTTGCCTACCAAGCACAAGCACAGGATTTGATTTCCAGCAGTGCACAAACCCAGTTTGGTGGTACATGCCTATTCTGTGAACACGGTAGGCAAGAATCAGAAGTTCAAGGCCATCTGCACCTACACAGTGAGTTTGAAGATAGCTTTGGCTACATGAAACTCCATCTAAAAAAAATAAAAGTCTCTCTCGTGTGTGTGTGTGTGTGTGTGTGTGTGTGTGTGTGTGTGTGTGTGCGCATTTTCCTCTCTTTTGAGATGCTGTTGCTCACAGACACATGCCACTCTGACACACGCCAGTGCCCCTTCCATGTCTTTCCTTACCAGCAACTGCAGTCACTGGCACAGCTTTAAACTTAACAGAGACATCTGCAAATGCTCCTCCCGTTCGAGTCACGTTGATAATGGGACCAACATGATTTTCTGCGACACGGACACTTGGTGCCGACAGCTGCACTGTTCCGAATGCATCATCATTGGCAACAATAATGAGATGGGCCACGGTTTCTACCTTAGGCCCAAGGCGTGGGGAATGCGGGACTGGAAGACAGAATGCAAAGCAGCCAATTTCTAAGACCTAACAGCCATCAAGAACCTAACAGAATTCTCATTCTTTCCCCCTATTTATGGTTTTAAAAGTTTAAATATGTCTATCTGTCAGCCTTAATCTAGGCACTGGAAATACAAAAATAAAGTTAATAGGAAATCTCTGCTCTCTTTTAATTAACACATATTCTAGGGATTAAAAACATTATCAAAGCAACAGTTAGACTATAAGAATATTTTAATGAGCATTAGACATTGATGATCCCAGTATAATTAATCATCAACTTATATAACATTGATTGGATTCTAAGAGCCTACAGAATTACACTACCACAATTAGGTCTGTGCTATGCCATTGCTAAAACAGAATTCCAACACAAAATTGAGCAGGAAACTACTAGACCCCAGAGCCTTAATCCAGCTGCAGCCAGCCTTCCCCTGTCGGTGTGGCAGATGCTGGAACTCATTCCCCATCACTCTGCACTTGGATGCCTGTTCTCCAACCATCTTTTCTCCCTTCGTTTGCTTCTCCTAGCACTCAAATCACGGTGCTGATCGCTTCTTTGAAACAAACTTTCTAAGCTTCCACATAAGAATATGCACTATTTATCTTTCTGTACATGGCTTATGTCACTTATAATAACATCCTTCGATTCCATCTATTTTGTCCCAAATACAATTTCATTCTTTACGCAATTAATAATATCTTTATGCAAATAATAATATGTGTGCCCTTTTTTTTCTATCCATCTGCTGATATATTTGAATTGCATATATGCCTTAGTAGGGTTACTATTGTTAAGATGAAACACCATGACCAAAAACAACTTGGGGAGGTTTACTTGGCTTACATATCCTGAGTCACAGTTCATTGAGGGAAGCTAAAGCAGGAACTCAAACCAGGTGGGAACCTGGAGGCAGGAGCTGATGCAGAAGCCATGGAGGAGTTCTGTTTATAGGCTTGCTCCTCATGGCTTGCTCAGTTTGATTTCTTATAGAACCCAGGACCACCAGCCCAGCGATGGCACCATTCACAATGGGCTGGGCCCTCACCATTAATTACTAATTAAGAAAATGCACTATAGCCAGATCTTATGGAGGCATTTTCTTAGTTGAGGTTCTTTTCTCTCAGATGACTCTGGCTTGTGTCAAACTGACAGAAAACTAGCCAGCCCAATATATTTGATACATTTGTATATATAACTGACATATTTGGATTGCATGAATACATGCATATACACAGACACGTACACACATTTCTACAGATAAGGAGCAAGGAGTTAATGAAATTACCTAAGATCTTATATTAGTACCTATCAGATATAACTAAGAAACACACTACACTCATTTCCTCCTCAAAGGTAAAATTCTCAGCAAGCCATGTGTAATACCTAAAGTTATCCACAAGTGGGCACCCTATGCCGAAGTCTTCTTACACTGCTCACATCCACAAAAAAGGGATGACTACGTTCATAGTGAAAGCTTGCCAGACCTCACTTTGGTTTTTGTCTATTAAAATCTGAGTCTGTCTCTCCCTTCTGTCCCTCCCCCTCTCAATTCTGCACTTACTTGTCTACTCCTTAGCCTACATAACAACTGTTCTGTATTATTCCATAAAAGATGTGTTGACTGTTTTTCCCATCCCAAAAGGGCAAAGGTTCTCAGCATATGCCATTCTACCAATAAGCTCCATTACTGAATGCTTAAAATACAGCAGACACTGTATTACTCTTTACATATATTACCACATGTAATCCTCCCATATATATTATAAATAAAGAAATTACTTACTTTTCTATTATCTCCTAATTATACAAGGAAAATAGGGCTTTCAAAGATCATGTCCAACAACTTATTATTATACATTGGAACAAAGTTATCCGACTTCAACACAGCTCCAAGCCACTGTTACATGTGGTCATCCAAAGGGTTTTATTTCAATCTCAATACACTATGAACTGCTTGAAAAACAATATGTGCTTTATAATTCTTAGTTAATAAGACAAATTATTTAGCTTTAACTTCTTTGCTGTTATAGCTGATCCTAAATCTATGTTAAAAGAAGAGCAGAGATGATTCATGAAAAAATTTTAACCTGAATATTTAATGTTAGCATCTGTAAATGTCCTTCTGTAACCCTCACCTTTAACTAGTAAGACTCTTGTTCACCTCGTACAGTATTTACCCAGGTAAGGTGAGCACACTTACTGAGAAGCGTTCTTAATTCATACGGCAGTGTATTAGAACATGCAGGTCTTGGAACCTTACATCCTATCCCTTGTAATTCCACAAATTCTCAGTTCTTACAGTCCAACAGCCCTTTCTCCTCACCTTACACACATTTGCTGATCAGGAAATCTGTCAGAAGTGTACCAGTGTGAAAGAAGCTCCCAGTGTTGCCACAAGAACTACATATGGGCTTTTCAGACTGATTGCAGAATAGTTTGAAGCAACAAAACAATATGAGGGTCAGTTACATAACCATTACACAGGAGTTCTTAAAATGTACTTTGGGGACATGACTGTTTTTTTACAGTTTGATTTCTAAGGAAAAATGCATGCCCCATTTCCAGTTGTCTTAATGAAAACCTTTACAAGTACTGCTTTCAAAGACAGCACTTGGAGCTAAGGAGATAGCCCAATGGTTAGAGCACTTGCGCTGCTCTTGCAGAAGACTTGAATTCGGTTCCGAGCACCCCCACTGGGCAGCTCACAACCACCTGTAACTAAATTCCAGGGGATGTGATGCCCCATTCTGGCCTCCTTGGGTATCTGAACACATGTGGTACACATGCACACACTCAGGCATGCACACACAAACACATAAATAAGAAAATTGTTTAAAGGTAACTTTACTTACCTTTGATCTTACCTTTCCTGTAGAATTTTCTGCTATACAAAACTGCTTTTCATTTTCATAGTCTTACCTCTAATAATAATAACACACTAACGGTACTTACTCGGGCGAGTTTGCACTCTCTCTACTAAAGTAGAATTGACTAGTTCAATGAACACAGATTCTGACCGTTCTGGTTCATCATCATCCAGGATTGAAATAGTTATTGTTGCCTCAGTCTGATTAGCTCTAAAAAGAGCCAATCCGGATGCTGATACATAGTCTCCTCCTTGACTTGCTCTAGCTAAGTTAGGTGGGAAATAAGGTGGTTTTTCCATATCGTCTATAGTTGCATATGAGATTGCAACTTCTCCCAGGAGGCCTTTCAACCTTATTATAGATAATGTAACATTGTGGGTTGCTTCTTCAACACTGATAGGTCTAGTTTTGTTAGAAAAAATGAACACCCCATAAGGATCGTCACTAGCCAAAATTGTCAATGTGGCATTAGTAAGGACTCCCAACGAGCCACTGGAGACGCTGAGGAGCGACACGGTGAGTGCCTTGTCTAGCTCTGGCTCTTCATCTGGCAAGATCTCCACAGGGATGCCGGCAGTCCTCTGCCCAATCTCAAACGTGATGTTGCCAGAGGTGACCGCGAGATCCCCATCAGGATCAGAGTCTATGTTCCAATGCAAAGTCACATGGGACAGAGCTCCCTGAGTCCGGGTAACCTAGGAAATATTTAAGAATTAAAAAAAGAAGCTGGAAGACTGACTTAAGAATTTTGTTTAAGTACATGATAGTGCCAAAATGAATTTTAAGTTTTCATTAACTTGTTTTTTAACGTTTATTTTCATTTTCTAAGTTCTCAAGGCTATGTGATCATTGAAGGTAGGAGCCAAACATTACCTTTCCCTAACTCCTCAGGGCACCTTCCGTGAGGAGGGTGTGTAAAAGTGAGTATGGCAGAAGACCACAGACTAGACACACAATGTTCAACTTCCAAGTAAATCACAGCTGCTATCATCTGCGAATTTATCATCCAGATCAACAGTGAAACTAATGTGGCTGACTGTGTGCATGTTTATGCGCACACACGGGATATTCTCTACACTGATATTCTCTACACTGACTAAAAAAGATGGAGCCTCCTCTGTAATCAGTGACATTTTTCTGAAAAGTTACTTTCAATATATTCGACCCAAAGTACAACAAAGTACATTTAGAAGAAATGCTTCAATATATAAGAATAAAAACTTAAAATTGTCCCAAAGAAACCCTAACTTGTTAGTCCTAATAATAATTTCATTTTTATTTAATTATCATTTTCAACTCAAACTAAAATGAGGCAATAATTTCATCAAAGTATGATCCTTTTTCATATTTTTGGTTCTAAGTAATTAATTATTCTTTCTAAAGTTATTCAATCAATTTCATAGCAGATTTAGATAATTATTCCACACAGACAAAAAAAAATCTGTCACTAAGAGTATAGAAGGATGTATTTGCACATCTTTCTTCATCATTACATGAAAAGTGGGGAAGCTGAGTGAGCTGTGAGCTCTGTTGAGTTAGTTAGTGATATAATCCTTCTCAGTCTCTGTAGAACTCAGAAGGCCAGGCACAAAACTAAACATTATTAGTGGTCATTTTACTATCCACAAATCTTTGGGATTTCCTTTTCTTCTATATGAGGTGGCATAGGACCACATGGCCACACAATTCACTCACAGATATAAAATAAATCACTTCCTTCTCAACACCCACATCCCCCAACCATGGCTTTTATGAAGGTAAGTAATCCTTGGCTCCTAAAGTGACTGATGAATCAAGTCCTTTTGCCAACTCCGGTTGGATATACACCACGAACAAAAATTCCTTTAAAATAACTTCCCATTCATTTGTTTGTTTGCTTGTTTGTTGGGGGGTGCCACAGTGAGGGTACAGAGGACAGGGGTGTCTTCGATGGGTCATTTCTTTCATACCCCGCCCCCTGTAGGTCCCCAGTGTGAACTCAGGCTATCAGGGCCTCAGTGCCTTTAATTGCGGAGTCATCTAGCTCACCAGGGCCCAGAAGCAATTTTTTTCTTGTGCTAAGATGCTGAGATTTTGAAGCATTTGTTGCCACCGTCTATCTGAACTAATGCAGAAATCTATGCGACAGAATTATATAGCAAAGGTCCATCATGAAGGGTAATGACCTAAAAGCCTCAGGTGGACTGAGAAGCTCTGGCATACCATACCCAACAGTATCTACCTCTCCGGACAGGGGAGCAGACCAGAAGATGGGCTCTTCCATCCCCAAGTTTCCCTTTCCCTCCCTGTAAAACTCCAAGAGCCCCACGCCACACGCTCATAGTCTCTGTTGTTCTGATTAAAGAAGAATTCTGCCTCCTGAGATGCCTGTCTGCTTCCTTTTGTTTCCAATTTGCCTCCGTCAATCCAAGTATAATACATCATATTCTCTAAAAGGTAAGGAGCCCTCAAAATAACAAAATGAATTTACATGTAAATGCAACCACACACTAACACCAAATCACTGACTAGCAATCTGCACTCCTGTTACCTATAAGCTTGCTCTTAACCACCTACACAGGAAAAAAAGAAAAGGAAAAGCATGCCTTACTAGTACTAGTACTACATCATTTTAAGATTAGGAGGTGTCTTGGAAAGTACTCACATTCAATACTACAGTACTGAACCCATCCTCTGGTTCAGTTCCACTGACGAAGAGTGACTCAGGGCTGAATTCAAACACCCCATGAGCATGGTCAGAGGCAGCAATTGTCACCAGAATCTGGGAAGCCGCTCCTAGACTGGCTGTAGGAACAAATTCCCACAAACAGAAAAGAAATATTAATCACTATTTTACAAACCACCATAAAAGCCAATAAAGAACTATTTTGGAAAAATATGTAAGGCTTTTCGTTCATGAAGTGCATTCTCATTGGTTTTAGGAAGAAAGGTGACACAAATGGCGGCCACACATCTTTGTGCTTTTATGACCCTTCTCTGCTTTGGCAACAAGTGCTGCCTGAGCACTTGGCGATGAACAGGGAAGATTTGTTCTTCCTTTTCTTTCTCCATGAAAGAACATTCTCCCACACAAAGGTCTCCCACGGCTCTGCTGACCTCTGAAGAACACGGGCCAAAACAGCCCTTACCTCACTGACACAGCAGTTTCCCCGGGATTTTAATGCATCCAAATGCAGAGTCTTGGCTTTCTAATGTGCATTAACCCTAAGCCTACTCTTCCATCATGTTATTATAGATTAGTTTCCTTAGATCCCAAATGATCCATGCCTATATCGGAAAGGATTCTAAAGACTAAAGGCTCATTCAATGTGTGTGTGTGTTTTTTATCATTATTAATGCCTGCAGACAAGAAAATGTACAATCCTAAAAGCAACAGTCACAGACATGGCGTGATATACTGATGGGTGTTAGAACTGAAGGGGGTAATGTGAGTCGTGTGCACTCTGGGACCAACAGCAAAACTTGACATTAGGAAAGAGAGCCTTTGAGGGTTAGAAGTGTGATCCTTCACCAGGCAGCTATTCTAAACATGCTCTGCATATATGATAAAAAAAAAAAAACTAGGGTAAAAAGCTGGAGGACCTTTGTACATGAATCTATGTATATGAATTGTACATGAATTCAAAACAAACCTCCGTATAATGGTAATTAACTAGGAACTTATTTTCCCTTTATATCTGATTTTTCTCATTTATCTTGATCAAATGATATGTATAAAGACTCATGTTCCTTATTGTACAGAAAATAAGTGGGATGGATTTAACTTGAAAATACAAATGTTCCTTCCATTGGTCAGTTTACAGGCATTCAAAGCCATGTAAAGCGTTTTCAACAATGATTTGTTTTTAAGGGCATTCAAGCAAAGTTTCTCTCCATTCAGAATCAGCAAACCATGGCAGGTCCATGTGGTGAGGAGTGCTTGGCCATCAGAAACAGACAAGAATGTGTTTCTGTCTCTGTGACTGAGAGAAAATACTTCATAAAGCTGCCGTGGTGGTTAAGGAGTTAAAACACAAAGGGTCATCTAGTTACCAAAGATGACAGTAAGTGATTAGTATTGCTGCCTCTGAAATGAGAAGCTAAAATAAAAATACTAGTAAGGGACCTCGGGACAGCTGCTTACCGTGTGCACGAACAGGCGAGAAGAAGAAATCCGCGTCCCCTTCTCCACTACCACTGCCTTCCACCCTAAAGAGTTCAGGCACTTCACAAGAGACACACAGAGACAGCCACACAACACACAGCAACACAAGGAGAAAATTAAGAGCACTTAAAACATACCAAGTAAAGAAGAAAATGCAGTAACAACCACGCAAGGATGCACACTCTTCCATAGACAACAGGTCATTTTGAATGATGATATGGAACATCATGTATAAAATTGCTAAATCTTTCTAGTTTGGGGAAAAATTCCAAGTAAATAGTAACTAATATTTTCCATGTCCAATAATGTAAATAATTTTATCTGGAAATTTTCACCCTTTACAGTAATTTTAATCCATAGAATTTTAAATTTTTTGATAATATTTGTGTATATAATCATATATTTAGACTTACACGCCAGTGAAGTTCACCTTGTCAATCACGATCAATTCAAAACTAGGGAAATGTATCTATCATTTCAAACCCTACCACATTTACCATTCTCAAACTTAATTGCCTATTTGACACTGACATTGTGGGAAAAGTCCTAGATCATCAGTTGAAAAATTCAATTTTAACCCTGTCTATAAGGGATACCAGTTGTAAATGGTCAACAAAACACTTCACTTCCTTGGTGTCTCAACTTTCTCACCTGCAAAAGGTGCTATGTTTTACAGAAATCTTACAAAGCTTACAAACATAATTAAAATAATACTGTAAAATATATAATGCCAGGGGAATATAGGAGAACTGTAACAAAATGCCAGGGGAATATAGGAGAACTATAACAAACGAAGTATTTACACTTTGATATCTAATCCATCTTCTACTCCAACCATGATTTTTAAAAATATTTATAAAGAAAGTCAGGGCAATGATGACTAAAATGAAAAGGCAGAGTAAGGAAAGCAAGCCACATCGAATATCCTTGATGGACAGGCCCAGGTTAAGGTCTGCCTTGGTTTTTGTCCTTCCCCCAATAGAGACTGGAATGTGCCAGGCATGAGAATTTATAGCACACCCATGACCTAAAGTCATCTCAGAGACAGAACGGATTGCCAGCAACTCTACAGTTCATAACTGCTCCCACACTGTCTAGAATTCATATGAAAGAAACGTAAAGTTCAAAGCCATAAACACCTCGGTTAGTATCAAACAACTATTAAGGTCATGGTTAGCATTCCCAATCAACTTTAGAAGCCAAACGGTATGGCACAAGGAGTGTTCTCTTGACCCACAAAGAATTTAGCTCTGCAAACTGTTCCACTTGTTACACAGTCCCTAACAATAAATATAGAGGAACATCAATGTCTAGACTACTTTTCTTCTTACCTTCAGCTCACTACTGAAAATTTAGTTTATCTATCACTACTTCTTACTAGGAAACTACAAATGAGAATCTATCACCAGTTAGAATACAACTGCCTAGTCTAAATGTCTGAGCAATGTTTCTACATAAACTCTTAAGTATCACTATGATGATAAATATCTCAGTTACATTTGATGATCAAGGAATGGGATGCAGTTCAGTGGTGAATCACTTCTCTGATATGCACAGGGCCTTGGGATTAATCCCAGAACTGCAAAATTTTGATGATTTTTTTTTAAGGAAGAGTCTCCCTCTGCCCTGGGGGGCCTGGAACCCAAACTCACAGAGATCCATCTGTCTATGCCTCCAAAGTGCCGGGATTAAAGGTATGGGACATCATACTTGGCCCTTGACTTGTTATTAACCAATACTAGTAGCAGTCACTGACATTTTCTCTTTCTAGTGCCTACATATTCCTTGAGTTAAGTGATGTAAACAGTGACTTCAAATAGGACATGTTAATCTTTTCATTAATGAAGCTGTTGTCATGAGAAGCTGATGTGGCAATGTGAAGGTGAACAGCTTCACTTTACAACGGAAAATGTTGTCAATGCATTGAGTTTAAACTTCAAAGACCTTTGGTAAACAGTTTTCTGATCATTAGAATTAATAATCAGATATTTCAGGCCTGTCTTCCCTATATTATCTCTCTGGACTGCTCTGATAGATGCCTGCATTCTATCTGGAGACAGCGCTAGTGGACCCATTAAGAGAATGCACAAAGCAGGTCTATAATAGCCCTACAGTTTGGGGGTCAGTAAGGAGAATGGCAGCAGCCGTTTGGCACTGGGTAAAGCTGTTCCATGAGTGATGAAAAGGAAGCCGTGCACTGGCACTACTTAACGGCAGCGTGGTCGGCGGACAGGCAAATATTTGTTACTATGTGTTACCGGTCTTACCTCCTCCACCCGAGTTTAACAACTCAACTTGAAAAGACTTTTCCAGTTCCGGGATGGAATTATCAGTGATGTTGACAAAAATATATTTATATCTTTCTCCTGGTTGAAATTCTACTGTGCCAGCAATACTCTGAAACACAAATGAGATTTATCCATCATACTACAATTATTCTTTGTGCAAAATTGCAAAATGAAAATGTTTACTGTATACCAAACTGTCAAACCTCTAAGGGTTTGACTGAGCTTGTCTGTGCAGACCACGTCTTCTCTCACCACATCTAGCCATCCACACCACAGAGAACATGGCATTCGTGAAGTTCCTTCCCAACACCGACCGATGCCTACACCGTTATCATATTACCAGTGTCCTCCTGCTTCAGCTGCATTGTTCCTCCTAAACTTCAGAATTCAGCATAAAGCTCTGATGGTCCAGCCTATTTCACAGCCACCCCTCACAGATCACAAGCCCTGCCACTGTCTAAACGTATGCTTCACGTAACTCATTCTTGTCGGCAACTGGTAGCCGCTGGGAAAGGGAGAGTCAGTTTACCTTGGACGTGGCCCTGATGAGCAGTCCATGTTTCAGAGGATGGGCCTACACTTATGCACATGCTTGAAGCACTAAATGGACTCAATGGGTTAAAAAAATGATAGGAAGTTGGGAGAGAGAAATGTGGAAGTGATTCAGGTTAGCCAGGAGGGAGCCAGGGTGCATTTGATCAAACACATTATACTCATATTTGAAATTCTGAAACAAACGAACAAACAATGAAAACACAGAACTCCAAGCAGCTGAATGGAAAGACTTAGGAGGTGGGTATTACTTGCTACTTGGTTAGTAGAATTAGGAATAATCATAACAACAATAATCATTGAGAACAATTAATATTTAAAATTCAGCTGTTTCTTCTCCAAACATGATCCCTCCTGGCATCTTTCCTCACGTATGTATTTTAAATTTATTTTTGATAGCAAAGACCATCGTAAGAAGTAATGAAGGCAAACATTATCCAGTTATCCGTGCTAAGTAAATAAGTAGTTAAAAGTGATGTTGTCACAACCAGAACTTCAACGCCCTCTGAAAATACTCAGATATGTCTCCATGGACACACTTCCTATCTGTCACAAAGGACTGCATAGGTTTCCTGTTTTGTTTCATTTATTATGGAAAGTGATAATGAAATTAGAAATTGTGGTTATTTCAGCTACTCAGAAACTAAAGATTGTTAACATGAGCACCCAAGTATTACTTTAAGAAAATGCAGAGAACACTTTAAACCGAGAAGGCTCACATTGTGGAATATGTCATACACCAGTCTCATCAAAGATACAATATGTGCTGGAGAAAAAAAATTCATTTCCTAAAAAGAGTTTTTGGAAGACTAAATCTGTGAATACATAGTTAACTGGACTAGAGCTGAAATTAATGAAATTCATTTAGCCAAGACTTCTATGGCTCAGGAGGAAGAGTAGATACGAAATATTATGCAAGAGGATGGTGAGGAACAAGAATCTAACACTGAAAGCTTAAAAGAAAGAATTATCTGGGAAACGATAAATATTGAAGTATGCATTATCTTTTTTGAGAAGGATTCCCAAGAAGAAATTCTAACTATGTTCTTACTCAAAATACTGTTGTTAACCCTGCAAACAGGTAATGGTAATTGACTGTTACTACATATGCACCATGCACAGTGTACGATACACAAACTGATGTCGTTCATCTCCAGAGTGACCCTGCGCAATGAAGACATCATGACTTCATAGATAAAGAAATTAAGAGTAGGAAACATGAGTCTCCACCATTACACATGTAGAGGTCAAGCCAAACCCGGGTTCTGTCCATTTCTAGATCCTTAGTTTCATACTAAAGTGCCATATTGCTTCTCCTTTGGAAAAAAAAAAATGATAAAATTGAAAAAAAAAACATGCACACATAATATCTTTGTAATTTTGATTTTATCTCTTGGACCTTCTTAGAGAGTTTGAAATAGTTAAGAATCATCTTTTAATGCACCCGACCATTATAACAAACTCCACATGGAAACTTGGAAGGAGTGCGGCACACCGTACGGAAGCTACCTCAGTGTCATGGTCCATCGCAATCAACTGTCAACTTACACAAATTGAAAAGCTCCTAAGACAACCAGTGCGCTTTCTCTTGTTTGATGGGTTCCTTATGCAATGCAAGACACTTCCAACCCTCCGTGAGGGCTGTGCTCAGATTCAATGGACAAAAACAGCTTCACAAAGCATGGTGATAGGCTGAAGAAAGGTCTCAGTAGTTAAGAGCACTTGCTCATCCTGAGGATCCACATGTTGGCTCTCAACTCTCTGTAACTCTGGTTTCAGTGGATCCAAGGTGCTCTTCTGGCCTTGATGGGGATGGCATAAACATGGTGCACAGACACACATGCATGCAAAACACCCGTACACATAAAATAAAAAAAAAAATCAAAGTCTTAGTGGTATACCTGGTAGTCTTCCGGACTAAATGCTGTCAAGGACACTGTTCTAAATTCCACAGAAACCCTGCCAAGGAGTCCTTGTGCACGAACGATCAGCAAACGGATCTCTCCATCCTCCTCCTGTACGGTGAGGTGTGGTACACGACTGGCAGGCAGACTCACTGCATCTTCAGGCTGAGGAGGCGGCCCTGTGGAGAACTGCAGCAAGCCTAAGAGACAAAGTCAGAGGGTTCTTAGTCAGCTGTGGAAGAATTTCTTACTCAGTTGAAGCACTCTTGTATAATCATTTCTATCATCAGGATAAAATCCTGAGGAGCTTCACATAAAACGTGTTTTTAGAGTTAACTAACACACTTTTGATGCCAAATATTTTTCTTATAACTTTTAAAAATTATTTCTTTTATTTTTGAGATTATAGTATAATTACATCATTTTCTCCTTCCTCTTCCTCCATCCAAAGCCTTCCCTATATACATTCTTTTTCAAACTCATGGCCTCTTTTTTCATTAAATGTTATGTACATACATGTGTGTGTATATAGGAATACATGTTCTTAAATTCATAAATACAACCTGTCAGTCTGTATAATGTTAATTGTATGTGTGTAAGTTTTCAGAGCTGACTATTTGGTATTCAATAGCCAACTGATGTGCTCTTTCTGGGGAAGACTGTTTTGCCCACTCTCAGCATTCCTTGGTTGCCAGTAGTTCTTTGTGCAGGGCTGAGGCCTCATGAGATTTTTCATGTCTATGTTAGCATGTCTGCTGGTGCCATCCTTGATCAGCTCACGTTTAGGCAGTCATGTTGGTGAGTAAACTGTGTGACTGTGTTATCTAGAAATTTCGGAAGCTGCACCCATAATTGTTTAAGCCTCTACAATGTTGAATATTAGTGTGTAAGGGAAGCAACCAATAGTACTTCCCAGATCGGACATCTATGAACTATACCAATGACCATTGTGGCACAGTAATCCTGAGTGTAGTCAGTAGTGACAATACAGACCCTGGCAGTAACCGACAGCTCTGTGATCGGACTTAAGACCCCCTTCAGCTAGAAGGAAATCATGCCTGGTACTGTGAACACAGTCAATACCCAGGGCTAGTGAAGTCATGGATCTTGGAGATGAACCTGCAACCCCCACTTTACTAAACCATAATCCTAACTATATGCTAAATATTTGTCCATATACCCACAAGTAAATAAAGTCTTCAACGTTCAGCAAGGAAACTTCTCTATGCAACAGATGGAGACCTTTACAGAAACTACAACCAATCAGCAATGCAGAATTGTCCCAACTACTATATCTGTAACACAAACCCTGCACCAAAGGCTTGGAATCATTATAGAAGATGGGGCAAAAACATTATAAGAGTCAGAGGAACAGGGAGTTTCCTGTGAGATTGTGTCATCTAGGAATGTCAGAAGCCACACCCAGAATGTTTTTAAGCCTTCATAATGTCAAGCATTAAAGTGTTAATTTTCCTTGTCTTTAGTCAAAGAAATCTGTTTAATCCCACTGAACAATCAATAAGAGAAATACTAAGGGAATTTAAAAAATATGTATTTCCAGACAATTACTCATATTTGACAAATTTCTGAATTCTGGAATTGATATACAGCCACACTGATGAAACTCTAAAGAATCTGCAACAATTTCTTTCAAATTTCACTCTAAAAACAGAGTAAGAGATTCTCTATTTCTCTACCCAGACACTTAAAGATGTCCTTTCTTCATCTGCACACAAAATATCACTTTAATAAAAACATTTTCAACATCCATGGTAGTTCCCAATTAAAACTATCACTTGTTAGTATAATAGTCAAACTACTATAGTGAAAACTGCATGTTTTGAAACCTAATAAGACATATATTACAAAGTTTTTAATTACCTCAATATTAACATATTACCATAAATATTTTAATTACAGGAATGTTGATAACCATATAAAAGTATTTTTAAACTTTAAACATATTACTTAAGCTCAGAAGTTGATCTTTACATTTTCTTTCATAAACAATGTCCTACAAAACAGTAACAGAGATGTTAGCACTAAGAGGCCTTAAAGGAGTTCTACTTCATACTCACTTATAAGAAGTTCTTAATAAAACCAAGTACGGCAAGAGAAGAGAAAAATAATTGCAACCGAGAGTGGTTTACCATAAGGGTGATCACTAGCTTTGATGGTGATGTCTGTGGTTTCCTTCTCGGGGTCGATGCTGGCGCCACTGCTGGGGGTTGAGCCAAGTTTTCCATCTCCTGGAACTGCGGAAACCAACGTCACCCGAAAATACTCATTAAGCTCAGGAATGTCATCATCAAGAACGTATAGATTCAGGACCTGTTCAATGCAAAAGCACAGCAGTAGTTACTACTTGGGGGAAATAGCCAACTGAATCATGTATGATTGAAATTGTCAGTAAACATTACTTATTTCTACACAAACTTGCACATTGTAATATATGTGTACCTGTGTAGGCACATACATAAATAAAAAGAGATCTGAGGATATTAATTCTTTAATAGTGTTTACTTGAATAAACTGAATGTGTTACCTCAACATTTGCATATTAGTATCTTGCTCCCAGGGTGGTGTGTTAAGAGTGGAGACTTTAGAAGAAAACTAGATATTAGAAACTTAATGAACAGGACCAGGATCAGTGTCCTTATGAACGAGGCCATGGGGCGCTCATTTACTCCTTCTACCACATGACACAATGAATCGGTACCACAGATGTAAAGCAGAAAAGGAGCCTCCCCAGCCCCTGCATCTACAGGCATCCGGCCCTTAAGCATCCCATGATTTCACACTGTGAACAGCAACGTGCTGCTGTTTCTAAACTCCCAATGTAAAGTAGTGTGTGATAGCAATCTAAACACATAGGAATAGTAACACACATCCGTCATATCAGTACGCAGGAGGATGACAAGTCCAAGGCCCACCTTGGCCACATGTTTCAAAATAGATTAGTAAGTAAAATATATAAAAATACAAATCTAGAAAGATATATCCTCAAGCTATATTAATTTTATTGTACTGGCATTAAAGAATTTATAAAACTAACATTGAAACTTTTTATTTTTCTCTCACAGAAAAGCTAGATTATTTCTGTTTTAAAGAATAATAGATACACCTAATTTCCCACATAGTTTAAAATGCTTAAATACCAAGGGATTGCTAACCAATGAATAAATAAAGAGATGATGAAACACTTTCCCAGAAGCATCTGAAGAAACCCAGGCGGTAGAGTTTACCTCAGATCTCTGCCAAGGCAGGAAGGTAATGGTGCCACTGGCATTAGCAAAATCATCAACGAGGTAATTGATGCCTTCCGATTCGATCTGTGAGATGGTGTAGAAAACATGAACATAATCCAAAGCTCCCCTTGTTCGCTCTACCACACAGGAAATGGTGGACCCCTCCTCTGTAATCTGTAATTGAGCATAAATGATTTTTAAATGCATGGTCAGTGAAGAAGTTAGTGCTTTCCCGAGTCCTTCTGCTTTGTATATCCTAGTTCTATGACTTTCCACGTGTCCAAACAGGGTTGGAGACCTCTACATTTACGAAGTGTATTTGAGAGCATTGTTTCTTCCCATGCTTATTAGGTACAAAGCAAAAGCAATTGTAATGGCTTTACTGTGTGAGTAGCTCATTCACTGATAGCTCCTGCCTGCTAGACACAATGCCAGGTATGATGGCTACAAAAGATCTTTTTTTCCAAAACAATGCACAACCCTCCACTGAATAAAGGACAATCAAAGAAGGCAACAGTCTCACAATGTAACAAAAGATGAAGTGTAGACCGACCAAATCCAGGCAGAGTCAATGGCAGAAGGCTGGACATAACATCAAGAACATTCTAGGATTGGCTACAAAAGCTTAAATATTGGTGGAATCATTCGGGAGTGATACAAAGCACAAAGGAAAGTATTTTAGAACTGTCTACCTAGAAGTGGTGGCTCTTCATCCCAGGACTTGAGAAATGGAGTCAGAAGATTATGATTTCTATGAGTTCCAGGTCAGCCTGGGCTACACAGTAAGGCCCAGATTCTATAGATAGATTGAAAGATAGATATAGACAGACAGACAGACAGACAGACAGACAGACAGACAGACAGACAGATAGATAGATAGATAGATAGATAGATAGATAGATAAATGATGGATGGATGGATAGACAGACAAGAAATAAATGCCTCAGATGGAGGAAACAGAAAAGGGCATTTTGTATTATGCTTGGTATCTTTTTAATTCCTTTTTTACACATACGTAAAAAGCATAAACATATCTGTGTACATTTTTTCAAAAGATAATATTTGATCCAAACAACTTAAAACTATGTGGAGCTGGAAGTCTGGTGTTTTTGAAGTAGATCTGCATCCTCTCCATAGGGTCTCAGTTTGACTCGGTTTTCACGTTTGGAAACACACTTCATGGACAACAACTGCAACTGCAGAGAAAAATATCTCCCGAGGCTAAGGTTAGGAGCTGACAGCAGGACCGAAGAAGACTGACTTGGAACTTGTCTACTGACAAGTGATAATGGAAAGATTTCTCAATGCATATGGACTATCCAGGACTTTCTCCGGCAAATCCTGAATTTCAAGGAGCAGCAGGAACCCACTGGCTCCAAAATAAACAGGAGGGAGCACACATGGGCCAACACGGTCAGTTCTCTGATTGCTCGCCATGTGGTACAAGATGAAGCAACCAGATAAGAGTTCACTGGAGTCATGAGTATATCTTCTGGCAGTCAGATGATCCCCCAGAAACTCAGTCAGAGTAGAACATCTAACACAGCAGTGTGTAAAGGACGGAGGTTGGAAACAGATTGAGACAATGAATCAGAAAGTCGTGTGGAGCTAGGGTAAGTCTCACTTCGGCTTCTAACTTCTTGAGCTCAGTTATAAAGTACTCAGAAGCTGATACCAGCACTGAATGTGCATAGGACATCCTGGGGAGAACATTCCAGCTCTACATGAGACGGTCCCTAGGCCAGCAACTTGCCTGAGTCTTTCACTAGCCATTCAAGTGCATTCACTTCGATGACTGTGTGCCCATTGTCAGACCTTCACATGGTATGTGGCCACATGATACATGATACCAAGGGCCATATACAACGAGCATATACACATAAAATTTGATAAGCGATATGTAAAGAAAGGCTAAGACAGTACAAGCAGTAGTTCAGCATTTGTGTTGGGATCCACACTTGATTTCTAGTGTTACAGTTTTTCTTCTGATTTTAAATAACTATCCCTGTATCACTTCCGGTATCAATTAATCTGCAACCTTCTGAGGACCATTCTTACAAGTAAACAAGTTCCTTCTCAAGGCAAGAGGCTACGACACACTTGTTGTAGGGTGCCTTAAGTGTTTACTGTATACACTTTTGTTAGTCCCCATCTTTCCTCTTAAGCACCAGTGGTATTGTTTTTTGAGCTATTATCTCCTGCCCCTGTCTAAGGGCTTAATGTTCTCACTACTGGTGACTGTGGTGGCTTCTGGAAAGCCACTCAGCGTGCTGTGACAGACATGACTTCCTGAGGCAAGGCCTTCCATCCTTAAGGGCTGAGGAGAAGAAACAGCAAAAAGACCCAAGAGCACAGTATGACTTCCCACGTGATTTCCTCTGTGGGCTCTGCTTGACATCTGCACACTGGCAGGATGTACCTGAGCAAATGGGAGATGGGAAGAGGAAGGTCGAGGGTCAGAGTTCTGAGCCCCTTTGTATGCTCATCAACTCTTCCCAGAATCTTCTTAAACAGGGAATCATAATGGTTACAGGACTTGGATGGAAATTAAACATGCACTATACATAGATTCTAGTAATACATTACCATATACAAGTATTTCCTCCCTTAAAAATAGACACCCATGTATTATAAGAGAAATGCTATGTAAAAATGTCTCACTTTATAAAGATAAATATGTACATACTGAAAAGAAGGATTCCTCTGTATTTCAACTTCCAACACAATGACAATTGATTTACTCCAATTTGTCCTCCAAATTTATGTTTTTATTATTTGAGAAATATATTTTTATGATATTCTTTCCACTCCCCATCTTTTCCCACATTCTACCCTCCACTCATCCAATTTCATGTTCTCACTCTCTCTGATTAAATAAAAAGTACTAAACTTAAACAAAACAAAAAAATAACACAAGCAAATAAAACACACACACATACACACACAGAGAGAGTCCTATTGTGTTGTCCAGTTCCTCCTAAGCATGGTATCACTTCGCATCACTCCAAATTTTAATGAGAATGACTTCTTTTGTACAATCTAAGCTCATAAACCATTTATTTGAATATGCAAATATTCAACCCCTCCTTTCAGCAAAAGGCAGGGAGCAAATATATCCAAAGACTTACTCAGGAATGTGTGGAGGATCCTTTTAGACCTAAAAAGCATGACCAGGAGGGATTAGAACTAGGAGAGAGCTTTACTATACCTTCCATCAACAAAATCCTCCTGACATGCTGTACAAGTATATTCAAATGCATGCTGTATATGAAGTTTATATGGAAATATGTAATGGTTTTGTGCTGTATTCAGCAAAGCATATCTTATAAAATTCAGTTAAAGACTCCATTAGGTGTCAAGAGTCCATAAGAACAAATCACTTAGGATGATTGGCTAAAACAATACACCATTAATGTTCACAAATATTATAAAACAAATGGCATCCCCTGAAGTTTTGTTGTTTTAAATACTGAGGTCAAACAGATTAAGCAATACTGAGAAAAGGTTAATTACTGGAGTCTGGCAATGAGCCACTATCCCCGCTGCTCTGTTTGGGTGTACATCATCTACAGGGACTTTAAATTCAGGTTTATTCACGTTCCCTCCCACAACCAGACATCTGATCCTAGAACGTCATCCTCATCACATTCTTTGCCCTCCCCCATCTTTTCCCACATTCTACCCTCCACCCATCCAATTTCATGTTCTCACTCTCTCTGATAAAAAAAAAAAAAAATGGGGGGAAAGAATGTGGTTACATCAGGATGCCTAGTAACACAAATTTGACATTTCTGACACATTTGGAAAAGCCCTAAACTACAAAGTATAATCACTGACACAGGATTCTATCAAGAGATAGAAAATATACATGTAAAGGTTTTTCCTAATATCATCATATCTACCTGAACTGACTTTAGAATATTGACACAAGCGTTTCGGCCAGTGAACGGATCCCCTGCAGCCTCAAAGCCACCTTTATCCATTTCAAACTAGAAACAGCCAGTAGTCCTCAACGCTGCACCCTCTTTTGTTTCTAAGTTTATTTCATTTTAATCACATGTACAAAGTGTATAAGTACGTGCACACAAGTGCAGGTACCCTGGAGGCCAGAAAGGGTGCTAGATGACCCTGGAACCGGAATTCCAGGAATTGGAAGCTGCCCAGTATGGATACTGGGAAGAAACGCAGGTCTTCTGCAAGAGCAGTACATACTCTTAGTCACCGAGCTGTCTCTTCAGCAGCCTGTGCTCAGCCAGCATTTTGCAAATGTTCATATCAATGGGGGATCAGAAGTAAGGGTGATCAATTAGGAGAGGTGTCAAGTCCATTTGCTCAGACACAGGGCAGTTCTGTGAAATGTGAAGTGGGCTTCTTTTATGAAATAGAAAATTAAAACTAAGGAATTACAAATCCAGTTTGAATTTTTATTCTGTTTCATGTTTGGGCAATGCTTTGTGAGGAGTTGTACTGTATTGGTACAGCCCTAAAGGAATTTATTCTTATAATATAGTAGGTACTTAAAACACAGTTAAGTGAAAACAGTATCTTATTTCCACAATGGTCTTCCCAAATCATTTCTAAATTGATTCTTAAGCCATGTATATAAAAATATAAAACAAAAGATTAGTTATATAAAATGTGAGTCTCACAAGTTCTATGCACTATTGTGAAAAAAGTAATTTCATCAATTAATTATATGGAGTACACCATTTTATAAAGTACGTTAAAGAAGAAATAACATAGAAATTATACAGAAGAACAAAGCATGGTGACATGGATACTATGCTGGGTTTAACAAGATCAGCGGTCTACTCAACACGGATCCCAACTGCAATCCAATCATTTGATATGCCTTATCAGAACTCCAATCTACCCATAAGTTTATTGGCTCTTCCTATTATAATCTATTAAGCACCTGCTCTTTCATGGGACACAGTGCACCTGGGCAAAGAAGAAACATCAAAATAATTATGGCCACTTTCAATATTTCTGAAAATGAACCAAGCTACTAAATTCAGTCTTAGGAGGCACAAAGTAAACAAAGACTTCTCAAATCTTTTTCTTTGTAGACCTGCGCACTCATAAAATCACTTAGAAGTCCAAACAGTTTCTGTCTATGTTAGTGAAGTCCGTTGTTATCCACTGTACTAAAAAATGTAACAATGAAATGAGTAATGACTACTAACTAATTGCAGTACAACAATAAGCCTGTCAACACAAACAACATGTATTCTGAGTAATAACTATATATTCTAAAATGAAGAGAAGCAGTAACAAGAAGCAGCATTTTCTATTTTTATGTCTTTTCCAAGCAGTTGATTCTTAATCTGTGGGTCATGACCCCTTTGGAGGTCAAACCATCTTTTTTTCTATTAGTTTTTCACTTATTTTACATACCAACCACAGTTTCCCCCTCCCTCCTCCCTTCCTGTCGCCTCCCCACTCCTCCTGTCTATCCGCCCCCCACCACCACTCCTCCTCCTCCTCCTCTGTTGAACAATCATTCCACAGGGGTCACTTAAGACCATTGGAAAACACAGATATTTATATTATGATTCATAACAGTAGAAAAATATAGTAATGAAGTAACAACAAAAATAATGTTATGGTAGGGGGTCAGTACAACACGAGGAGCTGTATTAAAGGGTCACAGCATCAGGAAGGTTGAGGACCTCTGCTCTGAAGTCTGGTTTAGTGGAAAGCAGCTGGACTTCATAGATCCTTCTACAACCAGTATGTTTTTTCCTCCCCGAGTTCTAGCTGAAGTATAAATAGAAAATACGGCCTTACATATGTAACTGGAAAGCAATGGAGTCTTCATAGACTTTTAGGATAACTATGGGTACTGCAGTACCACACCAAAGTTTGAAAAGTGGCAGCTTCTTGGAGTTTAGCGCAACCTGCAAACATATTTTGTTGCACTGTAACCCACTGCCCATCTTGCACTGGGGATCAATCTGCTATCTGTGCAATGATTATTTAGAACATACTAGCTTACTGAGCTCTTTATATCTTCCACGTGCTAACATATTTAATTACACAAAACAAGTACACGGATATAGATCACTGGCAATATTATCTCAAACATCTGAAGAGCTCAAAAACTGTCAAACTCACTTTGGCTGATAAAAATTTCCAAAACTCAGATTCTCATGTGAAAGACTGACTATTTTTAATCACCAACCAGAACTATTATGTTTTCTCATAATAGGTAGCTCATTTTTCTGAAAATATGTGCCAAATACCAAAGTCTACATAAATAAAACTTGTCAACCATTTTTTTTTTTCAAAATGTAGTGTTCCATGAGATCAGCAACTAATTCGGCTCATGATTCAAAACTGTTTCTGTACCTTTCTTCACTCACCGATCATGGCTTTCGGTCTTGTCTGTGCATGTGTATGTGGTGAGTGTACCTATGGGAATCCATGTTTGCACAAGGGTGGACACACCACTATGCATGTGCATGGGAAGGCCTAAAGGTAATGTTAGTATCTACTTCAACAGTGCTCCACTTTATTTATTCACACAGGGTGCCTTGCAGAACGCAGGACTCACAGATTTCAGTTGGTCTACTCGCCATGACTACTTAGTTTTACATGGGTTTTGAGTTCTTACATTGACAAGGGCAAGCACTCTAACCACTGAAAAATTCTTCTAGCCCCACAACCACGCATGTACGTGTGCATATGCATGCGTGCGTGCGTGCGTGAGTGTGTGCGTGTGTGTGTGTGTGTGTGTGTGTGTGTGTGTGTGTGTGTGTGACACATGCTTGCTCACAGGTGGCAACAGCAACCAGAAGAGCGCAGTGGAGCCGGAGTTACAAGAGGTTGTGAGCCAACCATTGGGTCCTCCGCATGCTCTTGACTGCTGCAATCTCTCCAGCTCCCCAGCCATCGTGCTTTGGTAAGGCAACAGAAAATACCTTTTTGCACTTCTCATTTTGGCATGGAATATTAGAAAACAACATGTATTTGTAGTTTGAGACTTTCAAAACTTAATCTTGTACTGATTCAATAAAATATCTTTAAAGTTAACACTATTTTATGTGGTGGTGAGTAAGCAGCAGAGTGGGTAACACCTCCATAATTTGTACAAAGGAGGTAGAAGCTACAAGTCCAGGTCATTTTTGCTTTTGTAGCACAAAATGTCAATAAAATGAAAAACTAAAATATTTTACTATTGCTTATAAAATTAAGTTTGACCTTGTTGAGGCCCTGAAGGGATCTCAAGAAAACCTAGGGACGCTAGAGCCACATTTTGAGAAAGGTTTCTGTAAGACTGAATAAATATTCCTGGTTTTGATACTCATAATGATGATAAAAAAAATTAGGAGTTTTAGGTTTCTCCTATCATTTAAAACATAAGAATTGTGTAATGTTTCTAAAAATTAATTGTCAATCTTTAATCTTTCAGACTCAACAATGTTCCTCTCTTAATCAGCAAACATTGCTCTTTCAAAAAAGGGTCCATTCATTTCATCTCACACAGACTTGGTAATCCCAGCTGTAACTTCAGTGCAGTTTACATCATGTGGCCGAGGCATACAAATTCTCCCATCCACAGTGAAGGGCATGGTGGAATCTGTTGAGGCAAAGTTGTGTAACTACAGAGTAAACTGTCACCAAGTAAGATCATCAGTGGGATTTGTGAAACAAGCCAGTGTTGAAAGATTGACTACAATGGCTTAGACTAGGGAACACTGAGAGACTACTCTTCATTTTAAGTATTTTTGAAGTGTGGTTTTTGTTTTTCCAGTTTGGTTGCTCATGTACTTAACTAAAACTAAACACTATCTGAACTGCTATGTGCTTTTTCACATTTTGATATCAAATGTATTCAAAAGGTCCCACAGGTTTTCTGAACACCAGCAATGCTCCATTTTTGGTGCTACTGATACAATAATGAATCACAAGACCTTCCTGTGGCTCAGAGCTGTTTATCTGTGTGATAGATGTAGATGTAACCAATACTTAAGTAGACTTACGAAGGCCAGAAGGAAATGGATAGTGTGATCAGTGCTCCAAAAACATTGAGGGGATGAAGAGCAATGAGTTTGAGAAGGTTAAAAGCATTAAACAATGGGTGGATGAAGAGCAATGAGTTTGAGAAGGTTATCTGTGACTTTAAATAGGAGACAGTGTCGTTGAGTAACTACAACTCACGACCTGGAGTAAAACGATTGCAAAGATGGAGGCTGGTGAGTGCTGTGTCTTGACACTGGGATTGTACCAAGGCAAGTACGTCTGAGCCACACTGATAAAAGATGAGATTTACACAGATGAGGCCAGCATCATAGGCAGAGGCCAGATCTTGAAGGTAACTTAAGGAATATAACATTGCATGGTACAACTATGGTTCTCACAACCCAGCAAAAACTACTCGACTTTTCAAAATTGGGCATAATGACATTTAAAGATACATGGAGAAAGATAATGGATTAAGAACCTCAAGAGATGGACTCAGATTCTAGTTCTTTTATAATAGAGGCAAAGAACAAAATTGATATTCATTAAGATGTAATAAACACAAAGCTGTAAACAGGCATTTGACTTGATCCTGCCTGATTTAATTCAACTTAGGATAGTCATTTCTCAGACCTGTAGCCCTGTCTCTGATTCTACAATGAGAAGTATCTGTCTTACAGATTATCAGAAAAATGCATACATCTGAATATGTAAAAGCTGATGTCTGAGTAGCCTGTTTAAAGGCACCGATGAGATGACTCAGGGGCAAGACATTTGCTATCATTTGATGTCCTGACTTTGATCCCTAAGATCTCACACAAGCTATCCTCTGACCTTCAGAGGCACAGCAGGCACACATGTGCCACACACACACACACACACACACACACACACACACACACACACACACACACGTGCCCCCCCCCCCACACAAAGTTAACAAATAATAAATAAATAAATGTGAAAGAGCAATTTAAAGTCATTATTAGCATATATGATATTTCTGAAGTTTAACAAAAACAACTTAAGAGCTCTTGTCTTGTGGTTGCCATGGAAACCAAGGGATGACAAGAAATTCCAGAGATCTGGGCATTCCAATTTAAGCTGCAATGAGTCCTGTGACACATAACTTTTCCAAGTTCAACTCATGCTATTCTTCTTAACCATTCAGTTAACATACACCTTCATCTAATCTACCAGTGTCAAGCTGCGGAGCCAACAGCGCTCTTGTTTCTTGGCAGCATTCATGAACGCGGAGCATTTGCTGTCACACACAACACCTGCGAGGCAGTTTCAGGAGCGCTCGCATTACTAATCAGGAAACTGAGATGATCAGGTGTCTCTGAAAACTTAGGAAGAACTGATAAGAACAGTAAAGCGGTCTAATGAATTAAGCCAGCCAAGACAGTTGATGAGAAACAATTACAAGCAAGTTGGGAGAATTCTACAACTACTTTAAAATGTTCCCTGTAAGAAAAAAAAAAAGCAAATTGAAATAAAGTTTCATTTTTAATTATTCACACAGGCTTTCAGTATGAACTATTTCATTTATATATGGTATCAAAATTATTAGCAATATTATATATGGTACATAATTATTCATTCTTTAAAGTGACCAACTTTTAAGCTAATTGCTGAGAGTTATTTGCTCTTTTGCTCTTCTTTCCTTCACCTCAAGAAGGTGACTTAAGCTGAAAACTACCAGGAACAGGGACTGAGATTTGCATGTGCAAACACAGCTACCACACACTTCTGGACAGCTAGCTCAACCCTAAACAAATGCACCTACACTGAATGTTTTACTGTGGAATTCTCCAAGCTCCCTACTCACCTCTGGTATGCAAGCTCCCGTGAAACCGAACAGGCCGTTGGAATTGTCACTTTTCTGGACTCTCAGTCTAGCTGTAGTGTTTGCCTCCGAAATCTGGGCCCCTCCATAGACAGAGACCAGTTTAAGAAGAAATAGCTCCTCTCCTTCCTCTTCCTTGTCATCTCTTGCAGAAACAATGAATGACTTGTTATTTTCTCCTTGTCTGAACTCCAGATACCCAGAAATGGGGTGTAGATCATTCCTTGCAGGCATAGCATGGAGTTCATAAATCTCTTCAGTAGTCAGTTTCCGCTCATAGACCCTCACATCCTGCATCCAGCCTGTGAATCGGTCACTGCCGTTCATCCCCGCCCCAATTCTCAGTATTCCAGGACCTGAAATTAGACATGCCTTTAGATGCTACAACAGCCACTGTCTCCTACCACAAGCTCTAAGTGTGATTCAGAAAGCAAGACAATTCTACAGAAATATATCTTTGATAAGTAAAACTTTTTGGTGTAAAATGAGATCAATAAACATCATCTTTCGTTATGACAAAAAGACACCTGCACAATAATTTCTGGGATTTGTGATCTTACACTGCAGTATCTACCTTCGAAATTAAATGATGCTCTTCAAAGGAATTTATATCGGTCTGTCAAAATCATTTATGCACATAAAAATAAATGTATACATTATATATATATATATATCCATCCATGTATGCTTGTGTGTTGTATATTCGTTTGAGTAGAAATGTGTCCTATAACACTTTAAAACTATTTACTGATTTTAAAATGTAATAGGTTAGTTCAGTTACAATTTTAAAACTATAGATTATACACGTAGAGAGCCTGAAAGTTCTAAGGACTAAAAATTCTTCTCCAGTTAAATAAACTGGGGAGTGGTGGTTTCTATGGGCCAACTATATCCTTTTGTCTAAAACTTAACTGAATGTAGAAACAGAGCAGTTCTTAGAAGACCTTTTAAAACTAGTGAGAGCATACAGGCCAGCTATATCTCACCTTCACAGGCCTTTTAAGGATTTCATCAATTTATCATTTAGTTGGTTTGTTTTATATTTTGGTTTTTGATGTTTTGTGACAAGATCTCATTATTGCTTCTGGCCAGCAACTTGGTATGTAGCCCAGGTTAGCTTTTCCTTCATGATTGTCCTGCCTCAGCCTCCCAAGTACATACAGTCTACAGTGAGTTACTCAAAGAGAGAGCATATGATTTGGCTAAAAAGCCAACAAAGATTATCTCTTCAAAGCAAGCCACAGGATTCATCCATTCACCTACTAATAAATATAGAGCCTGTAATCATTTTAGTGAATATTTTCTCCTGACTCCTCTTCTTCCTAATGCCCATTACCCTTCACTTCTGATCTTACTGAAGGAGAAACAGTTCTCCAGACACAACAGGCTGCTTCAGAATTCCAGACACTTGCTCATTCCTAAGCTGAAATGGTCCTCATCCTGACCACTAACTTGACGGACAAGTGATGCTCCTATTTTTTCCTTTCTTCCTACAAAGTTTTACAGCACATCTCTAGCCTGGAGCCTGTTTTTGATTCCACCAGGCTAAAGACTTTGCACCCTTCATTTCTGAAATATTCATTGTAACCTGATCTTGGTCTTGGTAGGCACATAGCTTTATAAGAGAAAAACAAGCAAAGTCAAGTTTCAAAACTTGCTAGCTCTTTTGTAAAAATAAAATTTTAATTGAAGACTTGAGAACTTTCAAATTCAATGTTCTAGTTATGAAGCTGACACTCACCATCAGTGATGGCTTCTCCTTTGAGACTCTTGATTCCTCTGGGCATTGCATTTCCATCCAGATAGAATTCAATTATGCCATCATCTAGGATAATTAAAACATGAAGCCAAACACCTTCTTCTAAATATTTCATGACTGTGGTCTTGGCAATATATGTAACATTTGATCCAAAAGTTTTATAGTGAAGGGAAAGAGTCACATGGGATTCATTTGTTTGAATTTTTACCCCATAATAGATACTTCCATTGCCGTCATCCTTTGCTATGAGAAATCCATTTGTATTGGCATTAGGCATTACCCAGGCTGAAAATGTAAAGTTGGCAATTGTGTTATTCCTGGAAGGGTGGTACTTTGGGTCGACAGTCCCAAATGCACCTTCTAGTCCACTGAAGTACAAGACATCTGTTCCACTCTGGTGACGTCGCATATGTGGCTGCAAATGCACAGTAGCAGGGAAAATTCCTACCAGCAGAAAGTCGATCATTGGTGGCAAACCAGCGGTGAACTCTCTGGACAGTATCTCCCAGGCCACCCGCACATCGCCGAAGACACCCTGTTGTCTCAAAACGGTAAAGCTGGTAATATAAGACATATCATCTTCTGACAGGACATCTTCTGCCACTTCTCTGTCTAGACACTCTGGATCTAAGACGAAAACTCCAAACGGGTCATCGTTGAATGGAATCATGACTGTCACCTGAAGGTTGGTTTCTGCCAGCTGACCTCCAGAACCTGTAGGGAGAAAATTTAGAATAACTAAAAAAATCAGAAGTTAAATACGTTTTAGTCGAAGAAAAAAAGCAGTGTGTTTGACAGGAAAAATTCTAGTTAAATAATTTATTCATTATCAGTGAATAATGGAATCATCACATTGTTTTCACCACGTTTTGCAGGGCAATGTTATTAAATAACATCAATTAGCATATTCATATTGATAATCAGTCAAGACCCCCCCCAATACTTTTATATTGAAAACCCAAAACGGTGAGATATAAGGAAGCCTCTATTCATAAAACTGAACCTCCCTAAGACCTTAAAATAAACATGCAAAATTAACAGTTTGAGGCTAAGGACATAGTTTAATGGTAGAACACATAATTAGCATAGAGCCTCAGATTCTATGCCTAATACCAATGAATAAGTAAGAAAAACTAAGCCAGACACAGTGTCACATGCCTATGACCCCAGAATTCTGGAGATGTTGTCAATAATCATTGGCAACAAACCAGCAGTGAACTCTCTGGATAGTATTTCCCAGCCAACCTGTACATCACCAAAGACACCCTGCTGTCTCAAAATGGTAAACAAAAAAGAGCTAGGGTTGTAGCTCAATGGTAGAGCACTCCTAACACACAGGCTTAGAGTTTGACTCCCAGCACTGCAAAAACAAAACAAAACAATTTCGACCAGGAAAGGTACTTTGACGTTAAAATCAGACAATCATAATACACTTAACCATCAACCAGACTTTGTATGCAATTTATTTGAGTATAAATTATAAGATTTTGGTTGGTAACATAAGAGATGGAAAGAGCCCACACCTGAAATATTTACAAGCTTTAGAGTATAAAATTCATTGAATTCAGGAATTCCATCTGGGAAAGCATGGAGAATTACTGATTTTGATCCTTCTCCATCTATGAAGTTAACAGTCCCTGACGTTTCGTAGAACTCTTGTCCAGACTGCAGAGAAACATTCTGAAACACCTGCCAAGCCACAGAGACGTTGCCAAAGTGTCCGCGGTGCCTCAAAACCCTAAGTGAAAACAGAACAATATTATGTTAAAGAAACGTGTGTGTGGTGAATGTAACGATAGCAAAAGCATTCCATCCTCTCTTGAAAGTATACATTTTCTATTTATCATCAAACTAGCCAGCAGGTCCCATTGAGCAACCAAGTAAAGTAAAGGAAGGAAATGGTAGCAAGAACTTAAGCCCCTTAAAGAAATCCAGGAAAACAAAAACAAACAATGGGAGGAAATGAATAAAACCCTTTTAAAAAGAAAAAAAAAAGTTGAGAAAAACCAAACAGGTAAAGGAAATGAATAAAATGGCTCAAAATCTGAAAGTGAAAATAGAAGCAATTAAATAAAAGACAAACTGAGGGAATCTCGGACACGAAAAATGTAGATAAGCAAACAAGAACTAAAGATGCAAGCATCACAAACAGAATACAAGAGATGAAAGAGAGAATATCAAGTGTTGAAGACATGATACAAGACATTGTTACACTGAACAAAGAAAATGTTAAATCTAAAAAGTTCCTGATGCAAAATATCCAGCAAATCTGAAACATTATGGAAAAAAAAATTAAGGAAAAGAATCCCAGCTCAACGACCCAGAAAATACTTTTAACAAAATCATAAAAGAAAACTTTTCTAAGCTGAAGAAGGACATGCTTATTAAGGTACAAGAAGCTTATAACACCAAATAGATTGGCCCAGAAAAGAAAGTCCCCTCACCACATAATACTCAAAACACAAAACATACAGAACAAAGAAAGAACCTTAAAAGCCGTAAGGGTAAAAGGCTAAGAAACATATAAAGGCAGACCAATTAGAATTACACCTGACTTCTCAGTGGAGACTCTAAAAATCAGAAGAGCCTGAACAGATGTCTTACAGACTCTTGTGGACCACAGATGCCAACCTAGACTACTATATCCAGCAAAACTTTCAACCAACATAGAGGGAGAAATATCTTGATATTTCATGACAAAGTCAAATTTAAACAATATCTACCCACAAATCCAGCCCTGTAGAAGATACTAGAAGGAAAATTCTAACCCAAGAAAGCTAACTATACTCGTGAAAACTCAGTAAATAAAAAAAAAAAATCTCACACCAGAAAAAAATAAAAGAAGGGAAACACACAAACACTACTACCACAACCAACAACAACAAAATAACAAGAATTAACAATCATTGGTCATTGATATCTCTCAATATCGATGGACTCAATTCCCCAATAAAAAGACATGTGCTAACAGAATAGATGTGAAAACAAGATCCATCCTTCTTCGGCATCCAAGAAACACACCTCAACATCAAAGACAGACATTATCTCAGAGTAAATGGTAGGACAAAGATTTTCAAAGCAAGTGGACCCAAGAAGCAAGCTGGTGTAGCCATTTTAATATCTAACAAAATAGACTTCAAACCAAAATTAATCAAAAGAGAAGGAAAAAGGATTCATCAAAGAAAAAAAATCTACCAAGATGTCTCAATGCTTAACATCTGTGCCCCAAATGCAAGGGCACCCCCATGTTTGTAAAAGAAACATTACTAAAACTTAAATCATACATTGACTCTCACACATTAGTAGTGGGAGACTTCAATACCCAACTCTCACCAATGGATAGGTCATCCAAACAAAAAGTAAACAAGAAATAATGGAGCTAAAAGAGATCATGAACCAAATGGACCTAACAGATATCTATAGAACATTTCACCCAAACAGAAAATAATATACCTTCTTCTCAGCAGTTCACAAAACTGTCTCCAAAATTGATGGCATACTCTGACACAAAGAAAGTCTCAATAGATACAAGAAAACTAAAATAACCCCCTGTATCCTATCAGACCATCATGGATTAAAGCAGGACTTCAACAACAACAGAAAGCCTATAAACTAGTGGAAACTGAACAGTTCTCAACTGAACTGACACTGGGTCAAGGAAGAAATAAAGAAATTAAGGATTCCTAAAATTTGATGAAAATTAATGCGCAACATACCCAAATTTATGGGACAAAATGAAAGTGTGCTAAGAGGAAAGTTCATAGCACTAAGTATCTTCATAAAGAAATTGTAGAGATATCACACTAGCAACTTAACAGCACACCTGAAAGCTCTGGAACAAAAGGAATCAAACACACCTAAAAGGAGTGGATGGCAGGAAAAAAAAAATCAAACTGATGGCTGCAATCAATAAAATAGAAACAAAGAGAACAATATAAAAGAATCAATGAAACAAAGAGTTGGTTCATTGAGAAAATCAACAAGATAGACAAATCCTTTAAAAAAACTAACAAAAAGACAGAGAGAAAAACATCCAAATTGATAAAATCAGAAACAAAAAGGGACACAACAACAGACACCAGACACTGAGAAAATCCAAAGAATCATTAAGTCATACTTCAAAAACAAGTATTCCACAAAATTGTAAAAACTACAAGGAATGAACAAATTTCCTGACAGATATCACTTACCAAAGTTAAATCAAGATCAGATAAACAATTTAACAGACCTATAGCCCCTAAGGAAATAGAAGCAGTTATTAGAAGTCTCATAACCAAAAATCTCCAGGGCCAAATGGTTTTCTACCGAATTTTCTACAGAATTCTACCAGACTTCCAAAGAAGAGCTAATATCAACACTCTTCTAATTACTCCAAAAATAGAAATAAAGAAACATTGTCAAATTCAATTTTATGAGGCCACAGTCACCTAGATACCCAAACCACACTAGATTCAACAAAGAATGAGAAATAACAGAACAATTTCCCTCATGAACATTGATGTAAAAATACTCAATAAAATCCTTGCAAACTGAATCCAATAACACATCAAAAAGATCATCCACCATAACCAAATAGGCTTCATCCCAGAGATTTGAGGAATGATTCAAAATACAAAAATCTGTCAAGCTAATTCACCATATAAAAAAAATCGAAAGAAAAAAATCACATGATCATCTCATTAGATGCTAAAAATGCTTTTGACAAAAATCTAGCTACCCTTCATGATAAAAGTCAGGGATACAAGGAACATACCTAAACATAATAAAGGTAATTTACACCAAGCCTATAGCCAACATCAAATTAAATGGAGAGAAATTCAAAGCAATTCCTCTAAAATCAGGAACAAGACCAGGCTGTCCATTCTATCCATATTTGTTCAATATAATACTTGAAGTTCTAGCTAGAGCAATAAGACAACAAAAGGAGATCAAGAGTATACAAATTGGAAAGGAAGAAGTCAAAGTATCATTATTCACAGATGATATGATTGTATACAAAAGCAAACTGAAAAATTCTACCAGGGAACTCCTACAGCTGATAAACACCTTTGATGAAGTAGTTGGATACAAGATCAACTCAAAAAAATCAGTAGAACTCCTATATACAGAAGACAAACTGGCTGAGAAAGAAATCAGGGGAACAACACCCTTCACAATAGCCACAAATAACATAAAATATTTTGGGGTACCGCTAACCAAACAAGTAAAAGACCTGTATGACAAGAATTTCAAGTCTTTGAAGAAGAACAATTTCTTTGAAGAAGAAGAAGAACAATTTCCCTCATGAACATTGATGTAAAAATACTCAATAAAATCCTTGCAAACTGAAGAAGATATCAGAAAATAGAAAGATCTCCCATGCTCATGGATTGGTAGAATTAGCATAGTAAAACCAGCCATCTTACCAAAAGCAATTTACAGACTCACTCAATGCATTCCCCACCAAAATTTTAACACAATTCTTTACAGACTGTAAAAAAACAATACTCAACTTCATATGGAAAAACAAAAAGCCCAGGATAGCTAAAACAGTGCTGAATAATAAAACAACTTCCAAAGATATCACCATCCCTGATTTCAAGCTACACTATAGAGCTATAGTAATAAAAACTATATGCTGTTGGCATAAAAACAGATAGGTAGATCAATTAAATAGAATCAAAGATCCAGACATAAATCCACACACCTATAAACCCCTATTTTTTTTATAAAGAACCCAGAAATATACAATGGAAAAAAAGACAGCATCTTCAACAAATGGTGCTGGTCAAACTGGATGTTGGCACGTAGAAGGTAAATAGATCCATATCTATCACCCCACACAAAACTCAAGTCCAAGTGGATCAAATACCTCAACATAAATCCAGATACAGTGAACAGTGAACAGAAGAGAAAGTGAGAATTAGCCTTGAACACATTGGCACAGATTACAACTTCCTGTACAGAATATAAACAGAGCAGGCACTAAGATTGACAATTAATAATGGGACCTCATGAAACTGAAAAGTTTCTGTAAGGCAAGTGATACTGTCAATAGGACAAAACAGCAGCCTTCAGAATGGGAAAGGATTTTTACAAACTCTACATCTGACAGAGGGCTAATATCCAAAAATATATAAAGAACTCAAGAAACTAGGTATCAAAAAAATCAAATAATCCAATTAAAAAATGGTTTACAGATCTAAACAGAGAATTCTCAACAGAGGACTCTCAAAGGGTTGAGATACACTTAAAGAAATGTTTAGCATCCTTAGACATCAGGAAAATGCAAATTAAAATGACCCAGATTACATCTTACACTACTCAAAATTGCTAGGATCCCAGCTGGATCAACAACAGAGAGGGAGAACAAGGAATAGGAGACCATGGTAAATGAAGACCACATGAGAATAGGAAGAAGCAAAGTGCTAGAGAGGCCCACAGAAATCCACAAAGATACCCCCACAACAGACTGCTGGCAGTGGTCGAGAGACAGCCCCAACTGACCTACTCTGGTGATGGGATGGCCAAACACCCTAATTGTCGTGCTAGAAACCTCATCCAACTACTGAGGGATCTGGATGCAGAGATCCATGGCTAGGCCCCGGGTGGAGCTCTGGGAGTCCAATTAGTGAGAAAGAGGAGGGTTTATATGAGCGAGAATTGTTGAGACCAAGGTTGGATAAAGCACAGGGACAAATAGCCAAACGAATGGAAACACATGAACTATGAACCAATGGCTGAGGGGTCACCAATTGGATCAGGCCCTCTGAATGGGTGAGACAGTTGATTGGCTTGATCTGTTTGGGAGGCATCCAGGCAGTGGGACCAGGTTCTGTGCTCATTGCATGAGTTGGCTGTTTGAAACCTGGGGCCTATGCAGGATCGCTTGGCTCAGCCTGGGAGGAGGGGACTGGACCTACCTGGACTGAGTCTACCAGGTTGATCTCAGTCCTCGGGGGAGGCTTTGCCCTGGAGGAGGTGGGAATGGGGGGTGGGCTGGGGGGAAGGTGATGGGGGCGGGATGGGGGAGAACAAGGGAATTTGTGGCTGATATGTAGAACTGAATTGTATTGCAAAATAAAAATTAAAAAAAAAGAAAAAGATGGTGGTTGAGTCTAACCATGTTAGAATCATCTCCCTGTAAACATGTTAATCTGAATAGGTTTCAGAAAAAGACTTTCAGGAATGCTAAAAAATAAACAGGTTAAAAAAAATTGCTAGGATCAAAAACACAAGGGACAGCTCATGCTTGCAAGGCTATAGAGCAAGGGGAACACTCCTCTATTGCTGGTGGGAGTGCAAACTAGTATATTCACTTTGGAAATCAATATGACGGTTCCTCACAAAATTGGGAATCCATCTACCTCAAGACCCAGCTATACCACTCCTGGGTATATACCCAAAGGATGCTCCATCTTACTACAAGGACACGTGCTCAACTATGTTGATAGTGGCTTTGTTCATAATAGCCAGAAACTGGAAACAACCTAGATGGCCCTCAACCCCTCAACCAAAGAGTGGATAAAGAAAATGTGGTACATTTACACAACGGAGTATCACTCAGCGATTTAAAAAAAAAAATGACATCATGAAATTTGCAGGTAAAATGGATGGAACTAAGAAAAAATCATCCTGAGTGAGGTAACCCAGACCTAGAAAGACAAATATGATTTGAACTCACTTATAAGTGGATATTAGCTGTAAAGTAAAGGATAATCATGCTATAATCCACAGACCCAGAGAGGCTAAGCAACAAAGAGGGTTCAAGGGAGGAAGCATGGATCTCCCTGGGAAGAGAAAATAGGATAGATTATTAAGGTGGACTGGAGGGTCATGGGGATGGGAACAAGAGGGATCAGGTGTGAGGGTTATGGAGGGAGAGAGTACTGGGAGAGACAACCGGAAAGAGGGGGGCACATTCAAGGGCGATGCGCAAACCTAGTGCAGTGGAAACTTCCTGGAATCTATGAGGGTGACCCTAGTGGAGACCCCTAGTAATGAGGGATACGGAACCCAAACCGGCCATCTTCTGTAACCAGGCAAGTGATTTGGGACACCAATCCAGCCACAAAAACTTAGACCTATAATTTTCCTGCCTGCAAGAACCAAGCATGACCAGTCTAAAAAAAAAAAAAGGCAATGAAATGACACCTAATGATATTCTGCTATACTTGTACAGAGGAGCCTAGCATAATCGTCATCAGAGAGGCTCCATCCAGCAACTGAGGGGAGCAGATGCAGAGATCCACACCCAAATATTGGGTGGAGCTCAGGGAATCCTTCTGAAGAGGGAAAGGAAGGATTGTAGGAGTCTGAGGGGTCAAGGACATCACAAGAAAACCCACAGAATCAACTAGCCTGGGCTCATAGCAGCTCACAGAGACTGAACTGACATCCAGGGAGCCTGCAAGGGTCTGACCTAGGCCCTCTGCACACGTGATGGTTGTGTAACTTGGTGTTCTGCGGGCCTCCTAACAGTGGGAGTGGGCTGTCTCTGACTCTTTGCCTGCTCTTGGGGTCCTGTTCCTCAAACTGGGGTGCCCTGTCCAGCCGAACTATGAGGAGAGGTGCCGAGTCTTCCTGCAACATGACATGCCATGCTTGGTTGACATCCCTGGCAGGCCTGCCCTTTTCTGAAGGGAAATGGAGGAGGAGTGGATCTGGGGGAGAGGGGTGGTTTTGAGAGACGGCAAGGAGAGGAGGGAAGGGAAAATGTAGTCAGGATGTAATATATGAGAGAAGAATAATTTTTTAAAGTAATACATCAAAATTCTCCATTGAAAAAAAAGAAGAAAGACACTAGGTGCAAGGAGTCACAAGTTGAAGGCTGAAAAACTGAGGTCCCCAAGTCTTGAGAAGATAGAACTCGGAGGGGGAAGGGCAAGGAGATTAAGTTCTGTTTAGCAGATAGATGGTTCTCATGCTTAGATATTTAATGAAAAATGTTATAGCAGAGCATAGACAAAGTTATCATTTATTTATATCATTTAAATTTTTGTTTGCATAGATTAACAGTGTTTCAATTTTCACACACTTAATGATCTTAAAATTGTATTGTATCCAGTTTTGACTTTCCTTATCCAAATATACGTACCAAAATGCATTTGTCTTTCCTTCTTCCACTGCTTTGTCTACGGGCTCCAGAGAAAACACCCCATTTGGGTCATCATTGGCTTCAATTATGACTGTGGCTATTCCATACTGATAAACTACTGTGTCACCTAAATTAAACACAAAAAAGTCAAAGTAATTTAACAAAGAAGCTACCTTTAATTCAACACAATGTTTAACATGCACTCATTTTATTCACTTATATTTTAGAAATATAAAACTAGCCGGGCGGTGGTGGCGCACGCCTTTAATCCCAGCACTCGGGAGGCAGAGGCAGGCGGATCTCTGTAAGTTCGAGGCCAGCCTGGTCTACAAAGCGAGTTCCAGGAAAGGCGCAAAGCTACACAGAGAAACCCTGTCTCGAAAAACCAAAAAAAAAAAAAAAGAAATATAAAACTAAGAATATAAAAGGCTAAGGAGATGGCTCAGGGTAAAGAGCATGCTGCATGTGTGTTTTGCATTCAGACCCATGCATCTGTGTAAAAGACAGGAGCTTCTACAACTCCAGCTAGAAGGAGACCAGAGGCTGCTGGATCCAAAGAGCCTGTTGGCCAGCCATCATGGCTGAAATGGCAGGAATGAGGTTCAGTGGGACACTGCCTCATAAGCATGAAGAGAAGGCCGGAGGACAACTCCTGGCAATATCCTCTGGCCTCCAATTGTGGATACATGGATGAGCACAGACACATATACACACCCAAAGTATTCATGTGTGCAGCTTTATTCCCATACCATGTACTTTAAAAGGCACTAGAAATAACAAAACATCAGTAGCAATAACCACAGCCAGTAGCCAGATCTTATTTACTGAAAAATACTCTTAAAAGCAGGGCTTCCAAAAGAACTGGCTGATTTCAGGATCGTGGCGGGAAAATAACACACTAAGCTTGAACAGCTTGGTGCGAAAGGAGGTGGAGAAACGCTGGAAGAATAATACTAAGGACATGGCAAAAGGTCATGCTGAGTAGACTACCACTAGCCAAATTTGGATGAAGGTAACCACAAAAGTAAATGATGGTAATAAAACTAACCTTATCACTAAACAGAATATGATTCTATTCCAATAAATGTCAATGAAAGCTTGAAAGAGTTTTTGAGTAATAAAACATCTACATAATTTCAAGCTAACTAGCCACAAACATTTATTAATTATAATAAAAGGTAAACTTGGAGGTCATCACCTTAATTGTACCAAAACAAATATAATGAAGGGACAAAACAAAATCCTGCAAGAAGAAATTAGGAACACAGAATTACCCCTGTGATGTTATTACCAAGGATAAAAATACTTGCATCAAATAAAAAAGACCAATCAGGCAAACTCAGATGAGAAATATTCAAGCTTGTGGTTTTGCTGAGATCATGAAAGTCAAATAAAAACTATGGAATTACTTCAGACTGAAAAGATTAGAGGGACATTAACATTAAATGAAATGCATAATTCCACTAAGGGTAATTTTACTACAAACACTGTTATTGGGAGAACTAAAGAAATCTGAATAATGACCGAGGTGACAGTTTGTACTGGTATTATCTTCTTGATTTCAATGCCAGGCTTCACTGCAGATGTAGAAACAATGCAGATAAACAGACATGGGCAATTACCCCTGAAATCATGAGCCAAAATCTGTCCTCTAATAAGTTGATTTTCACAGAATTTTATCACACAGAAATCTAATCTCCACTGCACAGTGACAGCTATCTTTCTCATCCCACCAGTCAAGAGAACAACGCTTTTCCTCATGAGCAGTTATAAACCACAGAGCAGCCAGAACAGTATTTATTTACCTGTTGAATTGAAAAGGATTATATAAAAAGGTTCATCTGTTTCGGGGATTCCATCATCATTGACATAGACAGATACACTCTGCTCTCTGCTCCCAACCTCAAACACAAGGGTTTCTCCTTTCTCGACAGGAACAAAGTCTCCCTCTCTTCCCGAAGCCTCTCCATCCATGGTAGCATACTGGACAGTGCAAGTTACATCCACAGACCCATTTCTGAGTACTGTGAAGTTGGCAGTCTCACCCTCCTGGACCCTCAGGACACAAGGCTCTGAAATATACGTAGAAAAGAAATACGTGAGCCTATTCCACCCGTGAGCACATTTTCAGATGTCTTATTTCTCCCTGCTATCAACAAAAGTCTGTGATCAAGGACCCTCTGACTACCCCCAGCCTCAGTGTCCTTTCCCGCGCAATGCCCACAGTACCCAGTGTCTCTAGCAGCTGATCTGTAATAAAATCTCATAAGATTTTTATTTTTTACTGCTGTTTAATATACTTCATGTTAAAGATCAGTTCCTTGAATATATATAGATCTCCTGTTTCATTTTTTTCCAATGACAGTTGGAAAAAAGATAAGCACAGGCCTAACTCACTAACTACATAGTACCTGAAGGCTAAGAATGGCATAAATAAAATTCAAGAGGCTCAAGGTGTTGCTAAATCAGCAATTTCACCCATATACATCTTACAGAAGAGAGTTCAGAGAATTAAAAATCTGATTAAGTCTCATTTACAAAACTAAAAGATGCCTCGGGGGCAAAAGTTAAATGTGAAGAAAGCAGTGAAATGGCGAAAATGGAGACTCCTTAGTTAATATGTCCATTACCCATCAGCTGCTGTAACAAGTGGCCACCCTTAGGCAGAACACAAGCCGTGAATCCATCAGACACTGTCAGGAAGTGACTGGGGAAGCATGCTCCTGTCTACCCAAAGCAAAAGCAACGCCATGGATTAAAAAGAAGAAGCAAGCAAAGTTTTCTAAGGGACTTCTCTTATTTCCATTGTGTTTCAAGAGGTCTTAAAAATAAAAAAGTTTAAACTCAATGAAAGTCAATCATCAAATGAATCTGAAATTATATTTTGTTTTGTTTTGTTTTTGTTTTTGTTTTTTGTTTTTTCAAGACAGAGTTTCTCTGTGTAGCTTTGAGCCTTTCCTGGAACTCACTCTGTAGCCCAGGCTGGCCTTGAACTCACAGAGATCCTCCTGCCTCTGCCTCCAGAGTGCTGGGATTAAAGGCGTGCGCCACCACCGTCTGGCCTGAAATTATATTTAAATAACATTGATTGCACTACAAAAAAATGTCCAGTTAATAATTCTTCTTAAACATATATGTTGGGGCTGGAGAGATACCCAGTAGTTTAGGGGACTTATGGCTCTTGCAGAGGACCCAGGTTCGATTTCCAAGACCCACATGATGGCTCACAACCATCCTAACTCCTGTTGTAGGGACCCATTGTCCTCATATGGCCTCCACAGGCACCAGCCATGCACAGAGTACACATACATACATGCAGGTAAGACATACATACACATAAAATTAAATAAAAATGTCTTAAAACGTATATACTATTTAGGAAGTACGTAAACTCACTCAAACAAGATAGTAATGCTACCTGCAAAATAAATGGGGTCGTCATTCCTCAGGATCCTCAGGAAGGCCGTTGTTCTGTTCCCTGTCTGAGCACCACTGGTGGCATTAAATAGGAGGATGGTGAATTCCTCCATCTCCTCTGGAATCTTCGGGAAAATGGTACATACTTTAAGTCAAGTGAATCATACGTGTAATTAGCGTGCCTATTCATTTTTGAAAGCTCAGTTATTACTGCTAATATTCATTTTCATCTCTAAGGCAGAAGCTTCTTAAAATGTTCCCATAAAACTCGGGTTCCCCTCAAATCATTTCAATACTCTTTCAAATAGTTATTTCACTGTGGCTAGCTATAAAGTACAAAGGAAACACATATATTTTGACTTAAGTAAGGAAAACATGGCTATGCCAGAGCTTATATTATTTCTATAAAACAGGAAAGACATTAACTGTAAGGGAAAAACAGAACAGAAAAACAATGTAACAGTTTTAACTCCTTCGGCACAGAGCACTGGCAGCTGCTAGGCTGTTAGCTCTCCACTGTGTCTTTAAACCGTCAGGAAGGTCCTGAGGAGGTCCAAAGACATCCTTCCTTCCGTGTCCTCTGAAGGTTGAGATTTCCATTTCTTTGATTCTTATATCCCCCCAGTGGATTCTAGTTCCCTTTCACATTGTCAGTGTGAGCTAGTCTTCTCCCCATCCCATAACAGAAAAAAAAGGGAGAATTTTGTCTGTTGGGGGACAGTCCTGAAGGAAAGGGGACACGCTTCACAGCTTTGCCCCGAGGAAGGTCCACTCCTCGTCTTAGCGAAGTTCTTTGTCTTTCCTGCTGGCTCACAGCCCCTGTGCCCAGTGTGGGGATGCTGAAGTACACAACGAGATGCCCAGAAGATGGCTCCTCTTCAAAGTACCTAAGGCAGACCAGCTGCTAAACATCCCCCAGGCCTGAATCTCTGGTATTTGATACATGATGGAGTTACTGACCTTCACCAAATGTAAGGATTTAAAAATGCAAATGCCTTCAAGGGACACCCAAACTGCATTGCTTTCTCACTGCGTATCCAGTCACAGTCATAATGAAGCTCTATTACAGTTTCATCACAAACTGTATCACAAGGTATTTAATTACTTAATTTTAAAAAAGAATGAATGAGCTGTTAATTTAGAATGCTCATATGCCATATGGAGAGTCTGAACAACAGCACCACAAAAGACAGACCAACCAAACAACACACGCAAAGGTATGAGTCAACAATTACAAGGAGCCGAGTGAAGAGCTGTATGGGCAACACTTACTTCATCCGCAAGGGAGTAAACGGTGATAGTTTTTGAAGATTCTTGGTCTCCAAAGGCAATAGTTCCTTGCACAGGAAATACATCTTGTGTAAAGTCTGGACTAACCATCCATGATACACTAACATCACCAAAGTTGCCTCGAGTTCGTATTACACCATAAACAGCTAGAAAATACACGTATGAACATAGGTTGAACTTTAAAATAAGCTAAGGAACTTCTGAAATAAACAGAATAAAACACCTCTTCATCAACACTTGTTGGGAGGCCTTGCTGGCTGCTCAGAGCTTGCAGTCTATCATGGCCTGGCAGCTTTTTACAAAAGCTGGACAGTATGGGGATTCCTTCCCCCTCGGTGAGACTTCCTGCTCTCTACCTGCCCTTATCTGGAGAATGTTCCCAGAGGACTGACCTTACCTGAAAGCTGTCTCTAAGCCTGGATGCTGATTAATCTCTAGGGTGACCCTTGGCACAGCTGCCTGCCAGAAGCCTCCTTGCTGCACACAACTAAGACACGTGCTGGGAGGCTATAGGACCACAGGAACCTGCTGCCACATACAAAGTCACTTAGTGTAAATTAGGGTTTGTCCCCAGGCTCCCCAATCCTATATAGTTCCTATATTCTAGAATAAAGTTGAGCTGATTCACTGAAGTCTTTCCTGGAGGGCTGTCTCCAGGGTGTTCACATGCCATACAAGGATCTCTGTTGTCACTTCTGCCCCTGTGATCTCATGGACTGATGGCCAACTCACCTCAAAGACAAAGGGGAACCCCACAAACACTTGCTTAGCAAACACTCCAAGGTTGACATAACTGTGTGTGTATGTGTGCGTGCATGCATATGTGCGTGTGTGTGTGTGTGTGTGTGTGTGTGTGTGTGTGTGTGTTTATTGAGCCTGCACAATATTTTCCATTGCACCTTGGGATGTTAAGAATCATTTGGCATAGAAATGGGATTGTCATCAATTATGTACAACTATTACAAAGTCTCACGAGTCGATCCACCAAAAGCATTTGCTGCAAGCTTGACTTGTATTTGACAGGCAAAGTGATTTTATTACCCAGACAATGCTTTTAAAATAACAGAATTCGCCGGGCGGTGGTGGCGCACGCCTATAATCCCAGCACTCGGGAGGCAGAGCCAGGCGGATCTCTGTGAGTTCGAGGCCAGCCTGGGCTACAGAGTGAGTCCCAGGAAAGGCGCAAAGCTACACAGAGAAACCCTGTCTCAAAAAACCAAAAAAAAAAAAAACAGAATTCTCACCCCCTACACTTCAATAGTTTCTCAACAGTAACTCTTAGATGTAGTGTCCTCTCCATTCGACTTAACTTGACTCCTTCCCACGTGTATGAGCTATACTGTATTAGCTAAAATCAAACTGTAACTGAAGTCTTCAATATTATCACAATGCTATCCAAGAAATGAAAACAGCAACCCTGATTGTGAGTTTTAAAAGATTGCATGTAATTTCTGAGGCAGAATGGAAAACTGACAATAGTTACTAAAGAAATGAACTAAGGGGCTGGTCAGATGGGTCAGCAGCTAAGAGCACTTACTGTTCTTTCAGAGGACCAGGGTTCAGTTCTAACACCCACACAGGGGCCTCACCACTACTAATGTCTGGCCTCCATGGGCAACTGCACACATGTGGTGTACAAAAACTCACACAAGCAACACAAATACACATATGAATGAAAATATTTTTTTAAATTAAGCTGAAAAGAGATTCGTGTCCTCTTCAGTGAACAGAAATAAAATACAGTAAACAAAATAATTTACCACTATAGAGATCCTCTCCTTTGCTTTCTTTTATTGACGTGGTCAAATCATCAGAAAGGAACTCTATAATCCCATGAGGATGGTCATTTTTCAGAATCGTTATGTTGACAACTGTGGCACCTCCCAGCTTGCTTTCCCGTTCTCCGTGGCTGCTGAGGACCACCCAGTAGTGCTCATCCACCTGCAAAACACAAGCCAAATTAGAGAAGGTGTAAAGCTGATGTTTCCACAGCAAACCGAATGTGTAAAGGACTGACGATATCAATATATTCAACTTTTCAGGAATACACATTACACTAAAAAGACAAAAGAGCCGATGCTATTCCTGATTTTTAAAAATATTTGCCTACTAACTGAGAGACGGGAGACATCAGTATACATTATCATATATACTTAAATAAAATTAATTTGGAAGCTGCATATGGGTTGCAGTATAAACATAAATGAAGTACATCTGATTCTTCGAATACAGAATAATTTTCTTTCTAAAAAATAATTTTATAGGAAAACTTTACTTCAAAACCACACCAGTAAGAGTTGTTGATATAGAGAACATAAAATAAAACTAACCATAAATGAAGAAAACTGATCACTCAATCAAAGTCTTATACTGTTTTTTAATTTTTTGTTTTGGGACAAGAGTACACTCCTCAAAGTGGAATGAATCTTATTCTGCTTTTTAAGCTTCTTTTTAAGTTTTTCCAGACATGAACACTTATTCTTTCTTATGTCTTGCTATCAATGTTCAACATATTTCTATTCTCAATGTACTGATACTATCAATCTCCCCCATGAGCATAAGAGAAATTCAAAACTTGGTACCTCTGGCATGCCATCCAATCTCGAGAGCAAGGTGACCACGACATCGCGTTCCCCAGGTGTGAATTCCAGCACCCCTGTGTTTCCGTAGAATTCGTTGCTCTCTCTGGGTTCTATGTGGTAGCGTAGGAACTGTTTCACAAGGGACCCCCTGGATCGAGTAATACGGAGCTCTACAGCATCTCCTTCCTTAAAAAGAAAAACCCACAAAAGTTCAAATTCTTCTAGAACATTTTTCTGAAGTTACGAATACAGAGTGAAGTTTCACACTTACTTTTATAACATAGGGTCCTCTAGAATCATGAGAAAATTCAAAAACACCTCCAGGATCATCATTTTCCAAAATAATTAAGTCTCGGCTAGTGTATCCTGATTTCAGGACTTCACTGTCCACACTCACGCTGAAAAGTGAGGAGGGTAGAAGCACTCTGTTATTCTGAGTTTTTCAAGCTTTTTATTTACATTTTATATTTACATTTCTTCCAGATAATTAAAAAGGCAACTAAGGGTTAAACCTCAAAGCCAGTTTACATGTATTAAATCACTTCACACCAAAACTGTTTTCATTGGTAATACTTACTGAAATATTTCTGAATTCTTTATATCTTTTTTAAGTTTGACTGGCCAAAACACTGTATAAGTACACAAAGAATAGAGAAACCATATAAAGTATCAAAACCTATAAAATTGTATTGCAGTTTTAGAAAACTGTACTTTCTAATTAGTGGGAAAATATTCTTAAACAACTTGGTAGCTGCTGTATTTTGCTTCTCCAATGTATGTGTTTTAAACTTTAAATTTTACTTACATGTGAATTTCCTTTAAGTCTCCTTAAATATGATTATGTTACTTGAATAAGGATATGTATTAATTATATAACTACATACCACAAATGACCAAAACTAAATAAATAAACACAGTTATGTCAGACTTTTATGAATAATTTTTGTCTTTCAAGTGCTTTCTATATGTTCCAGTCTTAACCTCAAACATTTTTTAGGGGAAAAAAAGGTAAAATATATTAGAATAAAAGGAATAAAGTAGATCTGAGAGGCTGATATGCTATAATAAACTCTGTGTGTGTGTGTGTGTGTGTGTGTGTGTGTGTGTGTGTGTGTGTGTGTGTGTGTATAAATAGGTGGATAGATAAACTTTTTGTTGTTGTTGTTTTGTTTTGTTTTTCGAGACAGGGTCTCTCTGTATAGCTTTGGAGCCTGTCCTGGAACTCACTCTGTAGCCCAGGCTGGACTCGAACTCACAGAGATCCGCCTGCCTCTGCCTCCCGAGTGCTGGGATTAAAGGCGTGCGCCACCATTGCCCGGCGATAAACATTTTTCAATTTCTGTATTTTTGCTAGAATATAATTAAGATGATCAAAGAGATGGCAGGCTCTGAGACTTGGAGTTAGCTCTCAGGAAGTCTTAGTCACATAATTTGGACTCAACCTCTCCACATGTCACTTCCTACTGAACAAAAAATGAAGTCATAATCTGACCTCCAAATCACAATGAAACTAACAATCCAAAAAAAACGCGCACAGGCCAGTGGTTTGTATGAGGCAAGGAACACGAACTAATGTGCTTCTGCTTTTAGAAATCACACAAACAATACCTAACATGTTAGTGACCACAGAGGAAGTAATCCAAACACCAGAACAGTTATTCGTTGTGTTGACAATGCCTCTATTTCATTTCAATAAATGTCATTAGTTAAAATCCCTGTGTCCACATAAGCTAGAAGACAGAAAACCAGATGAAAAGCAAAGTATGTAAATCAGTGCAGACAGTAAATAAGCAGTTATTTTTAGACTTCCTTAAAATATGCTACTCTAACATAGGATGCAAATTCTAAAAAATTCTCTGTAAAATACAGACATGAAAACAAGAAACTGCAAAGATATACTCAGAAAAGCCACTTATTTTATATTCTCTGTTAAATATGAGACTCAAAGTATTTCACATGTAAACTACAGTGATTCTCTGGTGTAAACTATATGGGAAGTTAAAATTTAAAACTCTTCAAAATGTGACAATACTCAATTCTTCAATGTTTCCTTAAATGTTTTAAATGCATTCATAATGCAAAACTTAGGACCACAAATTTCACACCATTCATAAAATCCCATTGTCACTAAAGAACAAAACTGCACACGGACATGCACAACCAGGTGGACAGGCAGCGTTGCTCAAGACAAGTCATGCAGAACAGCAGCTTCATCATAAAACCGTCACTCACAGAAGAAAACACTGAATCTTCGAAACAAGGCACTATTCTGCACACTTACCCAAAATACACGACAAATCTTTCCGTTTCTACCCTGTCGACACAGAAAGAACTGTGGGAAGGGGAAGGGGAGGAGGCGAGCGTACCATTTGCTAAAATCTCGCTATGAAAAGCTTAGAGTGTAAGGGGAAAATAAAGTTAAGGAAACCACACTTACTCTCCCCCCACCCTGCCGCACAGAGCTAGTAATTTGCAGTTTATGGGAACTGTGCACATTGCATTCTCTGCTATTGACAGATGCTAGCAGTCCCACTCAGGGAAGATGACCCCATGACCAGCAAGCATGTCACGACCCATTCAAGACATTCTTCCTGGCCCCCTCCAGAGTGCAGATGCCTGCAAGTGATGTACACTTCAGAGGCCACAGCGGCTGAGCACATTTCATTCAGCCCTATTTATAATTACTTACTCACTTTAATTAGGTTTGGGGAAAAAAAAAAAAAAAACTTCCATCCTCAGATCTAAAGCCAGCTGCAATTTGCATTAAAAATCATTAAAACTTTGTAGCAGAGAAATCTATGCCTTTCACTGTTGGCAGAAAAAATGTGTTCAAGGAGTCACAAGACATCATCACTTTCAATTGCAATTTTATATCAGAAAATCTAAACACTTTTCCATGTTCCCAGTGTATTTCATCTTCAAATAACCTTGAGAAGTACACACACCAAAATAAATAGCTCTCAAGTTCAAATTTTAAAGTAGAATATATCATTTGTAAATAGAGAGTTATGTAGCATGTAATTATTTTTATGAAATAAAATGACAAAAAATGCGTGTAATTGCAAAGTACTGAACAAGAGAGTACTTTAAATAGGTATTATATTGAAGTTACTTTTAATTGTTTAGTATCAGGTCAACTTTTGTTTATATTTAGTTCAAATATAAAGTACTTGAGTTTGACCTTAAGAGAAAATTGTGAAATGCATCCTAATAAGGCATTCATATTTTTGTTGTGATATAATCATACTAGCATTCGTTCATTCATTATTTTGCTTAAGTTTGGTTAGGACTTTGCAAAAGTAAAGGGAGATTGCTTTGACACAATCACTTTCAAATGATAAATCTCATTCTCATTTATTTATCTAAACACTTCTTTGGATGCAAGACTATAACTAGGCTATTCTTGTTTGCACACTAGTTACTAACTGAACTGACGTTTTAGTGTACGTTTTGACTGATTTGCTCTCTTTTAAAAGTACCACAATATTAAAAAAAAAAAAAGGAACCCTATGATTTGCTCTTCCCTATGTGGAAAGAAAGGAAAAGAAAAAAGCTTTGGAAAATTAAAGTTAATTCATTTCAATTGTTCATGTTACATTTGAAAGACTATAAAGGAGAGTCACTAGATTCGCAGAGGTATACATAATCCCAATTATTCTTCAAACATCTAGTTGAGGTCAGCCAAGCTAACAAGACTTCTATCAAGCCCCCCAGGTATAATTACTGTTCAGTTCGCTTGAATATCCCTTACAACTGCCCAATGACTTCATTGTGCTCAGAAATGGTCCATGAAAAAAAATTTTCCAATTTAGATTTCATTAAATTTTGCTAACTTTTATCAAATGAAACAGTTTTCTACAAGGCAATCTATAACATATTAAGACGGTGTCATTTAGACTGTGGGTTTTGGCTTTGGGGATTTATTGTTGTTTTACTTTTGTGGAGGAAGAAAATAAACACGTGATCTGAAGATAACAAAATGAATAGTGGTGTCTCAATAGATCTGCTCTCTGTAGTCTACATTCTATTGATTCACTTTAAAAACTGTACCATACAAGGGGTGCACACCTTTAATCCCAGCACTTTAATCTCCAGAGGCAGGTGGATCTCTGTGAGTCCAAGTCCAGGCCTGGTCAGAGTTCCAGACCAGGCCCATCACCCCCCCACCCCATCACCAAAAGGTATAGGAACTCACAGTCAGATAGAAAAAGATCACATGATTAGCTTTCACTGCTTCACTCATGAAGAACATCTTATAAAATGCCTCAAAGTCAGTCCTAAATCTATTTATAACTGTGAATTGTGCAATGTCCTCTAGCCACAGAGTCATAGAAGGTTAGTGTGGTTTTGCTTTCTAACATCATTGTCACCAATTAATCAGGCTTCATTTCCTCTTTAGAAAGTATTTTCTGAATTTTCTAAATAAATAAATAAAATATAACAAAGCCCTTAGAGATTGTAGTACCTTCTGAGAAATGCAAAGTAATTTCTTATTACGATGGCTGAAAGGTTAACACATGAATTCATGTGATTTTTTTATTCTATAAAAATAATAATTATTTACTACTTAAATCCCAGGCAAAGAGAATGAAGGTCAATCTCGTCTTTTCAAGCACTTGATAAAGATATAATCTTCCCTCTCTTGAAAGTGAAAACTGGAAACTGAGTGTGTGACCCAACGTTTCTGATGGCTTGCTGCTGCCCGCCTGAGCAGAGCCACATGACTGACTATCCTTCACACGTTTCAGCTACTCCCCATCACTGCCAGCTACTCCCCACCACTGTCAGCTACTCCCCACCACTGTCAGCTACTCCTTATAACTCTCTACATAATACTCCCTCAGAGCAAAACAGAAGGGGAAGGGTCACAAAATATATATAAAAATCTTCATAGTCCAAGAAAAGCCCATCCATATACAACAGAAACATTTGACAATAACACTTCCCCATAGTTTTCACAACTTATGGAGAAATTAATTAAAACAAAGTCAAATCACTAATCAAACAAAAGTCACTGTTTCTGCCATGAGTTATTACCTGTCTAAGGAAAGGGTGAGTGTTTCATTCAGTTCCGGGATGTCATCACCTTTCACAGTAATGTTGATTGTTGTGTCACTTTGCCCAGATAAAAACACAACAGAGCCATTAAAGGGACCTGTGTCATCCATGGTCACTGCTTTTGAATTAAAGCCAGAGGGCTTCAAACTCCAGTAGACAGTAGCCCGGCCATCAGTTCCATCCCGATGTAGGGGGATGTATACCTTATTTTGAAAAAGAAAAAGAAGAAAAACAAGACTTAGCTAAAATGTATATTCATGAGTAACACGAACTTTCCATGCTCAAGCAAATGTAATTTACTGACCAAGTGTACTCCATATAAAGAAGGAAGCAATCAGGAGGCATTATAAACACAATTGAAGCAGCAGGACAATAATTTTAGATACTTTTTTTTACATTTTTACTAATCAAATTTATCTGCAATATAAACCACACCAAAAATGTGGCTTTGGAATTATCTTAATAAAAGGCAAATATATTAGAAAGATAAGGAATAATGAAAAATATAAAAAACACTGTCTGTTTTGCTGTTCTGGCTAGCAACTGTCTGAACCTGAGAGAAATAAGCAAAAGAAAAGTCTTAGGAAGAATATGAATAAAAAATAAATAAAAATAACGAAGAGGTGGCCCCCAGTCACCTGAGGGAGCTGGTTAAGACCTGAAACCGTTGAGACAGTAAATTCTCAGCTTCACACAGTAAACAAACAAAGCAGAGCTTTCCCTGGGGACAAAGTAGATGCTTTTCAGGATTTTAGAAGGAAACAGTAAACTTTTGAAAATATATAAAGTCAAAATCATTTTGAAAAGTGAATCTTCACTGTCCATTTACAAAATCTAGTAACAAATGAAGGAAACAGTCAAGATACTTTGATGTGAGACTTTGATAACAAAAGCAGCTCCTTCATTTCTGACCTAAACCTCATGCCAATTGAAATCCAACCTAAGTGGAGGTACGTGTCTTTGACAGATTGTGGTACAGCAATACAGAGGTATCCCTAAACAGAAGGATACTTAGGGAAGCTTCAGCTATGGCAATGCATCCTTTGGGAGGGAAGGAGCAGAGTATAAATATATCATCGCGTGTGTGTGCGTGTGCGCGCGCGCGTGTTTGTGTGTGTGTGTGTGTGTGTGTGTGTGTGTGTGTGTGTGTATGGGCGCACGGTTTGCTAAGGCTCAGTGTTATGACCTATTACTCCCGCACGTGGAGGGAAGCATGCTGGCACGCTGGGCAGATGCAGCAGCGGTGGGACATGCCATATGGGCATGGCCAGCAGTGGTGGCGGGCATTCATTCACTACCCAGACACTGCTTCTACTTGGAAAGAGTTTATTATAATAGATGAAGAGAAATATAGGAAAGAGGAAGAGAAGAGAAAGAAACAGAGAGGAAGGGGTGGGGGTGGGGTCGAGGGTGCACACCTCCTGGGAGGAAAAGAGAGAGCGGGAAGGGAGGGGCCTTTCCCCAAAGAGGCGGGTCAGACATTGGTTTCCAAGGAGCAGGTCAGAATATTAACACTAAGCATTTCCCAACTTTACCACCATCATAACTGGTATCAACCATCGGATTCAGAGCTACCTCTGAGTCCTCAGTTCTACCTGAGGTAACACACAGAATGGTTAGAGGATAAATCGCAAAACTACCTCTGTTTCTACAATATGACCACTAAAACTAGATTCATAATTGACTATCAAAGGTCATGACACTGTGTAAAACCAATCACATTTAAACAATCTACTCTCACCATGAGCAATTAATTCTATTCTTTTCTTTAAATTTTTTAATTGAAATAGCATTACATCCCCTCCTGTCCTCCCTCTTCCTCTCTCCAGTCACTCCCACCTACTCTTTCTAGAAACCCTCCCACGCCACCCTCTCTCTCAAGTCGATAGCCTCTTTTTCTACTACCAGATTTGTTACATACACATTTGTGCATGTATATGTACATACATTTATATATATATATATATATATAAACACAACCTCTCAAGAATAGTAAAAATTATAGCAAAACCAGACGCTTGTCAGTGGTTGATTCTAAATAGCATGTATCCTATTAACTCTACATGCTAGCCCTATTTTAAAAAAAAAAGTCTTTACATTTCTCAGACATATTAGGACACATCAATAAGTAAATGCATACTCACCACTTCAGCAGTAGAACCTTTGGGTTCATGCAAAATAATTGGAAGATTGCTAAGAAAGCCAATTTCTCCATTCGCAATGGCTGGGGTAACCAATAAAGAAATATTTCTAATTTTCCCAAATCTTGGGCTTACTGGTGGAATTGGGGGAAATATGTTCACCAACACCACCGCTTCCAACTATAAAACACAAGCAAAAACAAGAGATAGGATAGTTATTAAATTATTAAGAAAAAATATCAGCATGACATGTCTACATAGATAAAGTCACAGGTCACCAGTAAGAGTCACAGGTCAGAACTTCAAGACCTGCCCCTACACCAACCCTCTTATACCTCCTGAAGTGACTGCCAGAGTCCAGTCTCTTCTGATTCTCAGGTATGATTACTGTGTGGAATTCTCCCTGGGTTTTTTACTTGTAACTTCATCCTACATTTAAATAATATCTGAACATCTCCCTCAAACTCCAAGTCCTTATAACCAGTCACTAGTGAGCATCTCACAGATGTCACACAAACATTTTACAGACAGATTGTTCAAATAGAAATCACTATCCTTGTTCCAGGCCCTACCCACCACCACCTTTTTGTATTTTTCCACCTTCTCACATAGCCAACTTCATTGATGTTTTAAAAGTCAAATGTAAAATATCTCTCCCCATTTTCTGCCTGGTTTCCATCGACTCATGTATCCAGTCAGCCACCTACTACCCTTCTCTGCCAGCCTGAAATCAGTGCAAGAAAACCATTCAGAACTCCAACCATACTCAGAGCAACCTAATGCTTAAAGAAATGCAGTGCACATACAGCACACTATTAGTCTCCTAGGAGTTGATGAAGATGGTAGTCTCCTCACCGAGAATGGCCCTCCCTTCATCATCTCACAATTTGAAGTATACGCCCTTAAAAACCAGCTCAATGTCCCCTCTTCCCTACAAAGATCTCTTGGGATTCTCCAGTTGTCTTTGGCCACCTCCTTTGGAAGCTCTACTGCTCTCATAAAGCTTCTAATGTAACTACAAACTTCACACGTCATTAGTTCATCACTTCACATCTCAGATTTCTGCTTGTTAGGGATCTTAGAGGATCTATGTCCTTGTCAGCATGTTCCCCACACACAACACACACCTGAAATGCGGCAGCTACGCAATAAGCATTTGTAATTCATTCCTCCAGGACAAACAGCTCTATGGGGGTCACTGATACACTGCAACTTCAACGTCTACATGTGGAACTTTACCAGTCCATACTGTTCAATTGAGGGAATTAGTCATTACAGGACTATAAAAGAAAACAGTGCTTTTAGGTCACATGAGACTTTCAACTTCACAAAGCATTCCAAATCTCTTCCTCTGCAAAGCTTTGAAATGTTGACAGGATGCCACTAAGAAACCACAGCAGAGATTTGTGGTGTGTATGGTTTTTCCAGAAATGGACGGGACTGAGCTGTTCTCCCACAACTGGAATACTTTGTGACAGACAACATAACATCCCAAAGAGCCAATTTAATGCATCATTTAAATGTCATGCTTTTTTGTTGAAAATTATGTACAAGAGAAAGATATGAAGAAGTCCACATTTAGTAAGTACTCATTTGAAGAAAAATAAGAAGAAATTAGAGTACAAATTCTGTCCAATACTGATATACAAACTCAGGCAATTTAGTAAACTACATTGACTTTATAAAATAAACTGTAAAGACAAATATGTAGTTAAAACCACTTGCATATAACTTTTATTCTCAGAGAAAATGAACACATGTACACAGTCATATATAGCTATAGTCTTAGAAAATAGCAGGGCTGGAGAGATGGCTTAGTGGTTAAGAGCACTGATACTCTTCCAAAGGACTCTAGGTCAATTCCCAGCACCCACATAGCAGCTTACACCTGTCTGTAACTTCTGTTCCAGGGGATCCAATGCCCTCACACAGACATACCTGCAGGCAAAACAACAATGTACATAAAATAAAAAATAAGTAAATAATAAAAAAAAACTTCTCTACCAGGGCTATATTTAAAAAGAAAAGAAAACAGCACAAAAAAAAAAAACACATAGGCACATCTGAATGAAATGTTAAGATAAGAGGTTACATTGGTTAGAGGTAAAGATGTAACTAAAATCTCCAGTCATGTGAAAGTAGTCATCTGTGAATACACGTTCATTCCCAGCTGTTCACAGATCTCTAAGCTGCTAGAACTGTCTAAAACAATGGTTCTCAACCTGTGGGTCATGGCCCCATTAGTAATCTCTATCTTCAAAAATATTTACATTACAATTCAGAACAGTGGCAAAATTACAGTTATGAAGTAGCAATGAAATAATTTTATGGTTAGGGGTCACCACAACATGAGGAACTGTACCAAAGAGTTGCAGCATTAAGGAAGGTTGAGAACCACTGGTCTAAAGTATCAAAAAAAGAAAATATATTTTTTTTACTCAAAACTTTCTACAAAGAAAAAGCAGTAAGTCATTTTAGCTACTTTTATCAGAAGGTCATACAATTAATTCTAGTGCTTGTACTTGTGAAAACTAAAAGGAATGATATAAAAGATGATGAAAAAAGATCATTCAATGAACTGATCAAATAAATGCTATTTTTATGTCTTGCCTTTGCTGCTATGGTTCCTTAAACATCTGCAAAATGAAGGTGTTCCCTGCATTCATAAGGGGCCATGTTTGCCTTCACATGTCTGCTGTTGACAGGACATGCCTTCCTAATGTTGTACCCTAGGACACCTTGGCTGAGGGGTGCGAAGCATGAGGAGAGCATGCTTCTGGTTCCCCTTCTTGTAGTTCCATCAGCTTTCCATGCAGTACAATGCTGCACACCTGTCTTAGCTAGGCTTTCTATTGCTGTGAAGAGACACCCTGACCATGGCAGCTCCTCTAGGGGAAAACATTTCATTGGGGTGGCTCGCTTACACTTCCGAGATTTAGTCCATTATCATCATGGTGGGACATGGTGGCGTGCAGGCAGACATGGTGATGGAGAGGTAACAGAGTTCTTCATCTTGCAGGCAACAGAACGTGGTCTGTGTGTCACACTGAGAGAAGCTTGAGCAAGAGACCTCAAAGCCTGTCCCAACAGTGACACACTTCCTCCCACAAGGACACATCCTACTTCAAGAAGGTCACACCTCCTGAGTGCCACGCCCTTTGGGGAGTCACTTTCTTTCAACCCTCCACAGCACTCTCCTCTTCTGTCACCTTCTATGCATCCCTTTCTTATCCCTCAGCCTGCCTGAGCCTCGAGCTGTTTAATCCCAAGGAACTAACTATGTCACCAACTGAGAACAGCCTTTCCCGCTGCACAGGAGCCGTGTTAACTGTCTGCACTTGGCCGCTTCTGTTTTCTGACTGCATATGGAGCTAGACAAAGAGCTGGGTCTGCAGTTAGTAGTGCAAACAACTTTCTAACCGAAGATCACCAAAAATTAGTCCTCATACTGCAAGTTTTTCCTTAGTTTTCAAGTATTATAAAACATAAAGTCTGTCACATGTCAGTGGTGTGTCAAGATACAATAACTTGAGGAATAGCTGACCCTCAGAAAGGCCTTATGAAGGCCTTGTCTACAAGGAAGTTACCTGTAGCTACTGTGAAAAGTTTTCGGGTATTTTGAAAATATTAATAATTTAGTATCAGGGTTACCGATAATGACATTGATGCAGAGCTCTCTATCCATAGTAAAAGCTAGTTTTGAAGAATCAAGAGAAAGTAAAATAGAAACCTGATATGGAAGCTGATAAATTCTCTATAAATCCAAATAACACCTCTGCATCCTCAGTCCTTAGTGACGCAGTATCACTAAATGCTCTATGATCTTAGTCACACCACAGCACTGAACACTCTGGAATCACAAAGGGACTCAGTCCTTAGTGACGCAGTATCACTAAATGCTCTATGATCTTAGTCACACCACAGCACTGAACACTCTGGAATCACAAAGGGACTCAGTCCTTAGTGACGCAGTATCACTAAATGCTCTATGATCTTAGTCACACCACAGCACTGAGAGCTCTGGAATCACAAAGGGACTCAGTCCTTAGTGACACGGTATCACTAAATGCTCTATGATCTTAGTCACAGCATAGCACTGAGCGCTCTGGAATCACAAAGGTACTCAGGATGCTATGAAAACAAAAGCAACAGTGTGAAATATTTCCCTTCTGAAATCCGTTTGAATAATTTGGTTTCCGTATGAATTGTAGCCTATGTGAGACCAAAGGCAGACAGACAGGAGGGTGAACTGAACACTGAGATGCCAGAGATAAAATATTCTTTAAGCATGTGCTAATAAGAACACCCTGAACCCAGAGGACATAAGCACCACATAAGATGAATGAAAGTCCAGACACCAAACAGGAGACAACTTTTATTAAATTCTAAAACTGCTCAACACCTTATATCCCAAAGACTTTTGGAAATTTGGAGAAAATTATCCCAAGTATGAACTAGTAAATTTGTATGCATCTCATTGAACAAAATCAGCTTTAAAAACCAAACAAGTTATGACATATTTTTAACTTTTTAAAAACTTCTGAAGATATGCCTAAGTGCGTTCTGACGGCAGCGTTCTGGTTTTCAGTCCTTGCTACAGAGAGCTCTGGTCTTAACCGTTTGCTCTACTCAACAATTCTCACACTCTGCCACGGGGCTGGCCATCTCACAAGCGCATGCCATAAACCAAGGAAGAGTCAGGCACACAGCTGGGAGTAGACCTGCAGCCTGAACGCCTCTAGGAATCTTTAGAATGGACTGTCTTTGGGCAAACATCCCAGCAAAATCTCCCCACATGAAGGAAACAACAAATTATGATAATAAAGACGAAGGTCAGTGTTTCTATCACCAGTGATGGCAGGGACATGACAAAAACCTCCCACTGGATAGATAAGCACTCATCAAAAAAGGGTTCGTCACATACTGGAAAACCACGTGTCCTGTAACAGGCCACCCACCAGGCCACGGGGTGAGCTGTCCCTCTGGAATGCGAGCCTATGGCATGTGTAGCACTCAGCTAAGTTCTTCTGGAGGAAAGAGCTGCCCTCTGTACTTAGCAAGGCTGGACACAGGGCATGGCATTGAGGGAGTCAAGAATACTACATGCTTTTGGAGACTAACAAAATTACCTAGCAATAAATCATTCCCTTCCTTTTAAATTTCTCATCCGCAATTCTAGAAGCTAAAAGACTACCTTCTGTGTGATAATTAAGGAACTGTTTAAAACTACAACTATTTCCCAAGCAAACAAACATTCTAAGGATAAGATTTCACATTTTCACCCCTGCAAAGTCTCAGAAGTTTATGCCACATATACACTTTCTGCATATGTATTTTAGGGGGAATCTATTACGGCAAAAGTAAAACATAATCCAAAAGGGGAACACCAGGAGCTAAGAAAACCCAGAGTTTCTTAAAAACTTCCCAATCCAGGAGAAGACAGAACAAAACAGTTACTATAGCTAATCTCAACTTTCAACACTGTGGCGATCCCATATCAGAGCGGGGAAGGAGAACAGTCAGAACCGCCAGAGAGAGCCATCAGAACCCGGGAAATACAGCCTGAGTACGAATGCCATCAGCACCCGGGAAATACAGCCTGAGTACGAATGCCATCAGAACCCGGGAAATACAGCCTGAGTACGAACGCCATCAGAACCCGGGAAATACAGTCTGAGTACGAACGCCATCAGAACCCGGGAAATACAGCCTGAGTACGAATACCATCAGAACCCGGGAAATACAGCCTGAGTACGAATACCATCAGAACCCGGGAAATACAGCCTGAGTACGAATGCCATCGTAACCTGGGAAATACAGCCTGAGTATGAACACCATCAGAAGTCGGGAAATACAGCCTGAGTATGAATACCATCAGAACCCGGGAAATACAGCCTGAGTACGAATGCCATCAGAACCCGGGAAATACAGCCTGAGTTCGAATACCATCAGAACCCAGGAAATACAGCCTAAGTACGAATGCCATCAGAACCCGGGAAATACAGCCTGAGTACGAATGCCATCGTAACCCGGGAAACACAGCCTGAGTACGAATGCCATCGTAACCTGGGAAATACAGCCTGAGTACGAATGCCATCAGAACCCGGGAAATACAGCCTGAGTACGTATGCCATCAGAACCCGGGAAATACAGCCTGAGTACGAATACCATCAGAACCCGGGAAATATAGCCTGAGTACGAACGCCATCAGAACCCGGGAAATACAGCCTGAGTACGAATGCCATCAGAACCCGGGAAATACAGCCTGAGTACGAATGCCATCGTAACCTGGGAAATACAGCCTGAGTACGAATGCCATCAGAACCCGGGAAATAAAGCCTGAGTACGAATGCCATCGTAACCTGGGAAATACAGCCTGAGTACGAATGCCATCAGAACCCGGGAAATACAGCCTGAGTACGAATACCATCAGAACCCGGGAAATACAGCCTGAGTACGAGTGCCGAACTCATTTCAGCAGCACGACACACAGAAATAACAGAAATGTCATTTCTTTGGTATACACTGTGAATGGCACTATGGGAATGAGACTAGAGTTCTTTTGCTGTGCGTTTTTGTTTTGTTTTGTTTGAGACAAGGTCTCCCCCTCGTAGCCCTGGCTAGCTGGAACTTGCTGTGTAGACTGGACTGTCCTCAAACTCAGACCTGCCTGCTTCTGCCTCCCAAGTGCTAGGATTAAGGGCATGCACCACCATGCTCAGCTTGAGATACCATTTTAACTTTATGAATCTATTCTCATTACCTATTTCTGTATTAAATTATTTATATCATCAAAATTTGACAAACAACTTTCACGGTTTTCTAACTGAAGAATCAGTCCGTATCAGATATGTGGAATACAGAGATTTTATCCATCTGAAATGAGTGTGGCCATTTTAACTTTAATATAAAAAAAAAAAAAAAGAATGTGTTTGGCAGATAGAAGTTGAAAAGTAAGGCCGGGCGGTGGTGGCGCACGACTTTAATCCCAGCACTCGGGAGGCAGAGCCAGGCGGATCTCTGTGAGTTCGAGGCCAGCCTGGGCTACCAAGTGAGTTCCAGGAAAGGCACAAAACTACACAGAGAAACCCTGTCTCGAAAAAAAAATAAAATAAAATAAAAATAAAAAGAAGTTGAAAAGTAAGAGTGACGAGCTGGAAGGATATGATGCAGGGCTCTTAATTGTGGGAGGTCCAGAGATCTGACCTACACTTAGTGAAGAAACAGATTTTTGAATGTACTATTTAAAAGAAAAAAAACTTTTCTGATTGCTTTTAGTTTCAGAAATGCTTCTCTTATAATATGCACTATGAGAAATATTTACTCCGTAAATCCCATCCTCATGTCCTATTTTCCAAAGCAGGTCGAAGCTCTGGTGAATCCATCTCCTGCGTCCTGCTCAGCAGCCTGTGCAGTTACTGTATGTATTGCAGTCTCCTTGCATTTCCAACTGGTGTATTGTTAGTACCAACTGGCTGAAATATTTATTTCAGCAGACTCCTCCCTTATTCAGATCTGGGAGCTGTGGGAGGTGCCAGCTCTTAAGGGACACTCTACCAGAGTCTTTTGTTTTGCTTTTTCTTGTTTGTTTTCCCACAGTTCAGTATGTAACCAAGGCTGACCTCCCCCTCACCATCCTCTTGCCTTAGTCTCTGGAGTGCTGGGGTTACAGGTGTGTACCGCTATGCCAGCCCTAAGTAGTTTCAAAGAACAAGGAGAATCTAAATCATAAATAAGAGCAGAATAACTGTTAGCTGTATTACACAGACAACCAAAATGGAGATTATTTTCATCATCAAAGTACCTGCACTAGGAAGTGGGCCTCATTCTGCAGGAACGCATCATTTCTTATTGGTAATTTTGTCGTGACTTGATGGTTATGTTCTGGGAAAATGAGGCTGCCTCTCCTGGATGCATTTAAGATGCCGTCTTTTGCTCGCAAGGGGTCCACAGCTCCAGCGGGAATATAGAGTGCAGAATAAATCACCTTCACATCTCCTTTGGTTCCCCCTAGTCTCATAAAACTCAAGGATAAGCACCGCTCGCTCGGACTGCTTTCAATCTTCTGGCTTTCCACGGGAAACAAGGCGATTTCTCCATAAACATTGTCGCTGTCCTGAATGTAGAACAGAAGCTACAAATGAAAGGGTATGGTTAGTGCAGGAGTTTCACAACTGGGATGGTCCAGACGACTCTGGTCTTTATTATTTATGTATTAAATGACCATGTCTTAAACAACCACTTCGTGTAGGAAGAAGAGTAAAAGAAAAAAAACAGTTTCAAAATTTTTCAGAGCATAGAAGTTTTGAAACTTTTTAGATGGTAAAATATTATGTCTGGGGTTAAAGATAGTGTTAAAAGCTTTGGCTAGTGGAGAAGCATACAGTCCCTCGTTCTAACCAATGGGTACAGTGGACGGACCCATTGTTTGTTTGGATTTTGTTGTTGCTGTTTTACTTTGTTATTTTCCGAAGACATTCAGTTGATGAAGAGAAGTAACCACCCCTTTGGCAAAACCAGAATTCTTCCTGCCACACAGAACTAAGCATGCATTGAATCTGTACCCTGAAATTCTTCAGCGCTTTTGTATCACAGAGGTATGGACAGGAGTGGAGCATGACAAATCCCCACCTGTGCTGGCTCGCTCACTTCAGCACCGCCTTGTGTCGTGTGAGGCAGGATCTTAAGGAGGTAAACTTCAGCCTCTTCTGGAAGGTCGTCGTCAATGATGGTAAGAGGGATTGATGCCAACATCTGCCCTTGTGCAAACTGGAGAGTCCCAGAACTGGGGCTGATGTCTGCTGTCACTGGTGAGGGATCACTGCTGTTCCTTGTCAGCACCCAATTCACAGAAACATCTCCGTGGGTGCCACCATTTCTAACGACTGTGATTTCTTCAAATCTAGAATTGTTTAGAACACATAAGGTCACTATCATGCACTCTAAAAAAGCAGAGACCAACAAAAAAACTAATTAGTTTTAATGGGAAAAAATATAAATATATGGACATAGCCTAAGAACCTATCATAATATGGATTCATTTTAATAATTAAATCACATTAAAAAGAAATCAGTAAAGCAGTTACAGAGGAAATGGCACATGCTCTCACAGCTCAGCCTTGTGTCAACACTACAAAAATTAAATCATGTAACAGTACAATAAAGTCATTATGGTTGTGAGTTCAAAGTAAATTATACCTGGAAGCTTTATCTTCATCGATTATAACTGGCCTTTCAAACAAAACACTATTGAATGAAAGAACTCCATAAGGTTTGTCGTTTGGCTTAATGGTGACCTGTACCGTAGAAGGACCCACCAGCACAGCATCTCCCTGCAAGGTGTTCTTTAGTAACATTATGTGAAATGATTCAGCTATCTCTGGTATGGTGTCATCAATTATTTGAAATTTCAAGTGTGATTCATGAATAAAAGGGGGAAAGATAACAGTGGTGTTTGGCTGAAGATCGATGAAGTCTACATTTTGCTGGGCATGTGCTGTTGAATCCCCAGTCATAACTTTATATCTGACTGAAACTTCGGATTCATCGGCTCCAATCAGGTTTCCATCGCTGTCCTTCCCACGGAGCACTGGAATAGTGAGGATGTGGTCATCCTCGGGAATCAAGTAGACACTCTGGATGAACGTCACAGGACTGTCGTTCTTCCTCACGGTGATTTCAACCGAACTCCGGGAGACGTTCATCTCTGCCCCTCCTTCTACACTTTTCAGCTGAATCAAAAACACTTCGTCATTTTCTGGCACCTGTCACAGGATATAAACAAAATATCATTAGGCAAAACACCTACAAACAGGCCCAAGTTTTACAAAGGAGTGTGTTTCATAGACATAGGAAAGGTAAAAGTGAGAAAAAATGGTAAGTGGATCATTTGGACTTCACATACTAAAATATCTTCCAAATGTTAATTTATTTTCAGTTAGGATGGAAAATGAAAATAACTTAATAAAGCAATGGTATGAAGAATTAATGATGAATATTTGCTTCTTTGGGTCTTGATCAGAGTTGAGAAAACTATAAAATACACATAGTAAAAGGGGGAATAAATCCTTGTCAATTTTAGAACATTGGTGGGGTCATAAAGAGTATTCAAAGTCTAACAATGCCCTAGAATCTGGAAAGTACACTAAATATCAAATAGTTCCTTCATTTCAGCGTATGAATTTCTCTCCCATCTCTCTATGTGATTCTAATTCAGGAGTCAATTCTATGATATTAAGAGAACACCATGCCTCTCTGGAGAATGGCCCAGAAGAGTCATTTCTTGACAAAATACTAACATTACTCAAGAGGATAGTTTTTTATAGCTTACAGAAATCCTGGCGCTACTCTCCAGTATGCCTTCCTGTTCAAGCTTTGCATTCACTGAAAATTATATTTTATGAATAAGAGTGAAAATCCACATCATTTTTACCTCCATCAGTAGCAATACAACAAAGTAAAGATACTTCTCCCAAAATATACTACTAAATCTTTTAGATGCACAAGATCAGTAATTAATTCCTTGTACACAGATCATAAACTATGATTGCTCTAGGACCACAGAGGAGAAAGCTTTTGTTGATCTCTTGAACTAGAAAAACAAAGGTCATCAATGCTACCAAATATTTCAGGTTTTTCCAGAGCAATCTACCATGCTAAAGTATTTAGTGCATTTTCTTCTTTAAGTATTGTTGGTGCTTCAGTTACAGATTTCTGTCTGTCTTTCCTGTCTTCACTTCTTTAACAATACCTGGATTCCTTTGTAAGTTTATTTTTTTTCTTACTGGCCATGAGGAGCGTCTTTGTACACTACTGCTCAGATTTAGGGTTGTCTCTGCAACTGAGTCATGGCATATATCTAAATCCTCAGTCACACATGAACTGTGACTATAAAATCTTCTTTAGGACAGTGAATCTAAAAGTATGTAGAGAAAGAAGCCATCAGGACGGCTCATCAGTTAAAGACGCCATAAAGGCTGGTAACCTGGAACTGATTCCTAAAACTATGTGTAAAACGCACATGCATGTATGCACACATACTCTAGTAAATAAATATTTTAACCTAAACAAAAAATATCAATTGTAGTAGAATTTTTCTTGAACTTATATTGAAACATGGTTGCTAGATAAGCACCCATATCCATGTTCAAACAGTAAATGATTAATAAAAAGTGTATAAGCATGTACTACAAAATTCTTCAGTCTTTACATTATATTTAGTTGTCAATTAATACTCAAGTTCATTTTAAGACACTGGGGATGGAAGCCAGGGATTTGCACATGGTAGGCAAGTGTCTCCCCACACCTCCAGCCCTGTAGGCACAAATTAATATGACTTAATTTAATAAAATAATAAATTAGGCAAATATTTGTAAGCTGCATCCCCAAATAACAGCTTGCTAACTCATGGCTAAAGTATGAATGGGTACAACACGTTAATGTGTCAAAAGACTGCACTCTTGAATAATTTCAAATAATGAATACAATTTAATATTCAAATAAATGGTTCTCTAGAAATCTCCATCAGAGACCCTGTCTCTTCTACGTATTCAATACTGTCTGACCTCATCATCAAGTACTGTCCAGGTGTGAATTACAGTGGCCCTGCCAGGTGGGAAGGTGATATTTCCTCTAACTGGATTCAAATCTTCTTCAGGAGGATTTGGGCCACCTGATACCTGCAAAGATATAAACAAAACATCTAGAAGCAAAGAGCATTACTGTCACGTCAGCTGGCAAAATTCTGAAGTTTAAGGAGAGCTTACAAAAGTCTTAAGAGCTTGCACGAGAGACCGCCTTTCTAATTAAGTCAAGGTCTGTAATGCCATTACAGGCCTTGACTATGATTATAGTAAACTGTGTTTTCTAAGGTTTGGGATTTTTTTAACTGTTATAATAAACCTGAGGGGAAAGCTGTATAAACGTGTCATCCTGAGAAGAAAGAGATCGAAGACCAGTAAATTCCCTAAAGAAATGGGATCTAGTTCCAGCTCCACCACTGGCTGTGTGACCTCGGGCATGCTGCTTAACAACTCTGCGCAGCATTTTCCTCATCTTTAAAGCAAGAAAGAGAGTATCTACTTTGCAGGGGAGAGGGGAGAATGTGTAACCTCGTTCTCTAAAGTGTTTAGTGAGCAGCACGTGCCTTATCATTAGGTCCTAAATATAAAAGCTGGAACAAGCTCCACCCATGTGGAACTTACAGTTAACAGACAACAACAATGACAAGAACGATAATACGCAGCACAGCATGGGGGTAGCTATTATAGAGAAAAAATGAAGGTCATGAGGGAGGCTGAGTGCTGCGGGCCCAGGACGGCTCTGAATTGCAGCAGTTACCAGGGTAAGGGACAGAGTATATGGCAATACAAAAGGCTCCACAAGTTTTGCTTATAATTGCTTAAACAAAACGGCATATTTAACCATAGCAACAGTTAAAGAAGCAGAGGCCATGGATTTGAAAGAGAGCAAGGGCATAGGAAGCCTGGAGGGATGGGAAGGAAGGGGGGAGTTTCCTGTGAACTTAATACATGCCAGCAGCAAGGGAAACACTTCACTATCAACCATGAAGTTTATAAAAGCAAAAGTATTTGTCTTCAATTAATCTTAAGTAAGTGTGATATTTATCATACAGAAGACTTTGGTTATCTAAATTGCAATCATCTGATACAGACTATTAACATGTTATCATCTAAAATTATTTCAAAATAAACTTACATCAAAAGTCACAGTGACCATTCCATAGGTCCCCTTTTCCCTGATGAGAGTAAGGGGCACAGATTCATTTCTGCTCCTTGGTTCAGCCACTGAGATTGATGAAGGCTATTGGGAAGAGCAAAGGCAACCAGGCATGGATCAGAGGCAGGAGGTGGTAAAAATGACTACCTTAGAAATGCAAATCAATTCAGAGTGTACTCTTACAGTGTGTATTTCTAGCATCGATAAACTGTAGATGACAAAAAAAATGAATTTAGAAGAGCAGTGTAAAGAGAAAACAAAGCATGCAATAAACAAGTTTTCCTGGCATAACTAGCATCTGTTCTAAGGAATCTTGAGGGCTACCCAGCTAAAGGATGATAAATTAAAATGCTCACAGAGCCCAGGAGGTCACAAAGGGAAGTTACGCTCTAAGACCAAGCTAGTGGTTCTCTGGGGCCACTTGTTCTCAAGCACTCCTGCCTCGTAATTAGTCAGAAGGTCACTGAAAAGCAGACAGTTGTTAATGACATTCAGAACCAGAAAGAAAATCACTTCAGAGGGAAAACAGGGAAGACTTCAGATGTTGAAACATGTTGTCTTAGGTTGGCTGAAACACAGGATAGATGAGGGGAAAAGGAAGCGCATGTACTAGGGCAGCAGTGGACATCTCTAAGAGTGACAGTGTCATAGCCATCCGTTAATGGGGATAGGAATACCTGTCTCTATGGTTTGTGATTAGATTCGATGAGATAACTTACATCAAGAGTCTCTCCTGCTTCCTGACACATGCTGAGTCCTCAATAACTGTTGGCTGTTACCATTGTCCCAATGCCATGTTCATTATCAATATAACTGTTGAAAGGCTAGAGAGGGAAGCAGCCTTGAGGACCTTCTGTGACATGGAGCTCATATGGAGTCCGTCAGAGGAGGCATTGCAGCACTACAACCAACCCCAGAGACTAGCACTCATTCCCATAGCATAAGGTGCATAAGGTCAGGAGAAAAAGGGAGGAGAGAGGAGGAAAATAAAAGAGAAACAAGTTTCAAACAAATCGGTATGAGCCTCATGGGTAGTGAAGAAATTAGACGGAGAACTTGTTCCCTGACAATCCTTTCACTCAAGAAGTCCTAATTAATGTAATCAACACTTAGGAATGACAGTACATGGTAGACTACCAAATGTCTACTAAATTTAGGTCATGAAAACACCCCTTTTAATAAGATAACTCAAGCACAAAGACCACATTTATCCGCAGCTTGCCTTGTTTTAAAGATAACTTTACAGAACCATGACATAATGCATACAAGTGCAGGAGTGTTCGAAATGGAAAACGAATAAAAAGCTGGAGGCTGTGGAATCAGATTTCTCGATGTTGCTTAGCAACAGAATTCAAAAAGACTATCAGGAAGATTATTATAGCCTCTAACTTGCTATCCAGATCCAGTAGTGTTGAAGACAACCTTTAATTTCAGCTTAGGAGCTGGAAACATTTTCTCTCTAGGAGAGACCTGTCCTGTGTTTTTGTTTCTAAAAATGAAACCCTCTGAAAATGGGATTCGCTAGAAGAACAAGAACTTGATGAAGGAGGGGCAGTAAACCGAACAGAATTTTAGGAGAGGAGACAGAGTCTTAACTTCCATGAAATATGAATTAATAAGAGAACTGAATATTAGGATATGCAGTTTAAAAGAATATGACTTGATATGAGAATATTCAATATAAGAGAATATGAATTGACATGCGAATTGAATTGGAAGAGCTATCACATCTGCAGGTTAATCTTAAGTTTACTGTAAGTTTTCTCCCTTCACAGTTATTCCAGACGAACAGAAGAGTCTGGAAAACAGGCCAGATTTCCTTAAGTGGCATTGGAAATAAATACATACATACATGCATACATACATACATACCCTTCAGTGTGCAGCAGTGCAAATACACAGAATGCAGAGCACCTACAGAGTTAGTGTCAAGCTTAATCAAAAATCATAACAGACTAGCACTAGCCGACAACAGGAAAGACGGGTTAAAAGAAAACCGACTGTAGCAGTATCTTGCAACCATTACAGTCTTCACACTGTAACCATACCGCACTAAAGGAAATAATTCCAAATGCATTGTCATTGGACAGTATTGTCACAGTAGCAGTCCTTGGCCATCCAAGTTTCACATTTGCTGAGGGTTTCTAAAGTGAAAATAAACAAATTAATAAATTAAATATTAGAAGAAAAATAATCTTTCGGCAGAACTCCTGTCTTCAATTATTAAGAGCATGAATAAACCACCCCTCTCTAAAAATCTATAGGCAGTTAACAGCTTTGGGGGAGGTAGAGATTTTCTTCAGTGACATGTCCACTGGCAAGGAGCACGTGCTCCTATAAACAAACCCTCACCCACGCCGCTGACCACCTCTCAGAGAGATCTATGAAAACCACCGTGATACATATCCCTTGGCTTATCACTAACAGAACAGATTTCCAAGTGTTAAAAGATGTTTTATGAATCAAAGTTGAGGAGAATGAACCTACCTGTAATGTCAGGTGAAAAGTGAAGGTTTCATCAGGCTCGGGAAGATCGTCATCACACACTGCTATGTACACGGTCCTGTTTGTGCCTCCCGCGGGGATAAACGCCGCAGCGTACGTGTCAAAAAAGTCACCAGTGTCTTCGCCATTCAGCTACCACGTGCAAAAGAGAACATCCTCACTTATCGGGGATCTGGACAAGCCAGACTGACCCTCCCGGGAGCAGCTGAGGGGACAGGCACAGATCAAGCGGCACTGACATTTCTAATAGTATAGTCAAAGACGAGCGTTCGGCAACAGGTCTACTCGTCTTCTGAAAAATCATCACAGGCCAGCAAGATGGCTCAGGGGCAAACGTGTCTGTAGCCAAGCCTGATGGCCTGGGGTCCATTCCGGACTCACATGGTGGAAGGAGAGACTGACTTCTACAACTTGTCCTCAGACCTCTACCTGTGTGTCCATAGACACGCATAAATAAATAAATATAAAAATTATTTTTAAAAAAGGAAAATCACAGAAATATATCATTACATATAAAGTAGTTCTTAATATAGTGGAATCAAAGTTAACTGCACACTAATAATTTAATAGAAAAGCAATGCCATTTTCTTCCTCTGTCTCTTAGCTGATTTAGTATAGACTACAGCCTAGCAGGACAAATTATGGCTAAAACTCTTAAAAAGGAGAGGTGGGAAGCAGCTTGTAAATTCAAGGAAATGCTATTGTTCTCCCAATGGGTTAAAAAAAACCCTACATCCAAAACTTTCAACCTGGAATTATACTTACATTATTCACGGCAACTGAAATAGAGACGCAATTTTTTAGCATCTCAAATTATTAATCATTAAAAACCTTCCTAATATTTTAATCTGTGGATGCAAGATTGCTAGTAAGACTCACAGCAGAGTGGCAATTACAATATTGTAAAGGAACAATTCATTGTACAAATTCAAACGACATTTCTTTCACCAGAGCTCAAAATTAATAATTTAACCTCTAGGGAAAATTATTTAGCACAAATGAGAAATAACATATTTTTGAGAAAGTTTAGTCATTGTCTAGTTCTAATTTATTTTAAAAAAGTTTTAAATAGTTGAGAAATCAAAATAAGTTGGAAAGTGTTGAGAGGGTGTTGGATAACTAGTTCTTATAACTTGCTATGGAAAATGGCAGCCTTTCAGAAAGTATTATCAAGAGGGACCGAGCATACATAAAAATACATTAATCTACTCTGTGAAAATCAACCAAAAATACAGGGAAATAGTCATTTATATAAACAATTCTCCAGATGCCATTCACTATAGATGGTAAACCTGAAAGCAACACCAATGAAAAGCAATGGAGAAATGTTTAGAATACAATGATCTAGCAAGAAAAGCAAAGTACAGCAACCTGGAAGAGGTAAACTGCATCAAAAGACTGTCGAACACAGTATACACCAGAACTAGAAACGAAGTCAGCAAATGTATACATAAATGTCAAATTGAACAGAAACTAAGATGTTAAAAATTATAACCCTGGGTTTATTTTATAAGTAGCTTTTCTTTTCTTTTTCTTTTTACAATATTTTACAACGTAATTTAACATTATTTCTTAAGGAATCACTTGAAAGAGCTGGGAGATGGAACAGCTGATAAACGGCCTGCCCTGTACCCATGCAGACTTCAGTTGAGCATCAGGTAAAAAGCCCAGGGTAGCAGTCCACTCAACTACAACCCTAGTGCTGTGGGAGGGGTGGATACCAAAGATCCCTGGTGATAACTAACCAGCCACTCTTGCCAACCAGGGAGTGGCAGGTCCAGTAGGAGACCCTCTCTTTAAAAATAAGATGAGAGTGATACATAGGAACACACGTGACATTGATCTGGCCCTTGCACACATAATTGTGTGTATATGCACCCATATGTACATGTGCACACAAACTAACATGCAATAAACACACACATGTTACTTTTGCTCCCAAAGTTTTAAGTACATTGAGCCTCTAATATAGCAATATCATTATTGGTTATATGACATTGCTTTCTGGATAAAAATAGACACAAACGCATAACATTAAACATCCAATCCTAACAAACTTTATATAATAAAGAATTTACACAATCTACTTAATTTTTAATTAAGTTAATATACTTCATTTCTCCAACAACAATGACTCTAACTGAACTCAGGGTTTCTTTTCCTTTCCTGTCATTTGTATCTTTTAAATATTGCATGTATTTTTATCTAAGTCACCTCACAATGAATGACTAATTATATGATTCAAATTACCCAAAATAAAAGTTTTGTTTTAAAATAAACATATAAATGACATATAAAGATAATTAGCCTTTATCTTTAAAATACACATGTCAAATGTCCATAGTAACACCGGGGCATTCTCTGAACCTCTGACAGACTTAGATACAACAGCTCATTCTCCAGATCATTTCTCAGAATGAAACTCAGACTCGGAACCTCAAACACATAAAAACTTTGTTCCTACTGAAACCAATAATTTTCACATGCATATCATTTTTAAAAACTAGGGCTGTGGTTTTTTTCTTACCGACACAATGGCAGTAATGTTTGCTGGCTTTCCTGTCCTCTCAATGACAAGACGAATAACTGTGGTACTTGTTTCATTAACGAAAAATTCTGTTTGTCCAGCAAATCTTATTTCTGCTTCTCCAAATACAACAGAGATGAGCAAAGCTGACAGGTTTACTAATAAAAATGAAGAGATCATCCCTAGAGAAAATAAGAAACAAAGTCATAAAGCTCAATAATCTATTCTCATTAGATTTTGTTCTCAGTGTTACAAAGAATAATAAGAAATTAAGACAGGCATAAATACATCAACTACTAAAACATCCAACTTCAATGTGAGATGATAGGAGCTAAAAAAAATCATAATTTGTTATGTTTTTCTTTTTATTATTTAAAACTACCTTTTTGCATTTATCTTCTACATCAAGATAATTACAAAGTCAACTTAATTAAATCTGTTTTTTTAATGACCCCAAATGACTTACTATTATGCCCATAGATTAGTGCATCTCTCAACCTTCATCAGAGAAAATTTCCTCTTGCAGTAGATGACAACTAGTCAACCTGTAGATACCATGGAGTACTCAACCCTAAACGGCACTTTCATATCACACCCCTCCCCACAAGGCTTGCAGACCATTGGGAAAGAGGGAAAGGAAAGTTTGTTTGGAGCCAACAGTCAGAAGCAGTGGGTCAAGCAAATGGTGTTGTTCAGACACAAGGCAGTTGTGCATATGCATTCTAGGTGTTCATAAGACCTGCTCAAACTCCAGTCAGACAAAATCCCAGCATGGAGGCACAGAGGTCAACATGAAATCGCACAGTTAGCTCTGGAGCTAATGACATTTGATAGCTGCTGAGTAAGGGAAAGTCTGTTTTCTTTAATGATGTGACTCCTGGTAGGTCAACCACACTCCAGAGCAAGCCCCACTCCTAAGAGCAGCACAATAACACACAGTGGAAACAATAAGGAAGAAAACTCGAAGGTGGTGGGTCTGGAATTGAGGTTAAAGAAGGTGGGAGGAGTTGAGGAGTATGGGTAATCAAAATACATTGTATAAAATTATCAGTTAATAAAATAGTATTTAAATTTAGCCAGGTGGTGGTGGCACATACCTTTAATCCCAGCACTCGGGAGGCAGAGGCAGGTGGATATCTGTGAGTTCGAGGCCAGCCTGGACTACCAAGTGAGTTCCAGGAAAGGCGCAAAGCTACACAGAGAAACCCTGTCTTGAAAAACCAAAAAAAATAATAATAATAATTAAAAAAAATAAAAAATAGAAATATTATTTAAATTTAAAAGCTAAATTTTTGAAAAGGAAGATAAATATCACCAAAAGGAAGATAATTCAGTAACTTGACTTAAACATTATATAATGTATACATTTATCAAAATCCCAGCAAAATCCTGAGAGGAAGCAGAGGCAGGCAGATCTCTGTGAGTTTGAGGCCAGGACAGCCAAAGCTACACAGAGAAACCCTGTCTCGAAAAATCAAAACAAAGAAAAAGAAAAGGAAAATTTTACATCCTAACACATTAATACAAATTATTTTTATTAAAATATGGAAAAATAGTTGCTTTTTTAACTTACTGAAACTTACCATTTCATCTAAGAAAAACCTAAACAACACCATGCAAAAGCAATTAAATCCATTTTTCCTAAATAAAACTTGTTAAGTGACAGCCAAAATTAAATAGTTGAAGATAAACTTTAAAGTTGATTTGATTTCTTGGTTAATGTCTATATTTTCCTTGACTAAGTTTTAAAAATAATTATTTGAAGCTGCCAATCCTTCCAAAAAGGTAAATTCCCAGGATTTAAGTTTCTTCCACTAATTTTATTAGCTAAACTACAACCCTGCTTAGAACAATGTCCAAGTTGCTTTAGAATAAGCAAAGTCAGCCAAATGTGTTCCTTTTCCATAACTCCCATTCTTTCTTTGTACTACAACTCATGTGTTTATGAGATGGAAATGTTGTTCCCACTTTTAGCTGCATGTGATTCAAGAGCTTTGAAAAGCACAACCCTGCAGTGGCCTCATGGAAGCCCTGTTGTTTTGTAATGTAGATGCACCTCTAAAAATGAGAGCTATTTATCTCACGGATCGTTAAGATTCCAATGGATCTATGTGACCAGTCACACGAACATAACACATTTGTGTATTCTAAAGGACAGTGTTCTAAAGCACAGTCGCAGCATTACCTACTCCAGGAGCCAAATGCTTCCTTTTAATCTTTCCTTAGCCAAAAAGCAATGAAATTCCACACATTTGGTATTTCTACATGGCTGCACATGACTTTCTATGTAAGGAGTACCAAATGTATGAATCCTTCATATATTTTAGAATTTAACTGGAATATATTCCCCGTCCAGTGTATTCTGACAAGCACTCTCAGAGTGCTTAGCCATGTCTTACATGCCACTTAATCGTAAAATCGCCCAAACCGAGACACAGAGTTCAAATGGAGTCCAGAGAACAGACATAGGCCAGGGGTCAGAGATGGCGGGAACTTGTCTTTTTTTTCAATCTGTCCCTAAGCTTCTAAAGCCAGAGAGATTTCACAGAGCAGTTCTGACAAACTATGGGAAAGAAAGGACCTAGAGGTCATGAAAATAATAAGAACTGGAAGGGTGGAGAGGGGCAACTCACACCCCAGGTGTGATGAGAAAGAGCAGCTTTATGATGGGAAGAGAGTCAAACCTCAGACCTTGGACAGGAGATATCCCAGGACTGCAGTAGCAGAACTAAAACGGTCACGTGCGTGCCGAGGTGAGCAAGAGGGAAAGTGGGAAGACAGCCTAGGGAAAGGACATCACACACAAGCCCAGCAGTTCTCAAAGCCGTTACCCCCTGAACTTGGTACAAAGCCAGCTCTCACTCAGAAACCCTGATCCAAGAGATGGAGGCTGAGTCCTTGATCATTTATTAAAATACTCCTTATTTATTCTAATGCAAGTGCAGAATACACTTGGTACACTTATAAACACACTGCATAAACTGTGAGGAATAGGTCTTAGTGGGGCTATGTAAAAGCCCACATCTGTAGCTGTAAATACCTCCTGAATTTTTCCAAGCCACAGATGGGAACTTATCATATGCTTTCTCCTTGTTTCTTTTCTACCTATTCTGGTACTGTACTTTAAGATTCCATGCATCTGAGCTGGCTTTTTGGAGTCCAGTGCCTATGGTAGGACACCTTACAAAGCCTTGATTCAGGGGGCAGGGCTTGGACCTGCCTCAGCTGAATGTAACAGGCTCTGCTGACTCCCCATGGGAGTCCTTGCCTTGAAGGAGGTGGGAATGGGGGTGCGGGTTGTGGGGGAAGGCTGAGGGGTGGGAGGAGGGAAGAGGGGGCACCTGTGATTGGTATGTAAAATGAACAGAAAATTTCTTAATAATAAAAAAAGAAAAAAAGCTTCCATGTATCTTTTAAAAATTGTAACAACCTAATAGTATCACAACAACAAATATTTACCTATACATTGTTACCCGAGCACTTTTTATATATATATAAATGCTATATATATAAATGCATTCAGTTCCCACAGTATCTCTACGAAGATTCAAGAACCATTAGCCTCGTCTATGGGTTAGTTAGCATACTCTGTCAGTCAGCTAAGTCAGTGGATAGGCAGGATTTTATTCCTGGAGTCTCTGGCCAGAATCTCTACCCAGAAACTTTCTATACAGCCTCTTAATTCGTTCCTAAAAGTTACTTGTTCCCTTCTTAATAGACTGACCGTGCTATACATGTTTGCAAACATCCACATATTTTACAGTCATGTAAATCACCCCAAACTGCCATGGCCTTCTGAAAGTTTTCCCTTATTGGTCTAATGAGCATTAGAGGTGTTTGTGATGCTGCAGTCCCCTCCAATACTTTAAATATTTAACAACACCTCTTCATATCAAGACCAGTGAACTCAAACACTGGGTTCTTACAACCTCCCAGGCAATTAGAGCACACAGATCTTACGTTTATCTCAGGAAATTCATTTTAAATTGGTCCATGTCAGAGAGTTTTGAAATTATGCAAAACGAACAAACAGGCACGACAGGAAGTGCCTCTGGAAGTGCCTCCACCTGCATGATCTCACTGGTAACCCCGTCTTGTTTGCTTTCATCTTTCACGCTGTAAGGAAGGGTGTTGGGGCAGAGCTGGCGTCTGAACAGATAAAAGATGAACCAAAGCAGTGAAAATGGAGTTTCCTTTGGAAGGCAGGCATAATTACTCTAAAGCACAACACTATGTGTTCCAGAGTAACTAAGAACATTTTCTGCTATCACACTATAAAGAGAACACATGAAAATTCCCCTTTTGATTAAACTCAGAAGACCAAATGTTAGTAAATGATATTACTATAAATATAACTATATTTCAGATCACTTTTTCCTCTGAGGTTTGATAAAAAATTTGTACATGCCCTTTTGGAATACTTATTTTAAATTCCTTATGGAACAGATTTTCAACAGCATATGTTTAAAGACTACAAAGTACATAATTCATATTCTGCTACAATCGTAAGAGAACAATTTTAGCCTTGTTGACATCCTCCTTTCTCTCCATAATGGCACAGTGCTAGAGCATTCAAACCATCCCCGACTACGATGTCTCCTCATGCCTCCCACTCTCGTTTTGTATGACTCAGAGGAAATCATAACTGTTGCTGCCAATAGATGGCTCATCCCTCAACACAACTCTTACCACGGTCAGAGACTGGAGAATTAACACTCATTCTTGCTTATTTCCCAGATGGAACTATGATGTTTGGCTTGTCTTAATAACACAGAGGTGCAAAGGCATAGGTTGTTCAGTTCTAGCAATCATGTTCATCCTATCCAAGTCACCTAATTCCACCAGAAAAAAAATAAAAAGTAAAATTTGAAATATATTTAAGTAGCTCTTAAAATATAAATTGAATGCTTTCAGAAATATATCATACAGCTCGCTACAGGATTTGTATTTTGAGAGACTATTCTACATTGTATAATCCCTCTGCTAATCACTGAGGACCCAAAGTTTTTAAGGCTTGGTCCTAGACTCCAAGATAACCACAGTAATGGGCACATAAGCCAGGTGTGGGGAATCAAAATCAAGACGGTGCTTGTGTCAATGTTGGACTGTGATGATTGGGGCAATCGTCCCTCACAATGACACGAAGCCAGCTCAGATGAAGACAGAGCCAAGAGATGGGAAG